CTTCCCCCCCACTAACATCACCCCTATGAGCCTGGTCACCCTCCTATTCTTACACCACGGAGCTCTCCAGCGGCATCCACGCTCGGGGCCCTACCAGGCTTCTGGTTCTGACAACAATTCACCAATCATGGTTTATGGATCCGCCTGACTTCGGCATGGTTATTCGAGACTGCATGGTCATCGCTTCGCCAAACTGCGCAACTTAGATCCTTCGATCCAGTCCGCAAGGAGAGGATACGCATTCACTCATAATCAAAAGCAAACAGATCGGCGATGGATCCGTCCTCGCATCATTCCGATTCTCGTCTCTCGCCGAATCCGCGTCATGCGGGCGTATTCCACGAGTAGAGGCTAGCCGCGAACTTTTGGTTCTTACCGGCTTTCCGCCCTTCACCAGCCTGTTGAGACACAGTCCTCCCTCACAACGCCCCAAAACTTCACTGCTCCTCGGCCTGGAACAGGTCGTTCACTACCTAGGTGGGCGAAGTCTTCTGAGCATCATTGACAGCAATGTTCACACCGCTCGGCTCGAGAGGGGGTAAGGTTGGAAGGATGGCGGACAGCTGCTCCGTGTCGGGCACGAGCTTGATACGTTCCTTGGAAACTTGCATTAAACCTCACGCGCCATCTGCAGGATCCTAGTCTTCATAGGTAAAATCGCAGCACGGTGGCCCCATGCCGAAGAAATTCCCTGCTTACATATGCAGGAAAACTTTTCGAGGGATTGCTGAGCTAACAGACCCCACCTAAGCCTCGGACAGGGATCCTTCGAAGGTCAAGATGATTGTTGGCCGGTAGATTGTTTTCAGAGCTCGCGGAGGCATTATTCCACAGACCCTTCCCGCGGCTTTAGATTCCGATCTAGCGCTGGAAGAACTGCCCAAGCGGACGGGCCCAAGTCCATCTTTTCACCGTGTTTGGGCTGGATTATGTGGTGGTCGCGTCGAGGGCGCAGAATTCTTTCGAGAACTCTGCATTCTGCGATCTAGACCGAGGGATGAAAACAACATGCCCCCTCTCTATAGGCAGGTTTATGACAAACGCCACATTGAGGTGAGCAACAGTAAGTCATAATGCATTGATTTGTTGGTTAAGATCATCAACAGGTGCTCTCTGGTCAAGTTACTGGCCAGGACGTCTGTCCTATTTGTCAGTTCTTGGGCAGCTGTGACTAGCTTTCCCGAGCAACTCGGGGGACGAGGGCTCTCCCAGTTCTAAGCCTGGGTTTACACATCACTAGGGAGGACCTCGAGACCTTTGCCCTTACCCTGGCTGGCCCCACGAGTCCGGTACCTTGATTACGGTGCGACTGCCGAAGGCTTATCACGGCCGTCTGAATGATCTGACAAATGTTCCTGGAGCCGTCTATCCGCATAAATCCTGGGACCCAACACATGCGCAAAGGACAAGAACGCTCCTCTAGCTTTTTTCGATTTCACCCTTGAGTATCAGCCACATTGCTCCTTCCCGCAGATCGTCCCGTGAGTTTGAGCAAGATTTTCGTGATCGCTTACCAGAAATCTAACATTCTCTGGTGTGAAGGCTGGCCCAGAGGATGCTCCGGGGAGCATAAACGGCCTTGATCCGGCCCGCGAAGGGGTCAAAATTCTGTCAAAATTCTCTCTCGCGCTGAGCCTTTCCAAGTTAGGGCTACTTGAACTTCACCTGATAGCACCAGTCGATCAAGTCTTTTGTCATCGAATCGCTTCCTATCAGCCAGTCGGTCTATCTATTATTGGTGCCCGTGAGCCATCAAGTTTTTCTCACCAAACTGGCGTGTGGTTCGCTCTCGACATCCCTGCTGCTCTCTTCGGAGTGACTGGCTTAGTTCGCCTCGCCGGGACACTGACACCTAACGGAATCACGTCACGCTCTCTTCATGGCTCTTGGAGCAGTGGTGAATTTTTGAGACGGCCCCAAAAAATCACACAACGATTCTCGAGATCCCAACGAGCTTTGACGGCATTCATGATTCAGCAGCCCTCGCTATTGGTGGTCTCCATATCCGGGCCTGGTACCGTAAACATACAAGGTCCGTGTTTTGCGTTAGAGTGTCGAAAAGCTTGGTTTTGTTTGTGGCGATAAGTCTCGTCCTCGGCTGTCAACAGCTGTGAGTCAGGGCAAACTTCCGGCTATTTTTGACGGCAAGGAGTGAGCATGCTTTGTCGGTGAGCAGATTTGACACGTGAATTCTGGCTAAAGACCTGCGTCAAACAACGCTCGCCATGTTAAAAAGGGGATCGTCAAGCCTCGTGGATCTTCGCTGTCATAGGCCCTGCTTTGGGCATTTCCCTGGAGCCTACAGTATGTATCAAACACGGAGAAATACGGGCTGACTGTTCCACAAGCACAGGTGCATTTGTTGGGTCTCAGCGAAGCGAGAGGGCCAGGATCTCATGGGTGCCGACCGTATTCGGCAAGCTTATCAGCGATGGTCCCCCTGACGTCTTGGGAGGATGATTTGGTGAAGAACTCGCCAGCGAGTTTCATGTACCCTTGCTCGACACCCCTCGATCAGAATGGATACATGGTCGTCATCTCTTTGTGACTGATTGACGTTGCGATCGTTGGATCCGATGTACGGCGTCGTAGAATACGTATCGGGTGCCGGGCTTTCATACTTCCATACTGGACTTGAGTTCTCAATATCCGCCACTCCTGGACGATCCTTGACCTCATCGTGGACGGGAGAAAGCAGGAAGATCAGAGCCTCAAGTGGTACACGTACCCTTTGCAAGGGCGACGCGACCGGTCTGTCGGGGTATACAGTATTTCTCGCCATGATTTGCCTTGACCGAGAAAGTCCTCTTCTCGTATTTTGGTTGAATATTTATCCTCAGCCGCCTGAAATCACAGCCTCGCGCAACCCGGCCGACTCGCCCGCTTGGTCTCGGGAACCTAAAACGGGGACGAATTGTTTTCTCCCTTTTCCTCTCTCTTCCTTTGTGACTGGAGGTTGCGTATTCCCCTTCCACCGGACAAGGAGGTGGGTAGGTAAGTCGTTACCCCCTTTAGTTTACTTGACGTTACTTCCCAACCAAGAAAAGTCGTTCGTTGTTTGCGTGTAAGCACACATCTCGACGACTCAACACTCTATTAATTTGAAATCGCAGACGGAGACGGACCGATCCAACCAGAGCGAGAGCCAGCCAAAGCATGAATGACTCTCTACTCCTGTAGGTGTGTAAGGGAACTAACTAGAACCCTCGGCCCTGGTTCCGCCTCGAGACCGCACTTGGAATCAAAAGCCTTCCTTCGCTCCAGCGTTACCTGCTGCAGGAGTCGGTCTGCGTACCTACCGAGCACCCGTCAAGCAAGCTGGCTCCCTAAAATCCTCAGCCTCGCCAAGCAACAGGGTCGTGCATGGGCTCCGTGTAGAGTCCTCAGACTCGGCACTACTATTACTACCTTGGCAGCCTGCATGGTAGAATGGTAGGGAGTATATACAAATCCACTGTGCAAGTAGACTCATACTAACTAGTATACATTCATTCCCAACTCTCCATGAGCCTAGAACGTGGAGGATCCGTTTTTACCTACTGATACGGAGGAACCTAGTGTTTAGGAGATTAGGATCGATCACACCAGCACCTTTACTTGGATTGCATGGCGCGCTCTCTCCTTGAAGACTTACTCCCATTCACTGACGCACACACCGACACAACACACATCTCTCTTCAAATGGTCTTGATTATCTACACAGCGCTCTTATTCTACACAACTCTATGTGATGATCATAATTCGAAATGTGCTCGTTCCCAAACCGTCAGAAAGCGAGATCTCTCATGACCCATCCCTCGCACTGACTCGCTGATGGGCCATCAGATTCACCATCCAGGACAGTTCTGGGCCGAAGCATCCGTAGGGACTCGCAGCGCGACGTATAGATATCGGTGACTCAGCCAAACAAGGATGTGTGTGGAGTGCGGTGTCGTTAATCCGCCGCCTTGCCCAGGCATTTTGACCATGGACAATGCAAAATTGCTTCACCGCGTCTAGGTCGGTTCTGAAGATGTCCCGCTCTGAAGTTGGCATTATGCCTCGTTGAAAATGTCGGGTCAGGCGGGGAGGTGGAGCAGGAAGATGGAAGACGTTGAGAGAGGACGAGGACCAGAGGGAGGAGGAAGGGAGGGCGGAGATGTTGGGTTGAGGCCTGTTGTGAAAGTGACACTAGTGATATTGCGTTCCGAAGGAGAGCCCGAGGGGACTGTGTCTGCCATACAGAACTCCGCCTCGAAGAAGACGCGTTCATACGGGCTTTTGCGAAATCGATATTTTTGAACCACCGAAGAGTCGAAAACAGAAGGGGTATCGTCAGATCGAGTCTTGTCATTTTCAATCCGCTCAGACTCTTCGCGACGTTACAGATCGGCTATAAGAACCCCACGGCAGTTATTGCGACCTGCTTCACCGGGCAGGCCAAGCAATGGCCCATCTTGTGCATGTGATGTCAGCGTCCTGTAGTCTGAGACTTCTCGAAACTCGAGAAGGACCGGTTAAGGCGTTGGGAAACAGTCATCTGGCACAGCGCTTCAGGAATGCAGGTGGTACAACCGTCTTTAGGGCGACCCTCGAACCTCATCGACTGCACTATTGTCCGGACTTGTTGACTTTCGGCATTGCCGTTCTTTAGTCATTGAATACAGGCGTCTGTGAGAAAGCAGCGACCTGACCTTGGTGCTAACATCCAGCCTGTCGAAGAGGCCTTTGTCGTCAACACCACCTCCACAGCTTACTCAAACAATGGGTAGGACGATCAATGTCGGTCAACAACTCGGTGGAGAGCATTAGAGGCTTGGAAGGACGCCCATGATTCAATGCCACCTGCCATCACACACTTGCTGTACTTTTCTGCCCCTGTACAATAATGTCGGTTGGTGGACTCTATCGTTGGGTGACTTTTGGGGTGGTAGCTATCTTGGTGATGTTGAGATAGCCTGAGGATATGGTCTGCCAACGCATAGTGGTAACAGTCCGATAAATGTCTTCATAGCACATGTCTATGCTCTCGGCCCAGCAAGTCTACTGGCAACCGTTTTGACGGCTGCCTCTTCGCGGCTCAAGATCCACATAAACAACATTTGAACCACGAATGCATACAGTGCCAGGAAATATGTGCGACGATTCTTTTGTGCGCGTGCCACCGTGTATGAGCTTCCGCCTCGCATGGCTGTCGGATCTCCGGAAGCATCTGGCAGGAGGACGTATTTCAGGGACCGTAGCTAAAGGACGTTAGACGGCTGATGACATGGGACACCACGATCAACACCTACCAGAAAGAATGCATTCGCATACCAGGTGTACAAGAACAGAGTCCAGCCCACCCAGTTATTCGTACCACTCCCGCCAGTCAATAGCTCGCTGAGAAAGAGTGTGACAATCACTCCCACAAATTTGTACCCAGAATAAGCTACCAAGTCAAGGAGCTGAGAATCGTTGCTGATGCTTAGCATATACATGGCAATCTTCAGAACGATGATTTCAAAGATGATAACGAAAATCGCCGTGCTGGTGATGCTGCCTAGTATTTCGGGGTGGAACGACCCTCTGATTCCTGCAAGCACAGTCGACAGGAGGATATAGGTGATCAACGCCATTATTGGTATGTACATATCTGGTGAATTGAGGTCGTCGCGGGGCGGAAGGTAGTTGAAGGAATAAGATTGTTGGGTCATTGTGCCGTCAGCAGTCGTGGAGGAGGTGGTCATTCGAGCCTGCTGCCGCGTCCAAGGTTTGTGCCGCCAGGGAAATAGAACAAGCAGCAGTTTCCGTACCACATACGAATTGGAGACATTGAAATAGTGTTTCAGTGCGGATACAGAGATATAGCGGTTCAGCTGGCAACAAAGAAGTCAGCATAAGCCATTTCCGCTCAGATGGACCGCTACCCCCAAATCCTAGCCACAGTATGTGTCCTAGGAGTGAGTCACTCACGTACATTCTGTTCCATGTACTCTTGCCCAGCCTTCATTGCGTGCTGCCCGACTTGAAACCCCATCTGGGCCGTTGGGTCGTTCATGAAGTTGAAATTGGGTCCGAACCCTCCCCCTCCACCACTTCCCCCTTCCCCAGGCGGCGACTGATAGGGGTTGCCATAGCTATTAACAGGCGGCTGTGACGAGTTCTGTGAGGCAGGTGGAGGAGGGGATCGCATCATGGGAACCTGCGATATGTGCTGAGGGCGAGGGTGGAATAATTCGGGGGATTTTTGAGGCGGAGAGAAGGGTTGGCGCTGCATTCTGGGTGAGAAGAGAAGGGAAATGTCTTGTGATACGTATCTAATGCCTTGCAGAGTGTTGAGTTGTCTAAATGGTTCAATGGATGGAGTGACAGGCTGTCGTAAACACTTCTTGAAGTGTTTCGCAGTGCGCGCCGTTCTAGAAATCTGTCCCCGACGCAGTTTCTTGCCGCTTTACCAGCCTTCTCCGCACTTTGTTGCTGATGGGACTCGCCAGACAACGCCGCTTTTAAACATCGCTCACCTCCCATTCAGCCTTGCCACCCACTGACCTACGATAGGAACGACGAACTGAAGTACTCTCAATGTGCTCGCCAGATGGAGAATCGGAAGGACGATGTCGGCTTAAATCTTTAAAAGGCAGAGCAGAAGGCTCCCAACCTATTCAGTCTTTGACAATTTCTGCCCTGGCACCACTGTCAGAGATCAAGAATTGAATTTGTGGATTGTCCATCTACACAGGACGAGGTAGCCTCCAATTACAAGGTACCCCGGACGAGAACCCATCTTGAGAGGGATTAGATCGTCACGGACCCAGACTGAAAGCGTCCCAAGACTGCTTCTCGCCGGCCTCAGCACAGACCAAACGGCCATCTTCTTCAAGACTACCATTCTTCGCGGTTCTGCACAACGTCTGCATTCTGGTTGAAGTGGAATCCATTCCTTCCGACCCTTTTCTTTTCTTTCCTAAGCACCGCCAAAGACCAAGAGGCATTGAATATTGATTCCGCCAAACCCACGCTGGCGCAACAGTTCCCGGCCACGGTGAAGCGGGAACTCTGCCACCGCCATGACACTGATATCCTCGGCGCCGAGGCCTGCTTCATGTAACAGCTGTATTACCGCACAAAGCGTCTCACCAGTAGAAAGCACATCGTCCACCACCACCACTGTCTCGCCCCTGGAGACCACATCCCGGCCCATCTCGATCCGCTTCTGTTTCGAATCGTTCGATGCCGACAGCGCGATATGCGACGGGAACTTGATGGCGGAAATGGTGGGTGGGGGGAGCTTACCGGCTTCACGAATCAGCACCAAGGGCACATCAACTTGCGAGGCCAACGCTGACGCGTAGACAAAACCGCCGGCCTCGCAACACACCACCCTGTCGACATTAGCCCAGTCACCGATGAAGTGGGTTTGCAACAGAGACGTGCACAGCGCCAGCCCACCGAGCTGCTGGGAGATGCCTAGCACGTCACGGAACTCGATGCCCGGGCGTGGGAAGTCGGGTACCAGGCGCACCATATTGGCCAGCCGCTGCAGATCCTGGTGGACGAAGGGAAGCAGGTAATGCTCGGCAAACCTCTTTGCCGCCTCCTTTCCTATCGTATCATTGTTGAAGATGAGACTGGGCCGGTAGTCCAACGCCGTTATATCCGACCTAGTATTGTTGCTGTCGCTATTGTTCTTCTTGTTGTCAGTATCATCATCATTGACGTGACACCCCCGGCGAACCAGCCGCTTCTGTTCGCTAGCTTGGACTCGAACCTCGACCAACCTGCTGTCTGGCACCAAATGCGACAAGGCTGCGACCGGCGCCTCGTCTCTCATTCCGGTGATTAGCAGCACGTCCAAATCTGCAGCGCCCTGCACCACATCCAGAAAATGTTTCTCTGGCAGCCGAGGGTGTTGCCGCGCCTGTTCCTGGAAAAATGTCGTTAATCCTGGCCGGTGTTGCTCCTTGTAGGCACGGTCCCAAAGCAGGCGGCTCAGGTCGGCACCGGTAGCCGCTGCGTATTCTCGCTTGATGGTATCGCTAATGCTGACTGCACGCGCCGTGAGGCTTTTGTGGGCGCATGTCATAAACACAGAAACCCAGATGTCGGCACAGTAGTCCTTGCCGGCGCAGCTTTCGCCCGTGACAAGAATGATGAGCTTCTGGTCCATTGGCGCTTTTGGGAGCGGACAGGCGTACGCCAGCACATTATGCGGGTCCAAGCTCTGTTTGAGACGGGCTAGGCGCGACCGATTTGGTCCAAAAGCCTTCGCGGCCAGCGCGGAGTCTCTGGGGTCTGGCCCAAGGTCGGCGCCATAAGTTCCACTACTCAAGGGCAACAAGTTGGCGGCGACGTTGTAAACCCAACGCACGGCAGATTGTGCGGCTTCGGTGCCGTCTTGGTCGCGGGTCCAGACACCGGTTATCACGCAGGCAAAGTCCCAGTCTCGACAGCCGAAAGCAGTAGCATCGGCTGCAACGTCGTTGACCGCTCCACCGCCCTGAAGTAGATGCAGATAGCAGAGTGGCGAAGGACGAGTCTTGACGGCGGCCACCAAGTGGTCGGCGACGCTCTCTGCTCCGATGCATTTTAAGAATAAACATCGCTTGAACGAGGAGGTCTTGCCGCCGCTGTGCCCACCATGCATCCTAGACATATACATCTCGGTCTCGAACAAACCGATGCCGTCCACGGCTTTGAAATCGTCTTCCGGCCCCCAAATAGTTTCTACGGGTGCAGGCGTGCGTGTTGCAGAAGTGAGCGGAGTCGCGGAAGCTTCGAACATAGTCACGCCAAGATGCAGCTGGCCAGCGTCCCAGTAGAGATATGCATCTGCCGAACAGTACCGGGGGAGGTTATGAGCGATGAGTTTATCAAAATCGCTGAGCTTGCGCCGCGCGTCGAGGTTGTCGCTTAGCTGGACAAACCAGTTTCGAGTTATGTAGGTGGGAGCCTCGTACGTCTTGAAAGTCACGCTGACCACGATGCCAACGTTGGTCCCAGCACCTTTTATCGCCCATAACAGATCGGCTTCATTTTCCGGGCAAGCGGCACCAGCTGGCTGGTGTTGGCTTGGTACACGGCCAACGCAGAGAACTTGGCTAGATTCGACGCTGACCACAACGGCACCGACAATGGCGTCACACGCGAGCCCGTGCAACCTAGCCAGATGCCCGATGCCACCTTGTAGCCACAGCCCTGCGCCTACGCTTGGTCGGGCCCCTAGGGGCACTGTCACGCCTGCCGCCATGCTCTTGCGGATGATATCCCCCGTCTTGCAGCCAGCTTCGGCCACGACCAAGCAGCTGGAACCGGAACCAGAATCCCTTCCATTCTCTCCTGATGGGAGAATATGTACTTTGTCAAAGGCGCCCATGTCGACCGAGACAACGGTGGGCCAGCGACAGTGGCTGCTGTGACCTCCGCCGATAACGGTCAGACCGACACCGTGCTTGAGAGCCCATCGAACACACTCCTGGAGGTGTTGGACCTCTGCCGGCCTAACGATCGAGGCGGGGCGGTGGAGGCGAGCCTCCCAATTTTTGACTATTTTGCCCCCCTTCACCGATGGCACCTGCGCTGTCAGCTCCGGCAAGGCGGTCGCATGTTGGGTAAAGGCCACCATGAGGTCGGGTGAGCCGAACAAGAGATGGTCTGGGTGGGCTTCCTCGCGGCGGCCCAAGACGCGGCACACCTCTCGCCACCCAGCTCGGATAGCCTTGTCCACATTCGCATCCTGTATGTCAAACCCGGCGATGAAAGAAGCAAAACAGTCCAATACCTCGTTGTCATCCGCCACGCGTACGACTCCCATAGGGAAAGAAGCCATCCGATAGCACACCAAGCCATTGAGGTCCAAGGCCCCGTCGCGATGGAACACCACCACCATTCCGCCTTGTGGCCGCTCAACCAGCATTTCAAGCGCCCGTTTGATGAACTTGTGTTTAGGCCTCATGCCATACATGCTGTGGCAGAATAGGATGAGGTCGTATTTTTGACCGTCGTCACTTGTACCCGTACCGGTACCACTCGCTATGTCATTCTCGAGAGCGAATGGGATTCGGCGAATGTCGGGCGCGCTCTCCAGACAGGGCAACGGGGACTCCATCTCTGACATAGACCAAAGCCATTCTTCCACACTTGTAGCAAACACGCCGTTAGGCTCGAATGCAGTGTACCTCCTGACCTTCTGTCTCAGACTGCGGGGCAGATATCCTAACACGCTCTTCGGGCCGGGGCCGATCTCTAACACCGATATCTGGGCAGGTGAGTTGAAGAGAGGGGCCAGCAGCTGGGACAGTTGAGGGACGATAAAGTCTCGGTATGTCCTCCACCCCAAGCCCTGCATCAAGATATCGAAGCCAGCGCTGTACTGTGTGTCGGACAACGGTTGCTTCGGGTACGACGCCGTAGCAATAGCCCTGGCTTTCTGCCTCAGGGCCAACTTGAGGGAGTCGAGGGTGGCCATCTCGGTTTGGTATGAGGATGAGTTGAGCTCGAAGCGAACAAGGCTCGGTCAGATATGAATAATAAAGGCAGATTAGTGGGCCTTTTTTTTATCATGTGCTCTTGTGTGACCTGAGTGCGATCGCGGGAACACATACGCGTAGACCACGGCTGAAAATTTCCGGAACGACTTAGGAACGCGGCAGTTTTCCCAAAATCGAGTGGTTCTGCTTCTACCACAGCTCAGCTCGACGAAGAGAAGATCCGGCAACATACGGTACTGGATGCGGTGAATGTCGATGCAGCCGCGCAGCAAACATTCACTCACCGCGACCAGGCAGAAGCAAGTTTGACAAGCCCGTGAACCCAGACAACATACCTTTAGGTAAACACTGAGTAAGACACGAATCTGGGTGCCAACCATCATCTCTCTTAAAGCTCTGCACGGACAAAGGCGAAGTCCTTGTTGTAGAATGGATGTTATCTCCTCGAACCAGAGGCATATACAGAGTAGATAGGGCTTCTGTCAGTTGACATTTGCTCATTTCAGTGTGAAATGAGACGTTTAAACCTATGTGGCATGGGAAGCTGCTTTTCCTATACTCGGCCATAATTACCAGTGTCTTGGCATATTTCACTCTAGGCACCGAAGCTGTTCTGGCTTCTTGGCATTCATGATCACGTGTATTCAACTCTATATCATCTGCAAACGGAGAACGGATGCTACAGTTCACCGACAACCTCGTCTGAGATCTCCTCGGTACCTATTATCTACAAGGACTTGTCGGTAACAACAGCGGACTCTTTCAAGGGTTTGGATGATGATCACATGTTGCAAATTGCCCTGCGGAGAATAGGCGAAACACTTCCGAACCTTTCGCTTGCCCAGGCCTAGCCAGGCACTAACGGATGATCTGCAGGGCTTTGTAGCTGGGACGGCACAAGCAGAAGCTAACAGCCAGAGTTACGAGTACGGGCAACACGGGGTCGAAACCTTGTAGCCCCTGAAAAAGGGGTTCCAACTTTCATGGTGAGCACTGAGCGGCGATACGCATTCGTTCTATCAAAGACAGATGTTTTGACTTCGGTGCAAAATGCTTCCCGCCAGATCCCCTGAGGTCAACTCCGCTGAAGCAAATTCAACCTCGTCGACAAAATCATCACCACCATTCGGTACTGGGTACTCCGCTGCCGCCACCGACCGCCTCATGCCACGAAGCAAAGCGGGTTCACTAGGCTCAAAAGTGAGGTCCGAGCCCCCTAAAATCGTTCGGAGTGGTGCCGCGCCACGGTGGTTTCAACTTTGCTCTTCATCCGGGATGCCAGTAAATCATTCCCTTTTAGCAAACTTTCTTTCTCGTATTCAGCGCCCGCAATTTGCAGCGCGTGTCGAGCAAGATGAGTCAACCGCGGAAAAGCTCGAGAGGAAGCTGGCCCCAAACACGGGTTGCAAGCCACCTTGGCCCCATCCCGCACCTTCTCATGTTGCTATCCTTGCTTCTACGCCTTGTATGCCTTTCTGCTCGCTTAAGAGGACTCGGCTCGTGCATCGCACGAGGCTGGGCACCGGGTATGAAGAGATTTGCAGACGACCTACACCCCTCTTTGTGCGGATTGTGGCCAACGAAGCAGCCTGTCGCTATTGCACCCCTAAACACGTTTCCTGGCTCACCGGGACACCAGAGCATTTCCGGTTTGACTTGTGATTAAGGAGAGCATATTGACCATGCAGAAATGGTTTAGGTCCATCAGCGACTCTCCTACCAAGCATTGAGCATGGCTCAAGGGCGGCGGCCTTCCGATGCCAAAAGTTCATATACCGCAGCATCTTGATCACGACTCCGTGTTCTACGTTGTTCTCTCCCCCCAGCATCAGTCTTCGTCCATTCTTTTACCTCAACTGACCCAAGTCATTCTTTCACAACAGAATCACCACACCCCCCAGACAATGGCTTCAAATGGAACCGCACCCGCCCCTGCCCAGGCCGGCGTGATTGACCAAAATGATGTGAATGACTGGGTGAAGCGCTTCAATGAGGCCCTGGCCGATTCGACGACCGTCACCGCGCCAGCAGCACAAGATGCCCGCCCGTGGCATTCATCCTTCTTTGGCTGCTTCGCACCTATTGATACTTGTACGTATGGTCTCTGCAAACCAAAGCGTACAGGGGCTGACATGCTTTCTCCAGGTTTCATCACCTGCTGCGTACCGTGCGTCACCTTTGGCAAAACCCATCATCGCAGCCGCAAGCATGGAAACATGGAGGGATACAACTTTATCAACGCTTCTGTGGGTCTTGCCCTATCTCTCCTCCCGCTTGTGTCGGCCCAGCTGCCGTTCACACCTGTCCTTTTCGGTGGCGGAGCAAGCTTGCCTGAACATTGAAGAAAATGTCGTTTGAGATTACTGATATCTAACCAGTGCCTCATGTTCACCGGTTTCTCCTGCTTTGGTCTCCACTTTATCCCCATGATGTTCCAGCGTGCCGACATCCGCAAGAAATACAACCTCCAGGGCGACTGCGTTGGGGATCTGCTCACGTCGTGCTGCTGCGGCTGCTGCTCGCTCATCCAGCAGGACAAAGAGGCCGAGTTCCGTGAGAAAGAGCTGGCGGAGAAGGTCAACGGCGCCGGGTACACCAAGCCGCAAGACATGGCGTATCCGGCTTAAACAGAGAAGACGGGCCCCCGGGCCCATGGAGTTATTGATGGTCTGATGCGAGCGAGGCTGCCCAATGACCCTGGAGCTCAGCTTGATGTGACATTTCTGTACTTTTATATAGGGTGGGCATTCCCCCCCCTTGCGTGTAATGCCCATTTTGGAAGACGATCTCACAACACTCTATCCGTTCATGCCCTCTGCCTCTTGTTAAACGCCCAGTAGCCGTGTTCTATGCTCTGTATTGTCTGTCGAATCCTCGTCATATTCCGCCTCGTTCCGACCCAAGAGCACATAAGGGTCAAGGAGAGATCCATGCATATGCAAGCTGTTATCCAAGTGACAAAGATTTTGACTTGGAACTCACCCTGGGGATTCCATACGAGCGGATCCATCGTTGTTGTGCCTGACCCCACCCAGCCTGGTCATTCATCGTAAGGCTGACGACCCCTTTTTCCATCGCCGCCGCCCCAACCTTTCCATTTCCAGCTATCAAGTCTCACCAACCTGGGGGAGCATCTACGAGCAGAACTTGACTCTTGCAACTCCACCTATTATTCCGGACCCTGTCAGGGCTCGCAGTCTTGATGAGGGGAATGTTGATTGATTCTCTTTAAAGGCTGACCTAATATCAGAATGCGGGGGTGCGAAGCAAGGACGAGTACCCCAGTTGTCATCATCATCATCATCATCATCAGCATCATCGTCCGGTAAGCGGCCGCCCGTTGTTCGCGTTCCGTCCCAAAGTGCATAAAAAAACAAATGCCGACCTTGCTTCTATAACAACAGATATCATTGCTAGACAGCCTGCCACACTCGGACGTTTCATCCCTCGCTGCATGGCAGTTAGTTTCTCTACTCTCCTTGACCACTGTTCCCAACAATGGTCTCGTCCGCAAGTTCAACCATCATCTTCCCGCCCTCGCAGACGCCCGTGCGGGTGCGCATGGTCGACACCACGGCTCTCATGACCGTGCGGGCCGAGTCGTTCGTCAAGCCCGTCCAGAAGCCGGGCCATGAACTTCTCAACCTGACCTGCGTCGCGTTCCTGATCGAGCACACCCCCTCTGGGAGGAGAGTCATGTTCGATCTCGGCGTGCGCAAGGATTTCTGGAACTACGCCGCCGTGCTGCAGAAGCGGATCGGCTCCGTCATCCCCAGTCTCCGCGTCGATCGCGATGTCCCGGAGATTCTGGCGGAGAAGGGCATCGCGCTGGATTCTATATGTAAGTTGATATGCCACGCGGGGAGACGGGATTGGCATCAGGGCCTGAGGGAGAGCGCGAGAAGGCGACAGTATTTATGTGCCTCTCGCTCCCTGCTCTAGAACTACTCTCGTTTTCTGACAGACCTTCGTGGAAACTCCAGCATCTGTCATATGGTCACACTACCATTGGGACCACATCGGCGACATGTCTCTCTTCCCACCCTCAACTGAGCTGGTGGTCGGACCTGGCTTCAAGGCCGCACCACTGTTGCTCCCTGGTTTTCCCGAAAAGCTGGACTCGCCCGTGCGCACGTCTGACTTTAAAGGTCGCGAGCTGAGGGAGATTGACTTCAAGAGCTCAAGCCTCCGGATTGGCGGTTATGGGGTGCACGATTTCTTTGGCGATGGCTCCTTTTATTTACTCGGTAGGTTTTCCGTCACCTGTATCTCGCTGTGGTTGGCAAGGAGCAGCTGTTCGTGCTATGTTGCTCAGGGCCTAACGAGTCGCAGATACACCCGGCCACTGTATAGGCCACATGTGCGGACTTGCGCGGACGACAGCTGGCAATGACAGTACGTTCTTGTTGCTTGGCGGAGACATATGTCACTTTGTGGGAGATATCAGACCAAATCCGAGATATCCAATTCCAGACCCAGTACCGGCCGACGTGCTCGATCGCGACTCAGGCTATTTTCCGACTCCATGCCCGTGCAGTCTTTTCACGGACCACCATCCAGCCATCTCTCATGGGATCCAATCTGGCGCCCCAAAACAGACGCCGTTTTACAAAGTATCGACGCTCGGTTCGTCCGCTTACGTCGATCCGCCCACGGCTCAAGAGTCAGTGGATGAGTTGATCAACTTCGAACAATCCCCTGCCGTGATGGTCTGCATCGCACATGACGAGGCGCTGCTGAAGTTCTTGCCCACGCTAAACAGAGATCCGGGATCAGATCTGAACAACTGGAAGAGCGCAGGATGGAAGGAGAAATGTCGCTGGGACTGGCTAAACGAGTTACCAAGGAACGGCAAACCAGGCAGGAAACCAATCGTGGAGGGGTTCTGGCGAGATGGCAAGCCGTGGGATAGGTCAAAGATGGGGGAGGACGGAGAAAGGGAGGCTGAAGAGGCTAAGAAAGGCAGATCGTAAGGTCTTGCATGGGTGGATTCTGAACACTATGTGCACTGCCGGCTCTTTTCGATGCGACGATTGTCAAAGTTAGCAGAGGTTCACTTCATGTTCTGAGAACACCAAGAGGCATTCAAGAACCAATCTTGCGCCACTTGAATTCTCCCCGTGCTTGTCGGCCATCCTGCGAGGGCTCATTATTAGCAGCGGTCCTCTTGAATGCTCGCCGTTGGTCGACTGAGTAACAAACCTTTAGAGTGTACCACTTGACAGGATTGAGTGTCATATACGCAACACCATTCTCCTCTCTGAAGCGGGCTACCCTCGTCTGCGGCTTCCCGATCCAGTTTGGATTGCAACCAATCTCAACCTTTGTATGCCACAGAAACGACCCATCGTCCTGTTCCAAAAGGGTCATGAAGCCGCCATATGTTGTCAGACTGCGGCCGATGCGCAGCAATTCTGCGTCTGTGGGGTCGGAAGACGCCAGTGGTTCCAACCCCTCAGGCTTAACCAGCGTTCCAGATAGATAGCCCGAGGCAGAAATGACCACTTTGCCTTGAGGGTCGTCGCCGAACGGCTTGTCAAGCAACTTTCTGTCTGGCTCTTCGGAATCATACATCTCGGCAGATATGAGCGTCCACACTCCGACCAATTTGTCTTTGTGCTTGTCGAAGACGTTTGTCATCTTGTTGATTCTCAGATGATGAGTGGTTCGGACCAGGATTGAGCTGGAACGAGGCCTGCCGATACGGGGAGAGAATGTGGTGAGACTTGTCGAACGGAACAGATGATCGATGCTTCTATCTATCAACGATCGTGTCAAAAGACCGGTGAGATCAAGACCATATTCCGGATTTCAGCAAGCTACTCAAAACCCTTGCAAGCTGGGGGTTATCCGAGGTTCTCTCGATGTCCCAATGAGAGATGTCCAGGATTTGGAGAAGCATAAGCAGCCATCATCTTACGATGGGCGGCAAGGGTAAATGGCAATACTTTCCTATCTGAAAAGGTGTTCTTTCTTCATCACAGCGATGTGGGCTTCCTGATAAGGGTAGAGGAGCAAGGGTAAGAGCGGGGGGCAGATTGAGTCGGAGACCGTGATGATGCCTACAGGTTTGGCACCATCTCCTTCGTTTATCAGACCAGGAAAGCAGCGGTTGGCCTCTAGAAAAGCACACAATGATGATACTCAGCATGAAAGGAGGAGCTCCCAATACTGAAGCGGTATCTCTGCAATAGGGCAGAGCCTCATCTCTTCCCGCAAGCCCCCTGTTGACCAATATCGACTTCCTGGGCTCTCTCCATTTGACTATCCTTTGCGCCATCAGGCACAAGCGAGTGTAGCCATCTATATACGTTCCGAGGACACCTGCTGTACCGCGGCCACCAATACACCACACATACCCGCCAATCGAAGGCGAGTATGGCCAACCATACGAGTTCATCCTTCTCTGCAGAAACAGGCGTTAGCAGCGAAGAAACATCCACACAGCTGCAAATGACTGCCTCTAAGGGAACTCTTCAGAGTCTCGGCTGTATCGCCAGACCCGCTTCATCTACTCCAGATTCTGCAGTCATGCTTGAACGTACGCAAGAGTTGCTTAAAAAAAGCAAACACGAGAGCAGGCAAAACTTGAAGATGAAGACGAAATGTTTGTCCCAGCTTCACGTCCTGCGAAGCCAAAGGTTATTGACCTCACCGATGACTGATGCGTATAGCTCCAACTCAACGATGAAAATAGGGATATATGCTTGGTATCCCTCGATACCACATGTTCAAGGGGCATATTTGCCGCTGGAGAGAAGACTGTGACCCGATTTGAACCTTTTGCAGAGCTCATGAAAATCGACAGGGGAGATAACTGATCTATACAAGCAGCGCAGCAAAACGAAGGGTCCCAATGCCGGCTATTTGTTTTCAGAGGCACGAAACTAACGAGTGAGGTGGGGGACAAGGCTGAATGTTCCGCATGAGATGGTCCTCCATGACCTTATTGGCACCGACCAAGCCGAGATCGGACTGAAATCGAGCAGGATTGTGCTCTCCGCAGCAGTTGGAGTACGTAGGACCTTGGTAAGACTTACGACCTACAACCAAGAATGCGGAGGTCAGTCTTCCTTCATCCTCCAGCATGTGCCATGGATTCTCCTCCCGGCCATTGTCCGGCCATTGGTGTTGTGTAGACGGTCGATCAATGCTTCCCCGCTCATGTATGTATCAATATCATGGCACGGCAAGCACGGCTCGATGCCCGCACAGGCATTCAACAACCAGATCCCTTGCTTGCAGAATCTAGAGTGCGTCTTGATCAAGACTGTCGTTAGCCATGGCTGAGATACTTTGCAAGAAGATCCCCTATACGGTAGGTGTGGCTCTCTGATATACCGGGAAGATCTGTACTGAGGCGAGCTGCTGGCGGGGGCCCGAATTAGTTCCAAGATCCGACACTTTTGGATACGCGGTCCTTCATAGGAGGCAAATGGGTCGACGCTCTCAATGGAGACAAATTCGCTGTTCTTGGTAAGGGGACCTCAGAGAGGTGGACGGGGTGTTGAAGCTCTTGTCGGCTCACTCTTATGTGAAATCCCCCAGACCCGACCGACAATGAGAAGGTATGCGACGTCGCAGACCTGGGCCGCGAAGAGACCCGACAGGCCATCGAGGCGGCGCAGACGGCGTTCAAGACGTACAAGAAGACGACGGCGCGCGAGCGGCGCTTCCTGATGCGGCGGTGGGCGGACCTGATCAAGCAGGCGAAGGACGATCTGGCGGCCATCTGCACGCTGGAGCTGGGCAAGCCGTACACCGAGTCGCACGTCACGGTGAAATATGGGACCGACTTCATCGACTGGTTCGAGGGCGCGATCGAGCGGCAGTACGGCGAGACCATCCCAGCCGCGAGGGGCGAGAACCGCATCTTCACGATCCGCCAGCCCCAGGGCGTCGTCGCCGCCATCACGCCCTGGAACTCGCCCATCGCCATGGTGACGCGAAAAGTCGGCGCCGCCATTGCCGCGGGCAACACCGTCGTCTGCAAGCCCGCGCCCGAGACGCCCCTGTGCGCCATCGCCGTGGCAAAGCTGTTCGAGCGCGCCGGTGGGCCCCCCGGCGTCTTCAACATCGTTACATCGAGCGCGACCAAGTCGGCCCTCGTCGGCGAGGAGTTCACTCAGAACCCTGCCGTGCGCCATCTCAGCTTCACGGGTTCTACGGCCGTCGGGCGCTACTTGCACGCCGAATGTGCAAAGACGTTCAAGAAGACCAGCATGGAGCTGGGCGGGAATGCGCCCTTTATCATCTTCGAGGATGCGAAGCTTGACAAGGCTGCCGATGGTACGTTCTCTCTTTCTCCCCCCATTCTCCCTTAAACGGCCGTGGAACAGCAGAGTATGAAGAGAAGAAGAAGAACAAATATTGATTTAGTGCCACAGGCCTCATCTCGTCCAAATTCCGCTCCTCAGGCCAGACTTGCGTGTGCGCGAACCGGATCTTCGTGCAGCGCTCGGTGATGGACAAGTTCGCCACAGTGCTCGCGGAGAAGCTGGCAAAGACGTTCCGCTACGGCTCCGTGTGGGACAGGCAGGTCAACTTTGGCCCGTTGTACTCGCCCAAGGCGTTTGAGAAGATCGAGGCGCAGATCAAGGACGCGCTGGCCAAGGGGGGCAGGATCTACGCCACGGGCGGTGCTCCTGAGAAGAACCAGGACAACGCCGGGTTCGGACCAAACTTCTACCCGCCCACCATCGTCACGGACGCGACCAAGGAGATGCTCTTCATGAAGCAGGAGACGTTTGGGCCGTTGGCGTTTTTGGTCCCCTTCGACACGGAGGACGAGGCTGTGGAGATGGCCAACGACACCAGCGCCGGGCTCGCGTCCTACTTCTACACCGAGGACATCTCGCGGCTGTGGCGGGTCGGCGAGGCGCTCGAGTCCGGCATGGTCGGCGTCCGCGTCGGATTGATCAGCGCGTGCGAGCAGCCGTTTGGCGGCATCAAGGAGAGCGGCGTCGGCAGGGAGGGCGGCAGGGATGCCCTTGATGAGTACACCGAGATCAAGAGTATTACTGTTGGGCTTTGATCTGGCGAAGCTGGGCTGAGCTGGTATACGTACCTGGTACCGAGTACAGGAAGCTGGGACCTTGGGCTCTGAGAGCGCTATATATACACAAGGACATTCTCATCAACAAATTTCTCTCCCTCTCCGCCTCACTCTCTGCCCCCCTCCACTGACAGTCGGTAACACTCTCATCTAGCGGGGTCAAGCTCGTGTATTTTCTCAATCTTTGACTGATAATATTACTTTTCGAGTATATTACATACATACATAGGCATGTATTGAGTGTATGTGATGTTCTTCTGTCCCCACCTTGCTCCCTCAACTTGGAGCCACCGCCTTCGCAGCAGCCGCGCCTGCTCTCCGCCCAAACACGGCACCAGAGGTCAAGCCACTGCCGCCGGGGTAGTTTTCGTAGAACAGACCACCCATCATCTCTCCGACAGCATACAGCCCGGGGATTTCCTTACCCGTCATCGAGCTGACAACCTGCGCGGTCTCGGGGTTGACTTTCAACCCGCCGAACGTGAAGGTGATGCCGCAGGTTACGGCGACGGCCAGGAAGGGCGCCTTGTCCACGGGGAGGGCCCAGTTCGTCTTCCCAAGCGCGAGCCGCTTCGTCCTGGACTGCGTTGACATGCCGTCCCGGACGGCGGGATCCCACTTCTTGTCCGGGTTCTCCTGTTGAAAAGCATAGACGGCTTCGTTGTATTCCTCCACGTTGCGGACGAAGGCGTCGCGGTTCTCCAGGCCCAGCGGCGTTAGTTTGTCGGCGAGCTCCTCGATCGAGTCAGCCGTGATCCTCTCGACTCTTTCCGGCCGATACTCTTCAGACCGCAGCCACGAGACCGTGCGCGAGTCCCAGATCTGGAAGGCGACGTGGCTCGGCTGTGCGAGGATTGCGCGTCCGAACTTGGCGTACGTGTAATTACGCAGGTCGATGCCTTCGTCGACGAACCGCTCTCCTAGTGTATTGAACATTAAGCCTAGCGGGTATCCGGACTTTGTGAACTCGTTAGAGGCCTCCCGATCGCCCGTATCGCTAGGCGCGTTCGCGTCCCAGGCCACGGAATGACATCCTGACCAATTTCCAGTCTGAGCGGCCGAGACGTCGCGGATGGCTGTCTCGAGGCAATCGCCAGTGTTGTGGGGGGTGCCTCTCACTTTCGCGAGATCCCAACCGGGACCCAAATACTGTGATCGCAGGCGAGGATTGCTCTCGAAGCCTCCAGCTGCCAAGATGACTGCGCCAGTCCGAATAACGGCATCCTCACCATTGGACTGCACCGCGACCGCGGTGACGGCGCCAGTCTTGGGGTCCGTTATCAGGCGTTTCAACGGGGTAGAGTAGAGCACTTCCACGCCGTGCTTCCTAGCCGCGGTCTTGTGGTCTTCGATCAAGCCCTTTCCTCCGTCCTGCGTCTTCAACGACAACCCGCCCCAGAACTTCAGGCGCCCGTCGACTTCGTACGCTTGGCGGTTGAACGACAGCTGGAACCGAATGCCGTTGCTTTTCAGCCATTTGACCGTTGCATTTGAATCCTCAATAAGAATCTTGGCCAGCCGCGGCTCAGATCGGCCGCTGCATATCCTTTTCATGTCGTTCGAGAAATTGTCAACCGTGTACGGCTCCAAGTCGATCCTCTTCGCCGTCTCCGCGTCCACGTTGTTGACCAATTGCAGCAGATCCGCCGTCCCGCCATGGACAGTCCGGTACGCGCCGGCCGTGAAATACGAGTTGCCTCCTGCCCATTCTTCCGGGCACTTGTCGATGAGAAGAACATGCTTTGCCCCAGCCTCTTTCGCCGCCACAGCAGTTGCAAAGCCCGCGTTGCCGCTCCCTGCAACGAGGACATCACAACGGGATGGGGGAGCCATTTTATCCGTGTGCATGCACTTGTGAGAGGCAGACTCACATTGATTCAAACGAGAACGAGCGACCAGATCTGGATGGCTTGTTGACAAGTCTGGCCTTTTGCGCTCACGAAGACATGCCTTTCGGATGTAAATTGTACAAGGCGTCTTTCGGCTTTTGGATTTCAATCGGCAATTTGATATCCAGAATGTCAGGAGATCTCTCGGTTGAAGATGAATTCATGTCCGCTATCGGCGCATGGGCATTGTGCAAGCACCCAATGCTGAAGCCCATAAGCTTCCCCCAATTTACAGGGGAGGAATTGGAGAAGGAGGTCGGCAGGCCCTTTGAACACTGGCTGCTGCCGGCATCTCACAGGCAATGGCACCACCGACGGGCGTTTAGCCAGCGAATGTTGCTGGCTATGATGCACCCCTCGGCATCCCCCATCGGCAAGCCGTCGGGGCATCTCCGCACACTGTGTCCCGCTCCCCTCATTCTCCCTCCCTCTCGCCCTCAGCCTTGTCAGCGAAAAGCATGTCGAACAGCACTTCACGAGGAAATCAACCTTCCAAAATTCACTTCAGCAAAGTGGATATGGCACGTCTAAGCGGCAAAGTTGCTCTTGTCACTGGAGCGGGCAGCGGGTTCGGCGAGGCTATTGCACATGCATATGCTGCAGAAGGGGCGAAGGTTCTGATAGCCGACATTGCTGTGGCCAATGGACAGAGAGTGGCTTCTGATATTGCAGCCAGAGGTTACACAGGAGACGCCGTATTCGTCGAGTTGAACGTGACCCAACGCAGCGACTGGGAGAAGGGTCTGCAGTTGGCCAAGGACAAGTATGGAAAGCTGGACATTGTGGTCAACAATGCTGGCACCACCTACAAGAAACAGCCTAGCATGGGCGTTTCGGAGGCAGATTTCGACAGAGTCGTGGCCGTCAACATCAAGAGCATATATCTGAGTGTTTCGGTCTTGATGCCGTATTTCGTCGAGAGGAAAAGTGGTGTTTTCCTGAGCACCTCGTCGATTTCTGGCATGAGAACTCGGCCAGGGCAGGTCTTTTACGGCGGTACCAAGGGATTTGTCAACACGGTACTCTGAGAAATCCTCCTTCGCAGAGTTCCATGCTTTGAAGCCGTTTGCTAACAATGGTGTATTAGATCACCCAGGGGCTTGCTGCCGAGTATGGGCCAGACGGGATCCGCGTGAACTCGATCTGTCCGCTCAGAGGCGCCACGGGCCTGCTAGAACTATTTAGCGGCGTCCCAGATACTCCTGAAGAAAGAGAGAGGTTTGCCCAAACTGTTCCATTGCGCCGCATGTCGGAGCCAAATGATATCGCCATGGCAGCGGTCTACCTTGCGAGTGACGAGGCGGCATTTGTCACCGGAGTCAATCTGCCGGTGGATGGAGGGCGACTCGCTCTGTGACCGGGCGAACAACCTTTGGGGAGCATGCTTCCACTCAGGGAAGGAGCACCATAGCTGCATTCGAGCAATTTTTCTTGAGATTGGCGAGCCAGGCATACATTTCAAACCCACACGACGCCACCGAGGGCATCCTCTAGTCAGTTAGACTGCAAACGCATCACAAAGACCACTTACCTGCCTCGCATTTAACAATCCACTGATGCTCGAGTTGAGGTCGGCAGCGACAACATTGGCTTGGCTAACCTCGATATGTGAGCGGAAGCGGTCACGTAAAACCTCTGCAAGGCAAGGAGAGCACACCCTAAGATGAGATGACTCGAGTCACATGAAAGGGGCTGACCACCCAGTCAAAGAAATGGCCAAAAATCCTTCGTTGCCCAAGATCAAGTGGAAAAGAGCCGTCCAGATTCCTTTACAAGTAGAGGCTCAGGACTTCGTCCACGGCCTTGCCCCGGCGAAGGACTTACCCAATGACTCTCTTTTCCAGATATGATGGCCACGTTGAGGGGTGTGTATTTATTTATTTTTTCTTTTCCTCCCTTCTTTTTCCTTCGTTTTTCGGTCTAAAAATAATCCTGGTTTTTTTTTTCTTTTTTTTTCTGGGGGAGGCAAAAACGGGTTGGGTGTGTCGTGGCCACAGAGCACAGCCTCCTTCGTAAAACCCTCGTGAACTTTGACTCTTTGGGATGGCAGACTTTTCGTCTTCTCGGGTCTGGGTGCTTCCGCGCGAGATACAGTACATGTCTAAAAGGGTTTTGGTTGGCGAACTGTGTAATCGGGCAGCTTTGTTTCCACGATTTTGGGGCGTAAGAGGAGGGCGCTGCTATGATCTGCGCTCGCCAAAGGGTAGGCTGGCTGCATGAATGACCTGCCTGCAGGGTTTCTATTCGCGGGTGTCTGACTGGCGCTTTCGCCCAAGGGAGGGCCTAAGCTGCGAAGGGCTGTTGTTGTTGGCTTTCCCCAGTACTGTCCTTTTCACATGGTCAGAAGGATGGGACTTGTGGGCTTACTCGGTACCTTGATCTCATCGCCATTCCATCATATGTACGTGGTACCCTGGAACACGGCTGCTCAATCATACAAATGGCACAGAAGCAGAGTGGGTGGAGTATGGTGGCTTTGAGTGGAACAGAGGGCACAGAAGTGGCGCAACAGGAGTCGTTTCATCACTGTGCTAAGAAGCCTCGCGTGGTAATGTCAGAGAATCGACGCCCGGGTGTGTCTGACATCATTGGCCCAACCGTCCCAACAGCCTATTTTTGAAACAGCTGGAATGCTTCATGCTTCTTGCTTCACGCTTCATGCTCCACGCTTCATGATTCCACTCTTCCACTCTTCCACTTCCCCCCCCTTTCCGCTTTCCCTTTTCCTCTTTCCTCGTCCCTCTCCACTCGGCTCTGACATTTCCAACGCAGTTCCACCCCTCAGCCTTCTTCCTTTTGCTGCACGGATCGCGCGTAAACTACGCCCTCTCTGGAAACCGCCCGCTTGAACCACAGCGCCCAGGGCCGCGTAACGGCCATCGAGGCTGGAGCGTGTCCGGGTTCCCTGACGCGGCTAGTTGACAGTCGGTCTGGGAAAATGGACAAGATCAAGAGATCCGTGAAACGCATGGGCGATGGGACCGATGCAGGCAGTGATGCCAGTCATGAGGCCAACGTAGAGGATACCGATGGTACAAAGTAAGCTCCATGTCCACCTCTTCACACTTGGTCACTGCTCCATACTGCCATCACCTTCAATTTTGATACCCCCATCGAGTTGGTCCTTGTCACTGTTCTTCGCCTTCCCACATTACCGAGTACTTGTATTGAAAAGCCGTCATCGATAAAAAGAATAAATCTACCCCCACATATCGTCTAACCATCATGGTCGCCAGGCTAGGCAACCTCAGTGCCCTCAAAGACTTTATATCGGTAAGTGGCGACCCGTCATGTCTGGTTCACTGGACCCGCCTCACTCACATGGTACAAACACAAACAGTTCCTTGCCACGGTCAGCGGTGATATCTCTCACATTACCGCTCCACCCTTCATCCTAGCACCATCTTCTCTCACAGAGTTCCCTGCGTACTGGGCAGAACGACCAACATTGTTTACCGCCCCAGCCCATGAACGTTTAGCGGAAAGACGCATGCTCTTGGTTTTGAAACTGTACCTGGCTTCCCTCCAAAGGCAGTATTATGTCGGCCGCACCGTCAAGGAAGGATTAAAGAAGCCCCTCAATCCTTTCCTCGGCGAATTGTTCTTTTGCGAATTCAGCGACCACGACTTGACCCAAGAGAAGGCCCCCACATCGACGGTCAGGGTGATCAGCGAACAGGTATCGCATCACCCGCCCACCACGGCGGCATATATTTCAGCCGACGACCATGGCGTCCACGCCCAGGCATATTCAACTCAGCACACCACCCTATCCGGAACATCGGTCATGATCCGTCAATCTGGCCACGCCGTCTTGAAAGTCGATAGATATAACGAGATCTACCTTCTGCCTCTGCCGGATGTCTGTGCGCGAAGCGTTCTCACCGGCGTGCCCTGGCCCGAACTCAACGACACTTATAGCATCATCAGCTCCAGCGGTTACACAGCCGAGATGCGATTCATTGGAAAGAGGATGTGGGGGGGCCAGCGAAACTGCTTCGAAGCTTCGATATACCGCACGGTCGATTCTCAGAAGAAGGCCATCTTTACGGCATCCGGAAGCTGGAGTTCCAAATTTTCCATATTCAATTCGGAAGGGAAGGAGATTGACGTATTTGACCTGGCAGATCCGCAAAACCAACCTGCGCCCATGGCAGTCAAGCCGTTGGAAGAGCAATCGCCTTGGGAATCGAGACGGGCATGGGGTTCAACTTTCGAAGCCATAAAACGCACGGATCATAACGCAGTTGTGACGGAGAAGTCGAAGCTGGAGAATGCCCAGCGCCAGCTGAGGAAGCTCGAGCAGAAGGAGGGAAAGAAATGGGAAACCATGTTCTTCACCCGCTGTGATAGTGCGCCCGACGAGGAAGGAGTGGTCCAGAGTCTCTTCGACCAACTTGACGATGACGAGGCTGATCGGTTACGAGGAATAAACGGTTGTTGGAGATTTGACAAGGAGAAGGAGCAGAGGTGGCGAAATGATCAAGGCGGTTGGAGGCCGGAGACGCCATTTGGCTGAATGCCGCTGGTTCGGAAGATAATTCCAAAGCACCATCATCCAAATCCGGCAGGTCTTCGTTGCCTCGGAGGAGGCGTACCTCGAGAACAGTACGCGAATATATGGTTTGGGAATCCACTCATTTTCTCGGGGGGGCTCACCGGATGTAACAGAGCATGCGAGACAAGATATCCCGTCTCTCTCGCAGCAGGCTCTGCGTCAGGGCCCTTCCAACGACATCTATGGCTTTCGGTTTCACACTCAATCGGCTCCTGCCTTGCAGATATACCTTCACCTTCGATATACTGAGCAGCAGTCGCGCGTCAACTGTTAGCTTCGTTGGATCCTTTCAGTCACGTAGACGGTATCTCCAGTGCGCAAGACGGCACCAGAGGGGCCAGCGAAGGCATATTGACCGAACACAGGCTTGTCTGTCTCGAAGGTCAGAAACGCCACCCAACTGCAAAAGAACCACAGATAGAAACGAAATACACATGTGCTTACGAGGAAACTTGTCATTGACTCTCCTGTCACTGGCCAATAGTCCATAGAGCTGCCGATCGCGATGGATCATCTCCCCCGTATCGGGATCAGCGTTTAAGCTGAGGCATCGGACTGTCCGGAAGATGCATTTGATTGTGACTTCCTGTGCCTCGTCCGATTGCGATCGAACCAACAGCGAAGACCAATTGTCCTCGTCATAGGGAGGGAGTTGACCCTTGACATCAACATGAATGTTAGGTCGGAATCGGAGTATCACATCCTCGTATTGATACTCTGGAGGCAGTCGAGAGCGGGCATCTTGCTCGGACGCGGTCGAGGTAATCAGCAAGGGAGCAGCATCAGCAAATCGGATGCGCTGCGGCTGCAGGCCTTCTTGGAGAGCTAGAGACAAGGCACTGCGTTGGCTCGGGATGTATGCTGCCCCAGGAATGTCACGGCGGCCGGTCCCTCCTATAGAAAGGAGCCGAACGTCCTGGTCCAGGTGCTTGGAAAAGAAGGCGGCCGGCTCATCCCCTAGGTCGATACCTATTGCGGTTGTGCCAAAGATGCTGACTTCAAAGGTCTTGTTCGCCAGAAGAGATAGTGGCGACGGAGTTAGTGGCACCGTGACTGAAGACAGAGGAGTGGCTCGAGTGTGATGGATCGTCAGTTTCGTCCAGCTATCATCCTGCAAGGAGCAGAGGGTTAAAATTAGCGCGGGTGTGTCCTGTACGCCGGCATGCAAGGCGCAAGGCGCAAGGCTTACTATGGTGGGCTTAAAGAGTGCGAGCTTGAACTGCTTCTTGATGGTGAGGAATTTCGCCAGCCGTGAGCCGTCCTTCGGAGGGTTAACCAACACAAAACATCGATCGAAGCGTAACCCCTCGTTGGTGAGCTCCACCGATGACACTTGGACGGGCGGAAGAGACTTGACGGGATAGATGAACAGCTGCTGTATCGTCAACGGGGGACCCAAGGGCATGGTGGATGGAGTCGCTGGTGAGGCGACGGAAGCTCTCACTGACCCTTTGCACCGTGATGGACGACATTGGTGACATTGCCAGTTAGAGGGGGACGAAAGGCCCCGGAATTAGCCTTATCGGGGATACATGGGCGAACAAGCAGAAGAACGAACAGAAGGAGGAAAAAACCAGAAGAGGGAGGTGAGGGCGAGTCGAGGGCGAGTCAGGCCACTTTTATTTGTTTGGAGCCTGCGAAGCCTGTTGGGTGCCCCTCTTTTACCCAAGATATAATCGTAATGGTATTCAGGACGGCACGGAAGACGGGTGACGGCTTGTTAGGTCGCGAGGTTGATACCAGGTACGTTCATGGCGGTCACGTGTGAGCGACGGAAGGCGACTCAACGCTTAGCCGGGCCCGTCTGCCGCTAGACCAAATCAAGCAATAGGCAGCGAGCTATTGTCACGTGACGGCCAATTAAGTGCCTCTGAGACACCATGAATCAGCCCTTGGCGGGCAGCGGAGTGTCTTTCCGTTCTCGGGCTCCCGGTGTTCTGCCGCTGGCCTTCCATCTCGCCAACTCTTTCTCTTCGACAATCTTGGACAATCCCCCTCCAATCCCCCAGCTCCTACGGCTGAGTATTGATCCTCAACTCATCGCTCCCCCGATCCTCAATTCGAGGGGTTTCGCCCGACCTGTTTGCTTGGTGTCGTAGGATTTGTTCTGGAGTCGCTGCCGGTGTGGACCCCCCGACCCATACCCTTCCGCGCCACCTAATTCCAACCTCATCCGAAGAAGAAAAAAAAAAAATCAATCTCAGGCAATCTGACAGCGAGCGCGCTCACAGAAGGGCCCCTTTCTCTGCATGGCAAACGTCACTCCAGGTGTCGAGTACGCCGATCGGGCCTGTAATTCCTGCAGACAGCGCCGGGTTAAGGTAAGTAGTTCCTTGGGCGAACCATTCTGTTGCATCGACTACGTCCCCCTCTTGTTGCTTTCCGTCCGTTCGCTTGCTCACAAAGCGAATAGTGTGACAAGAGACTCCCTGCCTGCTTGCGGTGTGAGAAGCTCGGCAGACCGTGCACCGGCTATGATCTGGAACGCAAATTCCTGGACGAAGGCATCAAGGTTCGAAGGAAGTATGATGGACAATTTCAATCCCCAGACTTCTCCAGGGCGGTAGTCTCGACTCCTCCCAAAGTCCCAGTAGCGCCAGTGCCTGACCAACGTATCAATCTTCCGCCGATACACAACATCCCGAGCATTCCCCAAATCATTTCACCACCCATCTCTTCCACTCCGAACCTTCCAAGCATACAAGGAGGTTCCGATCGGACCCCGCTCGGAAACATACAATTTCCCGCGTTTGGAATACTCAACCAGCAAAGCCCCGACTTCAATCTATTTCCCAATACTCCTCCGCCGCCACCACCGGCGATCAGCGCACCACCTCCGTCGGCTCCTCCGTCCAATTTCCAATTCGCAGGGGCGTCTCCGCAGCTGGCCGAATATGGCCAGTATACTCACCAGGAGCACCCCACAGCCAAATTACTACATGGCAGGCCCCAGTATGCGCCCTCAGATTTGGATTCTTCAGTTAGCGAGGACTATTTCGATCTTGACATTGAAACCTACTATGCGAAGGGCAATAATGCCTGTGGCTTTATTCCCGGCCTACCCGTAATTCTGACCGACAACAACGTTCCTGAGTCTGACGATGATTTTTTGACGAGTGATTTCGCCTCAATCAGCGGCCGATCATCAGTCTATGATGGGTAAGCTACCTTCTCTCCCTTGCGCTCTACCCAGAACAGCGTGGCTGCACCTAGCATCTCTTTTCCTTGCATTCAGCCAAGTCGAACAGCCACGCTGACAGATGTACGCTCATAGCTCGGATGGCAATCGCACCAGTCGCCCAGAGTACAGTCAAAAGTACCTCCACGAAAAGACAACCGAATTGGCCTGTCTGACGCGACATTTTGTGCAATCAGTTTCACCATCGTGAGTTTCAGTGGCGTTATGATGATTCCTCCGTCGGACTTCTAACGGATAGCAGCATGGATCTTTTCGACCTCGACACGTACTTCAGTAGAATAGTCCCTTTGAAAGCCGTCCAGAATGTAATGCTAAGGTCCGCGATGGCCGCAGTTGCCGCGAATCAAATCGGACAGATGATGGCCAATCACTCGCCTTTGGAAGATCTGCAGCATCTCTTGCCATTTGTTGGAGAAGATGGTGTGTTGCAGCACACCGATTGGTTTTACAAGGCGGCCAACTACTACGACCGTGGCATATCATACCTGAGGATTTTCCTGCAGCGTTGGTTGAGCGATACAAATAACGAGGGGTTTACCGCACATGCCTCGAGGTACAATGATCCGAGAAGTCTGTCTGAACCGAACAACAGCGCCACGCTGAGCGTTTCTCCCCGCAAGCGACGACGCATAAGCAGAACACAATCATCGGATGGAGCAGACATGGAAGCTTTGGTGGCTGCAATATCTGTGTTCTCGCTTTATGAATCGCTCGACAATTTTGCCGAAGACTGGTCACAGTAAGTGCTTTTCTATTCGTCTCCGGAAACCACACCTTCTCTCTCCGGCGTCCAAGTCTCCCGCCTTTCTGAAATATTACACGGTCTCCCTTTGAATTCACTTAGGAAGTTAGTTATTCCTACTAACCGGGTTTCTAGGCATCTCGATGGCTTCAAAGCACTCCTGGAGAGCAAGATCCTTCCACAAGCCGCTCTTTCTGTCCCTCGCCCCCGTGCAAACCCTTTCATATCAATGAAGGCCGGCCGAGCAGCTTTCTGGAACTTCGCTCGAGCAGATTATCTTGCGGCTTACGTCAACCACTCAAAAACCCGATTAGACCCCGACAATTTGACCATGTGGAAAGCAGCAGGGTTGCCCGTTATGGACGATGGAACACTAAACTATTATAATGATCCATCGACTCCAATCAATGCCGTCGTTTCATATCAACCCGGCGATAGAGAAGACTTGGTTTCCTGTACGTTAATCTGGATTGTCTTGAGGACCATGAATTTTATTGCACCGCAAGAAGACGGCACAGGAAGTACGGCAGGTACTCCACGAGTGTTCGACAGCCCCGCAACGCAAATCAAAACCGGGTCCGATCCGGGTACTCCAGGCGCTGTGCAAACTCGCATTGTCCGGTGGAAACATCTGCGTCGACAACTCGAAGACTGGTACGACAATCTTCCGTTCACTTTTCAACCATATGCGATTGCAGCCGCAGGGGCACAACAACCCTCCGACCTTTTGCCCGATGGCAGACCGCGCTTCGCAAGACTGTTCTTCAGTGTCCCGATGTGTGCTGCCGCGCTTCAACTATATCACTTTGCCCAAATTCTTCTGCTCTTGAACCAGCCTGTCGATGAACAGGACGCGAGACATCCAGCAAACAGGCTTCGAATGTTTCGACAGGTTGCCGAAGAGTCAGAGCATCACAGCCGCCAGATTTGCGGCATCGCGTTGGGGAAACCACCGCCGGCAGTCAGCAGGCAAATGGTGCACTCGCTCTATCTGGCGGGATCGTGCTTTGAGGAGAAAGAGGACCGAACAGTTGTTTTGGAATTGCTTGACAACATTGCTAAGGAGACAGGTTGTCCGACTGCGCACCGGATTAGAGATTTGAAAGAGCAATGGCGCTGGGAGGATGATGCAGTCAGAGAGATTGCATAATGAGCGAGATGAAGCAGGGAAATGTGCTGCTGACAAGTCTTCTGACGCGGGGCTGAGCAGTTCTGGGATGTGAGAAAACGGAGGGTCTGGGAAAATGTATTCCAACACAAAAATGAGCCTGTGTGATGGCTGATGACCAGTGATTAAGGGTTTGGAGTTCTGAAGGTTAGCGGGCTATTTGTTGAATACTCATGTCATATGCAAGCGGCATTATTTGGATGGGACGCGGTGATTCACCTCGCCAGACCTAAAATTGAGAGTATATGGAATATCTAATGTCGATGCTGAATTTCCCTCAGTCTTACGCCTGCATGTATGTGCCTTCGTTTAACCTGGAACAGCCAAGGGGGGGAGGGTCCGGGATCACTCTGATTCTGGACTCGACAGACCGGAGGGCTCACCCGTCGGAGATCTCATCTGCCACCAACTTGTTCTTGTCTTGTCTTTTTCTATTAGCCGTCCCTCGACGCGGTGCTTACCACATCCAAATAGCTGTGTGCATCCACCAGTGGTTCAGTCACTAGCCGGGGCACGCCGCGCTGTGTGTGTGCTGTGGTGTGGGGAAGAAGTTGCGTCATTGCGCCGAATCTGCGCCGAGAACGCCGGGTAGCCGCCTTGGACATATACAGCGGGACCTCTCTGTATGATACTCGATGGGGGGGAGCTAATGGATACAAGTCCTAGTAAGGTGAGGAGAGCAAGGGTGAGGTAGCTGTCCGTCTAACTGGTTCGGGAGACCGAGGGCGAGGTGCGCGGCCGCGAACTATACCTATCTATCTACCTACTAGCCTGCTGCCTGTCTGACCTTAGACTCGCAATGGCATACCGTACCTGTCTATAGCTAGTATGGTTGGGGCTGTTGGGGGGAACTATGTAGGTAGGCGCACCAGTATGATATGTGAATGGGGTGTATGTGTATTTACAGTCCGGAGTACCTGCAGTAAGGAGCACGACTGGCTCCCTGCGTCAGGCTGGGGGACAGGGGGATCTGAAATATATTACTACAGAGACATTTCAAAAGTATTTCTACTACTTTTAGGCCATTTAGCTTGACCGCCGCCTTGCCTTGGGTTGTCTTGCGTTGCCTTTCTTCTACCTCGGGTCCTCCTCGTGTGGAGTAAGGAGTCTTATGGAAAGAGCAAGATGTATTGTGCTTATTAGACACCTATCTAGTATTACAAACTTGGCTCACGGAGAAGCCGAGATCCTTTTCAACTTTGGTGCAACGAAACGCGGCAACTTATTTCACACATTGACTCCATTCTACTCGGCCGCATTGAGCCCCTTCTCCGCCCTCACAGCCTCCGTCTCCCCCTTCACCCTGCTCCCTAGCTCCTTGTTCACTCGTTCGAACATCCCATACGTCCTCTCCCTGACCTCCTTGACCGCGGCAAAGAGATGCACCGAAATGTTATGAACCAGATGTTCCTGTTGGTCCTTTGTGCGACCCAAGACTTCCCAAAGCATGTTTGCCTGCACAAAGTCTTCGTCCGTTACGGGCTGGAGGTTATGCACGGCTCGACCCACCCAGGTCTCGTGGGCGCCGTCGATCGGCTTGTCCACGGGGAGGTAGGTGTTTGGCTTCAACGGGGAAGGGTAGTTGGGACTGCCGCCGTAGTTACCTGTGATGGCCATAAAGCCGTCGCGCTGGAACGGCGCATACGCGTGGAGAGGGCGGTTGACGGGGATTTGTTGGTAGTTCACGCCAAGTCGGTGTCTTTGACTGTCCGCGTACGAGAACAAGCGGCCTTGAAGCATCGGGTCTGCGGAAGGCTCGATGCCGGGGACAAGATGGGCAGGGGAGAAAGCGATTTGTTCAATCTCTGCGAAGTAGTTTTCAGGGTTGCGGTTGAGCGTCATCTTGCCCACAGGCCGCAGGGGCACTTCGGAGTGAGGCCACACCTTTGTGACGTCGAGGATGTTCCAGCGAAACGTCTCGGCGTCTTTCGGGTCCAGGACCTGCACGTACAAAGTCCAAGAGGGATACTCGCCGCGTTCAATCGCATTGAAGAGATCCTCGGTAGCATGGTCCGGATTGCTCGCCGTCAGAGCCGTGGCTTCCTCGTTCGTCATGTCCCAGTGTCCCTGGTCCGTCTTGAAGTGAAACTTCACGTACTTGAACGTGCCGTCGTTCTTGGTAAACTTGAACGTATGCCCTGAGAATGTATCGCAATGGCGATAGGAGCCGGGCGTGCCCCGGTCGCTGAACAACTGGATCACTTGGTGCACGGATTCCTGGTTGCTCGAGAGAAAATCCCAGAACATGGTAGCATCCTTGAGGTTTGTGCGAGGATTTCGCTTTTGCGTATGGATGAACGTGGGAAATTTGATCGCATCTCGAATGAAAAAGATTGGTGTGTGATTGCCGACCATGTCCCAGTTTCCTTCTTCCGTGTAGAATTTAATGGAGAAGCCTCGTGGGTCGCGGGCTGCATCGGCCGAGCCCTTTTCACCACCCACGGTGGAAAAGCGCACGGCGACTTTCGTCTTCTTTCCAATCTCGCTGAACAGGTCGGCAGACGTCTGGAGGATCGGTTAGCTGAGTCTTGCTTTACTACCAGTTTGGAAAACGAAAATGCCATACCACATCAGTTATGTCGTGAGCCACAATGAATTCTCCCAAAGCCCCTGCGCCCTTGGCATGGACAACACGCTCAGGGATGCGTTCTCGGTCGAAGTGGGCAAGCAGGTCGATGAGATGGAAGTCCTGTAGAAGGATGGGCCCGTGGTTGCCCACAGTTTGAGAAGCAGTGGCAAAGGTGATGGGACGACCATTGGAGGTCGTGTAGATTGGGCCTGCACCAGCCATGGTACTCTGAATCAAATTCTGATAGAACTTGGATCTTTCTCGGTCTTCGACTTCGTGGTCGAGTTCTCTTTGGCTTCAATCTGGTCGAGATAGTCACGCGGTCCATATTGGTAGATATATATCCTCGCAAGTTCCTTCAGATAAAGCACAATAACGTGCTCATAGCAGTGATTATCGCATTCTGACAAGTATTGATGTCTTCCGCAAGGCTGTATTCCACTGTCCCATGGACATGATTAGTGAGGCTGTCGTGCTTGGTAAGGAAATAAAGTGCGACATCGCTGCTTATTTCCTTTCATGGCTAATTCGACCGAGGTGCCGCCTTTCGAAAGGCACCTTTGCTGCTCTAACTGCGGACTTTGGGATCTCGTTCTCGCTTGCCGGATGGGGCATTTTCCTGCCTACTGTATTTGACTCATTTCAGCGAAGTCAATTTTGGAGTCTCGATTCTCGCCGGACGGAGACAAGACCTGCAAGACTGATACGCGCCAGAAACATCAGCCGCCGCTCACCAAGTCTTTTGGCCCTGAGCGTCCCGCACATCAATTTGGCATTGTCCCCGAGAAATTCCAATTATTTTTCTCACTTTGCAGATGAGGATGGGGTTGGATGTGACTTCACCAGGGATGAGCACGTTGGCTTGGGCGTGAGGCGGGTGAATTAATATAAAGTGAGGCGTCAAGCACGGTAAGTTTGGGGCTTGGGCATCAAGGCGCCTTTAACCCCCTTTTCACTTGAAACAAACCTGTTTTTCGAGACCCCCAGCGAGCCAAAGCACCAAGATTCATCAACAGTGCCAGTCTTCTCTCTGCACGCATTCAAAACCTAGAATAAACAACGGGTACCAACAACATTTGCTGAATTTAACGATTTCGGGGGAACATGTCGACACCAACGATAAAAGTTTTGGGCGTATCCGCAGCAGCGGAGCCAGGAATGAGTTTGGATGATAAAATGAATGCTCGATCACGGCTAAGGCTTCACGGTCGTATCAGCGTCTTCAACCAGGATGGCTCTTTCGATACTGTTCGTATCCAGTTGCAAGGTGCCATCCGTACCAAGATTGGGTCACAGGCTGCAGTTGAAAAGGTTGGATCCATGTCACCAATATCTAAGGACATGCGCTGACTTTGATCGATCAAGATCCCTTCCACATCCATTGTCAAAACCAACTTGGACTTCAAGCCGGTCTACTCTCCATCTCAACAGCGATCTGAAGAACAATATCTTGATTTCGTCTGTCCAATTCCGTCCCCCAGGAACGCCCCCTTCGGCGAATTCGTACCATCGATGACGCTGTCTGGTACCACATATCTCACCCGGGTGACTGCTCTGACGAACAGGGAGCTTTTGGAGGGCTCTTGTGAGGTAGCTTACTCGCTCGAGGCCGAGTTCTTGCGATCGCAAACGGGTCAGGTGGTACGGAGGATCAGTTGTCCAGTCAATGTCTCATCAGGTCTAACTCCTCTGGATGTGGAGGTCACCTCTCCAAGCCACTCAGACCAAGTTGAGCAGGTTGCAAAGCCTCAACTGCGGTTGAACAGATTGCTTGGGCCTCAGTCACAGCCTGAAGTATCCGTGCACTTGCCAAAGATGCTTGGCTGCGCTACCAACGACTTCTCCACAGCTTCCACTGGTTGCCGACGACTCACGGTTCCAGTCTCGGTCAAGGTCGGCTTACCATCGCACATTCGCCGACAAGCACAATCACTTCTTGAGACAGACTTGCTCAACTGTTCGGTAACGGCCCGGTGGTTTGCCAAAAGGACGTTCACAACTGGCTCTTCTGCTGTGGAGTCCACTGTTCACAGCGACCGAGCGTCGACACAGAAGTTTGCCCTGACATTACCGCCTCTCTACAAGACCAACACTGAGACTTCGAAATACACCACGTCAATGGAGCTGGAGCTTCTCGTACCGGAATCGATCTCGACACCATCGATTTCTACAGATCTATTGAAAGTCAGTTACACGCTTGACCTGTCAATGAAGTTCGAAGTGAGCGGGAACGATCGGCTTAAGGGCCCGCACACGGCAACTTTCAGTCTCCCAGTGGCGCTTTGGGCTGCTCAACCACAGTCGTTGATCAGCCGTCGCACTCTTGATCCACTCCTAGGACTTGTTGAGGAGCAATCAATCTATGCTCCGCCCCCATATGTATACTAGGCTTGCGGAAACGAGTTGTTTTGTACGATCTAGACCCATAATCTATCATGATCTAACGAGCACCGCGGGGAGGTAGTTCTTGATGCAATTAGACGTATCCAATAGACAATTGTAACAGTATAGCTGAATGGAGGCACCCGGAATAGATTGATTGTTTCGAACTTGGTCAAAATCACACTCCTCCCTGTACTGCGTAGACATCGGATTTCGTATCGGAGAAACTATACCCCGGCACATCAGTACCCCCAACGTCCCCATCTCACGCTTTGACGAGTAGGTTTCTAACCATTCTATTCTCATGTCAGCCGAGTGACTTCGACGTCTCTGTACCGGCCGCTGTGGCCGTGGACAGGTTCAAGATGTTGAGTGGCATCCTCCTTTTCAACCAGAAAGGCGAGAACCTCATCTTCAGAGCGTTTCGTCCTGACTGCCGCCCACGACTGGCAGACATCTTCCGCATCCAAGTCATCTCCAATGCTCAAGTTCGATCGCCCATTCTTACGCTAGGCTCAACTACTTTCAGCCATGTCAAGCACGAAAACATCTATCTCGTGGCGGTCACAAAGAGCAATGCCAACGCAGCCGTGGTGTTCGAATTCGTCTACAAATTCATTGCGCTGGGAAAGCAATACTTTGGCAAATTCGACGAAGAAGCGGTCAAGAATAATTTTGTCCTCATATACGAGCTTCTTGATGGTATGACCAGCCCTGGCACTCTTAAAAGACGCAGCTGACATTCTGTTAGAAATTCTCGACTTTGGCTACCCTCAAAACACTGATATAGATGTCCTCAAAATGTACATCACCCCGGACAACATTTCATCTGCCATTCGATCCGTCTCCGCACCTCCGAGCGACACTTCCAAGATCACAATGCAAGCCACGGGCGCTCAGTCATGGAGGAGAGGAGACATCAAGTATCGGAAGAACGAGGCATTTGTGGATGTCATAGAGGACGTGAACCTGCTCATGAGCGCCACCGGAACCGTCCTTCGTGCAGATGTCACAGGGCAGATTGTCATGAGAGCATACCTGAGTGGAACACCGGAGTGCAAATTTGGTCTCAACGATCAGTTGGTAGTGGGCCAGATTGCGCACGGTGTAGACGGTCCCATCGGAAATCAAGATGGGAGACGCAAGGCCACAAGGGCAGCCGCCGGCTCTGTCACGTTGGAAGATTGTCAATTCCACCAGTGTGTCCAGCTCGGCAAGTTTGAGACAGACAGGACGATATCCTTTGTTCCGCCCGACGGAGAGTTCGAATTGATGCGCTACCGAGCTGTCGAGAACGTTAACCTGCCATTCAAGGTCCACGCCATTGTCCGTGAAGTTGGCACCACAAAGGTGGAATACAGCATTGCGGTCAAGGCCAATTATGGTAGCAAACTGTTCGCGACCAACGTGGTAGTAAGGATTCCCACCCCACTGAACACTGCCAACATCACAGAACGGACCACTCAAGGGAAAGCCAAGTACGAACCTGAAAACAACTGCATCGTATGGAAGATAGCACGATTCGTTGGCGGCAGCGAATTTGTGCTCAGCGCCGAAGCCCATCTCACAAGCATGACGAACCAAAAGGCTTGGTCGCGACCTCCGCTAAGCATGACTTTCTCTTTACTCATGTTCACGAGTTCCGGACTGCTGGTGCGGTACTTGAAGGTTTTTGAAAAGAATAACTACAGCAGCGTCAAATGGGTCCGCTACATGACCAAAGCCGGGAGCTATGAGATTCGATTTTGAAGTGTCTCGGTCATGTTTCGATACGTCCTTAGCGATTGTAACAACACTTCCATGGCTACCATTCCTAATGTAGCTTGAACTGAAGGCCAGGACGCGGTGAACAGACATTCAGCCATTGAAGCGCTCTCTAGTCAAGTCAACCGAAACTTGTTCAATGTCACCGAGGGGATTGCGGACGAGGCTGAAAGCATTGCCAACTGTCCCGATCGACATGTCAAAGGTCTGCTCGAATCGTGCCACCATCAACAGCTTCGACACCCTGCTTTTGAAGCCAGAAACTACACGATCACCCAAAGTGCCTTGCGGAAGCTTTGGAACGACATGAAAGATGCCAGGTATGGAAAAATGAGGGAGACGCAATCGAGGCGTCCGTCTGAGCCAATGGTATTTCAAGCATATACCTACTAGAGCCAGCTCGCTGGAGCTGGAAAATTATATTCATACATGCAGGAAGCGTGTGGGACCGTTCCATGCCAATCATTGTCAGCAAGAACCATCACCAACTCGAAATGTCCAAATTTGTTCTTGAGACTCTCCCACCTCTTCTCAAGCCAACATTACCTTCTCCCACTAGCAAGCTCCACCTTCTTCCAAGGCTGTCTCTATCCTTGCCCAGTTTCCTTGCGCAGTCATTCCAATCGCGTTTTGACAGTTTCAGCTTCTCGAGCACTGTTTCTACCAACAGTCGGTCATCGTCTTCGGTCCATTCTGCGTCTTCCACTGGTGGAGATGATCCGTATGCCGAATCCTGGTCTGAGGGCATGAGGGCATGAGGACTGATCATGGGCATGTCGAGCTTCACCTCCTCTTCCACAGGTGTGTCAAGTGCGCGGAAATCATCTGCCGAGAGACCCAATGGCATGGACAGAGGGACCTTCCGCCGTCTTTTTGGAGTGCGAATTTGCTGAGGTGTGCGCTGACAATCTCCCATGAGCACATCTCCAGATGATTGCGGAATCATGTCCTGTTCGAAATCACTGCGCCGTCGCTTATTCGCGCGTCTGGGTGGTGTTTGCGTTTCTCCGGAAGGAGTGGGTTCTTCTGAGGGCGCAAAGGGATTGCCTAATTCGAGAGGCTGATCTGATCGTGTGTGCTGGATTGCACCAGGGGCTCCTAGAATGGCCTGCAGTGCGCGACAACTCGAGGATAGAGGACTCGGGCGCGCTTTTGTAGAGTACCGAGGATCGTATGCGCCGAAGGACGGGAGCTTAGGTCTGTGAGGTCTTGACTGAGGCTGGAAGGCGCCATCGCACGAGAATGCGGATGGGAGCAGCATGGTCAATGCGCGCAGAGGTGAGGTGAGGTGCAGTGCGCAAAGCGTTCGAGAGATGCGCCAGGAATTGTACCGACGCGCAGGGAGGCAACCAGGACAGCAAAGGCGGGCGCATGTATTCGTAGGTGTGTTCTGAAGCTCAAGGGAACGCTGTCTGAGGATCGAGAATGCTGGGAACAAGCTCTTTTGCTGATGATGGATGTGAGACGGAGACCGAAGGGCTGCAGGTAGAGCAGACCGCAAGTGTTGGAAATTGTGACGAGAGGGATTCAAAGAGGAGCAGGATCTGCGCAAGGCGCCGGGAAGGAAAAGGCCCGATGCAGGACGCAGGACGCTCCATGTGCAGGCGGCAGCGCCCCCAGCGAGCCACCCTCCATCAACGCCTAATTAAGCAACCATACTACCTAGCCAGCTAGCTTGGTACTTAGGGTGCTGGCTAAGACACCGAAGACACCGCCCATTGACAGTGAGGACAGCACTTGGACAGCAACACAGCGGGAACACGCACTGCACACCCTGCGCCGCCCCTCCGCCATCTGACTCCATGAAATCAAATCCGTCTCTGCTTCTGGTAGCCGATATGCTAGCTACAGTAGAACGCGTCATTTCGTCTACTTCTACTCGGTGCTCGACAACTAGTCACACGGACTCCATGTTACAAGTCATGGCAGCTGTGGGTGAGAAGTCCTGCCTATCGTTTCTCCTGCCTGGGATCTCACAGCCGAACCACAGCCGAATCACGGCCGCTTCCCTTGGTCTTGCGATGGGCCGCTGTTCTCTCGATCGTTGACCACCTTTTGGACCAGTTCGGATCCAACGGTCGTGCAGTAGCTGGACCTTTGGTCTGTTGCAACTGCTCCGAACACTGACCGACAAAGCTACTAGATAAGTATCGATTGGCGTCGGAGAATTTGTTATCCAAAACCTGGTCAAAGTCTGGCCAGTGCAGTGTTCGCGATGAATCAAGCTTCCTGCTACGAGCACGAGCTTGCGTCAATTCAAGCCCAAGCAAGCCCCAATTTCAGGGATGTGCTTTCAGGGAAATTGGCTGATGTACCCAGTACCTTGTACCGAGCAGGCTGGCCAGCTCGGCCGTCTCAGGACTCAGGCGCGTGGGATGGAACCGGACGCGTTCGCGACACGCTAGACAAAAAGCAGAAAAGCGTCGCCTTGTGACACCACGTGACTGAGCCTTTGGCTCGCCCCTTGCTCGCCTCAAGCCCACACCGCGAGGCTGCACATTCCTCGACTTCATCTGGACTCCCAACCCCTTCCATGGCCAACATATCAATGCGCTACAATCTCTTCTCCCTTCTGTTTTCATCAAGTTCATCAAGCGCGAATTATACACCTCTCAGTGCTATGTCATTTTCCCCACAAGCTTACGCAGACCAATGCCGACGCAGTGGACTCACTTGATGCACAATGCCTGTCTCACGGTCCAGATCTCGCCTACCAAACAAAGCCTTTCGCGGGCCTCATTGTCCTTTCTGCAGTTTTCAAACCACGTGCGTAAGGCTGCTGGTGAATTCTCTCCCTCGTGCCTTTGTTTTTGTCCTCCACACCATCTGCATGCAACCTCGGGACCCTCCCAGAGGTTATCGAAATGAATACCTCATTCTCATCTGCCAATGGGCGCATCAGCTTGCCTATTGCGGCGAAAGATACATCCCAAAGCAGCCAGAAAGCTTCTTTGCTTCTTTGCTCATGAATTGCGAGGACAAAACTACACTCCCCTCGTCCGCTGTGTCGTTCTCTTCTTCCAGACTGGCCCCCCGTCACTACGTAAGGTCTGTCGTACGTGATCAAGATGAGGAACATCCAAGCCGCCATTCTGGCTATCGTGCTCAGCTGGTCCTTCGGCCATGCCGATGCTTTCTGGCGTATGGTTTGCGGAACCATCCAGGTAGGCAGAGTCGACCCCATCGTCAATCCCGGTGGGATTTCCGGTCACTGTCATACCATTGCAGGGCCAAACAGTAAGTATTGGCTTGGCAGATCTTGAGGGACCCACGTCACTGACTGCGAGTAGATATCAACACGACATCGACGTTTGACAGCCTCCAAGCTTCTTATTGTACTTCCTGCAGCATCCAAAAAGACAAGAGCGCTTACTGGACCCCGAATCTGTACTATAGACATCGCAATGGATCCTTTGAGGAAGTGCCACATGATGGAACAGTCGTGTACTATTTGGATCGTGGTGTGGACGTAGCCAACATGGTTCCTTTCCCCCCTGGCTTCCGTATGCTTTCTGGCGACGCCGCCGCTCGGTCATTCGACCCGAACACCATGACCTACGGCAACAAGACTTACGGCGGTACTCCCGTTTCCAACCGTGCCAGTTTCGCTTGTTTGGACAGCAGTGGACCCCAGCCAGAAACTCCAGGCTTCAAGTCCACCAAGTGCGATTCAGGCCTTCGTGCCCAGATACACTTCCAAAGCTGCTGGGATGGTGTCAATCTGTACAAGACTGACCAAAGCCACGTGGCGTACCTATCTGGAATGGACAATGGCATCTGTCCGCCCACTCACCCCAAGCTTCTTCCTCACTTGTTCTTCGAAATCATCTATTCCGTCAACAGCGTTGATCAATCTGACGGTGGCATGTTTGTCTTTTCCCAGGGTGACACAACAGGCTATGGCTTCCACGGCGATTTCTTGAACGGCTGGGACGTCGACGTCCTGGATGCAGCGATTGACCAGTGCATGGGTCCCAATGCCTCCAACAATGGTCAGATCGGTCTGTGCCCACCTCTTCAAGCCTCGGTTGACCCTTATTTCAACCAGAACTGCCCGGAACAGGCTCCTCTCGTCAACGAGACGGTCCACGGTCTGCTTAAGGTGCTTCCAGGTTGCAATCCTCCAACAGGCGGGCCATTACGCGCCACCCAAAACATCTGTCCTGTCCAACCGACGCTCAATTACATCCCCAATCAAGATTGGAAGAACCGGTCCGTCGCCGTTCCCGGTCAAAAGGTGGGCAGCTGGCAGTATATGGGCTGTGCGCTCGACTCGAGCACCCCTCGCCCGCTGGCCGGTTTGAGCTACACCAGTCAAACCAACATGTCTATCGAGAGCTGTACAGCTTTCTGCCAGCAAAACGGCTACTTTATGGCTGGAATGGAGTACTCGACTCAGTGCTACTGCGCTAGCTCGCTGACGCAGCCCCTGCAGTCCCCACTCAACTGTTCACAGCAAAATTACATGATTTGCAGCGGCAATCAATTCGAGTATTGCGGTGGACAGAGCCTCATGCAGATATGGAATGACACCACTTACTCGGGGCCGCCAATCAAGGGTACACCTATAGCCGGTTCGACGGTGATGACTGTCCCGGGCGGTGGAAATGCGACCTACCAAGGCTGTTACGTAGAAGGTGTGGGAGGCCGAGCCTTGTCGGGTACATCCTTCTCCAACAGTACAGGTATGACCCTGGAGCTCTGTGCTGCGTTCTGCTCGAAAACCAACTCTGCGTTCTTCGGCACCGAGTATAGTCAAGGTGAGCCTCGTTTCCATCCACTTCGTAGTCCGATTTGACTGATTTGAACTCCTTCTAGAATGCTATTGCGGTAGCAGCATCAGCACCGCTACAGCTCCCCAGTCGGACTGTTCTGCCTTCTGCTCCGGTGACAAGACCGAGTTCTGCGGCGGCGGCTCTCGCCTTTCTGTCTGGGCGTTAGGAAACTACCGGCCGCCTACTGGAAGCCAGACCGGCACCGGTGGGAATACTGCACCATCCTCGACCGCCAGCGCTGTCCCCGCCGCCACAGGAATCAGCTCAATGGGTTGCTATAGCGAGACTACCCCAACACGAGCCCTGACCGCACTTTTCACCTCCGGCAGCTCGATGACCATCGACCTCTGCGCGCAGAATGCTCAACAGATGAATCTGCAGTACTTTGGTGTGGAATATGCCTCGCAATGTCTTGCAGGCAGCATCCTGAACCCATCTTCCACCGCGTTAGCATCTTCAAGATGCAGCATGAAATGCGCGGGCAACACCACTCAAATATGCGGAGGTTCCAATGCCATCTCTCTGTACAAGAATACATTGTACATCAAGCCGTTCAACCCGAACCCGGCCAACGTGCCGAACCAGCCCGGTTCTCAGTACGGGTACGTAGGATGCTACAATGAAGGCAACGGCGCCCGAGCGCTGGGCAGCACCGACAAATTCGGCTCTGCGGCCACCACCTCGGCGGCGCTGACGGTTGAGGCCTGCGCCGCGTTCTGCTTCTCAAAAGGGTACAACTGGATGGGCGTGGAGAACGGGGACCAGTGCTTCTGCAATGCCGCGGGCGTTATCAACGGCGCCACCGTCTCCTCCGGCGGCGACGCCGACTGTAACGTCACGTGCGCTGGCAACGCGACCGAGAACTGTGGCGCCAGCGCAAAGTTGAACGTATACCAATTGACCAGTGGGAGCGGGAGTGCGCGGTTCGCCACGACGGGCAAGACGAGTAAGAGGGCCATGAGGTTTCGAACATGGTGAGTGAGTGAGTGAGTGAGTGAGTGAGTGAGTGAGTGAGTATGTTCTATATGATCGCAACAAGGACAACAGCCTCAAAAAGGGCTAAAAAAAAGAGGAAAACGAAGGGAAGGCAAGAGCGTTGTTTTCTACGCAAAGTCATTGTTGATACATGCATCCATGCCGTCTATCTTTGGTGTGTGACTACGGTAGATAAAAGGAGACCGGGGCCACGAAGATTGGGTCAAAAAGACATGCAGAAAATTCTCCCATTATAGTGTGTATTGCTGAATGATGATCTTTCTACCAGCACTCTCTCTCCCCCTTCCCTCTGTTAGTGCGTATGTATTGGATTTGGAGCCCATTGGCGCAGACACAAGGGTGGTATGTACATTGTACAAAGGTCGCGACGGGTTGAAGAGCTAGTAAAGACTTTGCATTATTTGTGTATCGGAAAATGCCCAAGAACTCCCTGGATCTTAAGACGTGGGTCTCAAATTCTCATGAGAGACTCTACCGTACAATGCAAAACACGATGTTGCTGAATCGAAGGAGAAGTGTCTGTCACATGACCTCAGCAACAAGACCGGATCAAAAGGTGGCTGATCTACTCCTGAGTCTCAGACTTCTTCTGCCTCTCTCGAACAATCTCTCCTCACGGATCCGCCTCAATGTCTGTCTGTCCAAATCCCAGTTTTCTGCAGGATGAGCGAGGCCCCAGTGCAGAATGTTGAGGGAATAGTCCTTGGTGAGCATGGCGCATGCCGTACTGCGGGGATATATGACATTGGCTGTGGCAAGAACAAGTTGAGTGTTGCGTTTAAAGAAGCGGCCAAGGCAAGGGTCCGGTTTTGGCGTCCATCGCATGGCGATATTCAGGCTTCCGTACAGCACGGTGGATCCCTCACTCCATATTCTTTTGCAGACGCTGAGAAACTGTGCTGAAAGACCGAGGCTGTCGACGTAATACCGGGAATCGTATAGTTGAGACCACTCCAAGTCTTCCGTACTTGAAACTTGAGGTCTATCAACCGCCTGTTTCAGGCCAATTGTGGAGAGGGCTGGGTCCGGAGAACAGAGGAAGCAGAGGACCTGACTGTCGTCGATGAAGAGCTCGTCGTAGATCATATTCATGATTTCCGGAGGGTAGTTTAAGAAACCCATTGGACCAGTTGTATCGCGAGGCTTGATGATAGGGAGGTCGTCCATTTCGAGCCCTGTGGGGTTTAGTTGATTGAGTATGCGCTGCTGGATGCCAGTTTACGGGCAGAATAGTGAGATGAAAACGAAAGTACCTCGGGCCTGGCGATGCTGAAAGATAGATAGTAAGATTCTGTTCCTAACGATGGATCTGCAGCCTGACAGTATGCGGCTGGAGGTAAATGTGTATCATGGACTGACGAGGGGAGAAAGCGAGTAGCGAGCTGGTAAGTAGACATTCTCGTGGGTTTGGTTCCGTGTTTGTTGACCGGCAGGAGCAGAAGTCCTGAGAAGGGCAAGCACATAGCAGCTCAACGGGAGGCACAAGGCGTGTCGAAGGTACAGGCAGCAGCAGCCTCCCCAGTGAGTAGAAGCGCGGGCTCACTATCCTCCACAAGGTACCCGTTTGGCCCGTCCTCTTCATCGCTTGGCCTTGTTCCTTGCTATTTTCTTCTTCCGGGCGATTTCTGATGCGAAAACGACCGAGTTCTTGGAGTTCCTCTTGGAGACTTTGCGCACTTTGTGATTGACCCGGCTGCTAGCCGTGGAAGACTTGACCGGCTTCATGCTCGGCCCTTGTGCATCGACATCCATTACTGCGTGATCAAATCAGTGGTGGCTCGATTGTGGGAAGATGAGCGCAGGTACCTTCGGAGCTGCTCCTGTGAGGCTGGCCTCCTGCAGCTGACCCAGCTTTGTCGTCCACGTCCATGACCTTCTCCGTCTCTGGTTTTGGTTTCGCTGCCAGCTCTTGGAGTTTTGCAGACAGTCTGGCTGTGCGGGCATCCGAGGCGGGACCATACACCTTGGCGCGCAGGTTGCGATGGTTCTTCTTGACCACGGAGGCCCGAGCAGATTTGGCCATGGCTGCTGAGGTCAATGGTGCGGGTTTGGCAGAGGAATGCAGGGAGTTGGAAAAGTTGAACGCTGTGAAGGCTGGCATGCGGTGGGCAATGAGGGCGAGGGATGGATTTTCTGGCAGCCAAAGTTGCCGGGGTTTCGCCGATTCGCGATATAATGAGCCCAACCCAAGTGACCACTGACCACTGACCACTGACCAGTGACTGCGGCTCTTGACAACTCGGCGGAGGGCAGCAACCTCGCATCCATCACCGTCCTCATCTCTTCACATCCTCACATCCTCACACCCACCTCACCTTGCAAAAGTTCTGACGGCGAGGGGGGAAATGTAGCCACCCTCTACTTTGTGTTCCTCTTCCTCTTGCTCACACGTTTCTCCGTCACCTTCTGCTGTGCTGTCCGCCGGCGGAGATAGAGAGCGTCCACAGAGGTAGTGACTGCGCGCAAGTTCGCTCCCGCTCCCGCTCTCTTCTCCAACCATGTTTCGACATCGTCGCCACCGATAGTCCCAGCCCGATTCCCATCCTTCCTCTGTTGGATTGCCTTGTAAAGAGAACCAGAAGCACAATTACAACACCATGGCAGGCACCATGGCCGCATACATGCCTGCCCAGGCACAAGACAATGTACAAGCATTGATTGCCGAAGTGAAAACCCTGACTGTCGAGAAATTGAAGAATGTACTACGCAGCGAAGGCCTGGCATTGTCTGGAGTCAAAAGTGAACTACAAATCAGAACAATTGCCCGTACGACAACTTTCCCCTCCGAACTGCCCCTCCCACCTCTCTCCCTCTGCCTTGTCCTGACTTCGCGTCTCTACAGATATCGAGAAACTACGCAATGCCTCAGACATAGCAGCGCTGAATCGGATCCGGGGGACGCTTAGAGGGCTCCCTTCTCCATACCACAACAGCAACTCTTACCATCCGCATTATTCGAACCTCACGCCCACGTCTTCGGCCTCTCCCCAGTTTTCCTCACCGAGCGCCCACAACTCCTACAGCATGCCCTTCAACCAGACTTCTGGTGCAAGTATGGGACATCGTATCGAGAAATGGAAGAGGCGCTGACCAAGAGTAGGTCGATTAACTTTCAAGGGCTCACCTTTCTACACCATCGCCAGGCAGCTCACTCAGGTCTACGAATGCAAGGGTAATTTCGATATCTCCGCTTGGAACCATGGCGTCGCTTACTAGAATCTAGCTCGAGAGTCAGCCAGAGACACTGCGCGGCTCGTAGTTTGCCTGCCCCAAGATATCATTGACAAACTGAGCAAGGATCCATCATACCGTGTCATGGTCTTTTGCGCCTCGGAGAATTCCGGAGCTTTCATGAGAGAACCATCTGACATTGCATTTCCTCACAATGTGGAACTGAAGTGCAACGCGAGCGAGGTCAAGGCGAATCTGAAAGGGCTGAAGAACCGACCCGGGTCTACTAGGCCTGCCGATATTACGAGTCTGATCAAGAAAAAACCCGCCAATTATCCCAATTCAGTCGAGATGATCTATGCTCTTACCACAAAGGTGCGCCAGATGATTCGTCCCCCCCCCCCCTCCCCCAATTTTTTCATTTGTGTCCGATCTCACATCAAGAACTCTCAATGCTAAATAGGACAAATCTGCCGCACAGAAGTTCTTTCTTGTAGTCAATCTAGTCCTGCAAAAGCCCATTGACAAAATGGTCGCCGATATCAGGCGAGGCCGCATGATTAGCAAAGATCAAGTCCTTCGGGAGAGTGAGTTCACCTTGCCCTCATTTTGGATTGAGTACTTATATGAATCAGTGCGCCGAAAGGCTGAAGACCCGGATGAAATCGTAGCCACATCTATGGTTCTTTCGTTAAAGGATCCCGTCGGTTATACACGCATAAACACGCCCTGTCGTGGTATCGGTTGTAACCACCTACAATGCTTTGATGCAGCCCTATATCTACAACTTCAGGAGCAAGCGCCTACGTGGACATGTCCAATCTGCAACAGAGCTGCGCCGTGGGAACAGCTGGCTCTGGATCAGTATGTTAACGACATTCTGAACCTGACGCCAAAGAGTGTCGAGGCGGTGACCGTCGAAGTCGACGGGAGATGGCACATCCAGAGCGAAACCGATACTACTGGTCGCAGGTCTAACCCCACGCCATCTGATGATGACGATGATGACGACGGCGATGGCGATGACGACGGCGATCTAGTGGAGATCAGCAATGGACCCAGTTTCCGGCCCTCGAATCTGGAATCATTGACGCCGTTCAGTGTCAAGACACCGCCATTGTCCTCTAGAGAAGTATCCATTGCTCCTTCAGGGTCGAAACCGTCGTCACACAACAAGAAGAGACCTCGCGAAGTCATTGATTTGACCCTGAGCGATGATGAGGACGCCAGACCAGCTCCAAAGGCCCCAAGGATGTCCAACTCTTATGTCTCTGTGGATGCTTCCGCCGCGCGACATCCACCACCAGATCGGGTCTTCTTTCAGCTACAACCTCCGCCTCAACCTACGCCTTTTAACTTTGACAGATTTAATCCATCGCTTTAGCGTTCCGCATGGGGCTTACAGACTTTCGTTTCGATTCGCATGGCGCTAGGGGCAAAGGCTGGGATCAATGGCGACAAAATGAACATTTTGGTGGACGAAGGTCAGGGTCGGAAAGCGCTCACGGGAATTTTCAAAGCAACACGTGGAGGGAGGTTGAATGCATGGGGATTTTATCGCTAGGAGGACCAACCCTCTCGGAAGTGAGAGAGAGCTGTGCACCACGACAGGGGAATGGAATCACGATTCATGAATTCTACTCATACAAACTGGGATGAACTGCAGCAAAGGTATATTTCAGGGAACGATGATCAACACTGGACAGAGGAGGGGGTGAATGCAGGATTAGCACATGCAACGCATGAATGAACAGTTGCCGAGGGTAAATGCATGCCCGCATATAATACACCAACAGCGTCCTCTATCGTTATGCTTCAACATCGGTCGACATGGCTCTGCATACGAACAAGGTCGAATTCCATCTTCTCAGCTGTGGCCTTTTACAAAGAATACAATGTCTAGAGAGATCTACGTTTCAGGGGCCATATTTCATTATTTTTGCATGCAGCACCCAGCAAAAGTGTATTTCATCTTTACAGTGCTCCTAATGTGCACCAACGTCTCGTAGGGGGGTATTCGCTCTACACCGCTCCGGGTAGAAGACATTCTCGCTCGGCGTGACATATTCATCCATGGCCATGTACAATATGACAGAGCCCTCAATACCGGCTCTGTTTTCATCTTCGTACAAGCACGGCGACAACACACCACCTCTGGGCCTGGTCTTTATTCTCCCCGGTCCGGACGGGCCCCCAGGGCCTGCGAAGGCCGTTCACATCGATCTCGAAGATCTCTGCGGCGCGAAGATGGCCCGTGACGTCTTCTGCTGCCTCGAGTTCTTGGTCCTCGTCTGTTGCTCTGCGCTTGTCTTTGTCGCCTTCTTCTGTCTCGAAGGGCGGCGGCGGCGGCGGCGGCGGCGGCGGTGGGAGCCTATATTCTCCTGTGGCCACCTCGAAGAAATGCCGCACGGTCTCGCGGCCGGTGTGGAAGCCGGCAACCACCAACGCACAACTCTCGGTAGGACTTGCGGGGTGCTGCGAGCGGTCTTCTCGGCGGAGATAGTGCAGGATGGTCCTGACGAGGTTGACGTGCTGAGAGCGCATCCAGAGACAGTCTGCTATGACGATACGGTCAAAATCTATGGGCTGTTGCTCGGCCCGTTTACCGTATCGCGATGGCATGTACATGGTCGTCGTGCCCCACGTGTAGCCGAATATATCGACCGGTCCTGACTTCGACGGCGAAGTCGATGAAGACTTGGTGTCTGCTTCACCCGATTCCGATCGTTCGGTGATGTTTGTCCGAACATTCTGTGCGATGGCGCCGGTGGTCAAAGCGGGCGAAGACGGGTGGTCTGTGATGGTTGCCGAGAGCGCGCCAGAGCGGGCAGAGATGATGGATGGCAAGGCCGTGCCTGGCTCGCCCGTGAGCGAACATTCCATTTTGCATGGCTCTCCAGTGTCTGTCTGACCTACGTCGAGTTGAATATTCTCACGTACCAGCGCCCAGTTCAAGAATTCGCTTCCCTCTGACATCCCAGTATCTCTTCTCCCATTCTAGGGCCTCCTGTGCCCCATGTCCGTCGCTGTGCGATCCGAGCCCTTCATCGGAACTCGCCGTCTCCAACCCATCCGCCGCGATCACGGCCGCGTTCCACAAGTAATGCGCGAAAAGCCTCCTCCCCTCCTCGACATGCGGGTACTGCGGGATCCTCAGGTCGATTTTTCCGAACCGCGGCGAGTGATAGATCAGATGGCCGCCGGGGACGCCGTGGTTATTTTGCACGACGTCGGTGAACAGGCTCGAGAGGGCCGACGAGAAGATGTCTTCGGACTGCGGATCGGACGGGAGGGGCGTCGTGATGCGCGAGGGAAACATGGCGGCGAGGCTACGCTGGTGATTGTACCGAGTACGCACAAAGAGAGGAAAGGTCCAATCGCCTGTTAGGGGAAGGTAGAAGTAACATGCATCGCGAGTATCTTTGGGGGTTGTCGAAAAGCGTGCAATGTGCGCGACTCGCCGTTGGAATAGAGGAGTGGGGGAGTCTTGGGGAGTATGACCGAGCTCGTACTTTCTGCTGGGTGTTGCCCTGCAAGGCTGAGCCACACGGGATGTCGCCCTTGGTGAGTCCAGATTTGCCTCAAGGCTCGAACAAAAACCATTTCCGTAGCTTCTCGACGACTTGACACCCACGTCCCAACCATATCCCATTGCAAACATGTCTCTAGAGCAATCCCACCCAGTCCACCTCGAACCCAGCGAGCTGGGCACCAAAGAGTAGTGAGTGCGTCCCTACGGATCCCCGGCCTCGCGGCGCCCTCGCTGATAGACATACCAACAACAAAAGCTGGGACGAATACTACCAGAACGATCTAGAAAACGGGGCTGTCCACTCCGATGACGAGGGTGACGCGGACGTCGAAGGCGACGGCGATGAGAAAACCGGGAGTCAGCAACAGCCTCCCGATCCCTCAGAACTGGACTCGTGGTTCGACGACGTCGGCGCCCCAGCAAAGACGCTGGCATTCCTGACCTCGACCACGTTTCCTCTCTCACCGAACTACGTCTCCCTGTCGGGACATACGAGGCAGGCGCCTTCAGTGCTAGACTTGGGCACCGGCAACGGCGGCGCCTTGTTCGCACTGCGTCTCCACGGCCATTACACCGGCCGCATGGTCGGCGTGGACTACTCGAGCAAGAGCGTCGAACTGGCGCGGACGCTGTGCGCGCAGTATGCTTCGTCGGCCTCTTCCGCCACAGACTCGGGCTCGAGCGTGGACAACATCGCGTTCGAGGTCTTCGACATCATCCACGACTCTCCCCATGGGCAGCCGTGGTGGGACGCCTCTCTCGGCCCGGGCGGTTTCGACCTCGTCCTTGACAAGGGCACGTTCGACGCTATTTCTCTCTCCTCGGCCACCGTCGCCGACCCGGCGTCCTCCAACCGCCACCAGAGACGAATCTGCGAACTCTACCCCGCCAAGGTCCTGCAGATGGTGAAACCCGGCGGCTACCTGCTGGTCACGAGCTGTAATTGGACCGAGGCCGAAGTTGTCGCTTGGTTCACGACGCGTCCACCAGGTGGCAGTGAGAACGAGGTATTTGAGGTGTACGATGCGATCAAGTACCCCGTCTTCGAGTTCGGAGGGCAGAAGGGACAAGGCGTTGCCAGTGTTTGTTTCCGAAAACCGCAGAGAACCGAGACAGATCAAGGACGAATGTGATTCCGGGAACGGACGCTACTAAAAGGTTTTTGTTTGATTTTGCCTCATCCTCAGGTTCAGCAACAAAGTTACGCTACCTCCTGCCCCGTTTCCCATGCGAATGGCAGCTTTGAAAATGTCCCCCGAGCACCCGATTCGATCGTCAAGCCTTACCTCAAATCCAAGGTAGGACCGGCCCCTAAATCGCTCTGGCATCTCTCATATGGTCATCAGCATCTGCAAGCAGGGCAACACTCGCTATCCCATCTGAACACGTGGCATATTTCGTTCGACCAGCTGGGGGCCCCTTTGGTCATCAATCATCTTTTCAATCATCCTCAACCCTGGTTCATCAACATATTCACTGCCCAAGGAACCGACAACTGGCGCAGATCCCCGTAATGCTGGCCGACACCGATAAACTGCACTGGCACCGAAGTGGCATGCACGAGACTGATCATTGTCCCAATCCCAGATCCAACAGTGTCAACCTTGGACACAATGAACCCATCGAGCTTTCGATTCTTCCCGAGCGCTTTGGTGAAATTCTGCGCTTGGCCCACCGAATCATTCCCTACCAGCGCCTCGGCAACTTGGAGGATCAAGTCTGGTTTTGCCAAGTCAACAAGTTTCTCCAGCGCGGCCATGAGTTGCGTGTTAGTATGGGCTCGTCCGGCGGTGTCAATGAGGACGACCTGATAGTCGTTCTCTTTGGCAAAGGTCACTGCATCCCTAGCCACGTTGGCTGCATCCTTGCCGTAACCTCGTTCGTAGATACTGACCGCGCCGAGCCCTTCGCGAGCTGTGAGCTCCCTCAAGTTGCGCACATGGACGTTCAATTGTTCCACGGCACCCGATCTAAACGTATCGCCCGCCGCAATCAAGACGCGATAGTTGTTTTGCAAGAGAAAATAGCAGAGTTTTGACAGGTTGGTGGATTTTCCGACGCCATTTACACCCAAGATGGTGATGACAAACGGACGGGGTTGCGCTTTTGCTCCCGTTGGCTTTGCGATGGTTTCGATCTGCTGAAGGAGGTCCAGTGACGATCTTGGCGTGAGAATCTTTCTGAGTGAATTTTCCAGCGCTGGGCGCAATGCGGCGTCGATTGATTCGAATGCCCCTGTCTTCTTACCAACCATTTCAGCCTCCACCCCTTGACACAGTCGAATAGCGGCATCACGAGCGACGTTCTTGTTGATCAGGTGTTCCTCCATGGACTTCAGAGGCTTCTCCAGGTCTTCCTTCGTCAATGTCTTCCCACCCACAATGTTCCTGAAGTATCCTGAAATTGCACCGAAGGTCGTCTTTCCAGTTCCGTTGATTTCGCCTTTATTGGCGTCTGCCGACCTGAGAATGTTGTTGACCTCGTCGCCCAGGTCTTTAAGGACAAATTGGCCTTGTTTGTTCTTCGTGCCCCAACTTTCTTGGGAGATGCTTTCCGGTGACGGAGACCCTTTCGCCGTTTCTCCATTGGCGCCAGTATCACCAGCCGAATAGTCGAGTTTTACATCATCCTCGACGTCTGCAATTCCATCGGGACCCCAAACTCGACCCTTCTTCGTGCTGGTTCTGGCAGGCTTGTGTTTTCTAGCCTCGTCTCCGCTTGAGACATTGGCAGAAGCTGCAGCGTGGGCAGCCTTCCTTGCTCTGCGAGAGCCCCGACTTTGCGGCCTTCCATTCTCCGTCAACAAGTGTGGCGCGATGCCCGGAAGAGGAGTCGTCGGACGGGATGTATCAGGCGAGTGGACAGGAGTGTTCTGGAGAGAACCTTCACTGATGACCGGCGCAGCCAGAGGCTGTGCCATCGCAGGCTGTGGTGTTTCCGGCGGCGGCGGGCCTCCATTGTCCCCGTCTTCGGCGCTTGTTTTCTTTTCTTCCTGCGGCAGTTCAACGTGACTTGCCTCCCTGGTGATTGCTCCGCCTGTGCTTTCATCCAGTCGGCGCATCTCCTCATCGAAATACGGATCGAAAGGATATTTCAGAGCAGCGTAGTCGAGTTCCTCCAGCTGGCCTCTGTAGACTTCGACAAAGATGGTCCGGATGTCATCGAGCAGCTTGTCAACCCAGGTAAGGTGAAGAAGAGACTGATAGACTGCCACGAAGATCAGGCCCAGGTCCTTGACCAGTGTATATTTCAACGTGTATTTGTCGTGGCGGTACGTGGGATTGTTCGAGCTGGTCGCTGTCGGGCGGACTTTCTCCTCGATGAAGACATCGTTGATCAAACTGTTGACTGCGGCTGCGCCGACCTGGGAAGAGGATCTCGACCACAAGACGACGCCAGAGGTCGTCAAGATTTCGAAGGCGTCTAACATTTTGCAGGAGAGAGCTGGCTCCCTCTGGAGACAGAGGCCGCTGGCAAACAAGGAGATGGGACAAGAGGGCGAAAGCAAGACCGACCGAAAGCGACTGGATGGTTGAGCGAAGCCACCAAGGCGAACTTGTAAAATGACGTTGAAGTCACGGTCACGTGCTGATACGGTTTTTGTGGTCCTCCGTCGTCGCCAGGACCCTGTTCGGCGAAGCATTTTGGTCATTTCACGTGGAGATAACAACGGAGGAGTATATCGCCTTTCACGCAGTTCAAGCATCTTCATTCATCCACCTTGGTCCCTTGACGGCATTGTCTCTCATCCACTACAAGTACATCATCTAGAAGCGGCTGTCAATGTTTGTGGTTCTCATTGCTTCCTCCCTATGTATCACTCACTGTCTCAAGATGCGAGCATCAGCATGGGACGGCAAAGCACCAAATGAGCGACGGGCTATGGGAGAAAGATTCAGCATATTTCTGGAGATGACGGCTTTACTGATCGGCAACTAGATCCTGGTTGCGGTCAAGCGCTTGTGCTCCGCGCAGCTACCCAGTCACCGAACTCGTCCTGGTTTCTGGTCTGGATGTAGATCCTGCCAGGTCCCGTAAATCTGCACACAAGACCTTCGCCGGTCGTCATGCTGTGGACACCACCTTTCCCTGCCTTCTCGATCGCATATCGACAATTCCACGCGACAAGGTGGCCGTTATCAACGATGTGCTGTTCATTGGCTTGGAGCTATGCACCTGTTAGAAGTGCGTCTTGGCTGGGAGGACAACCGGTGAGACGAGACCGGTGTAGTCCGGCGAGAGATCAAGAACACGGATCCACTTACATCTCGGGTGACTATGGCACCGAATGACGTGACCCAGAGTGTTCCCTGGCCAGAGATGCGGTAGATGAACAAGTCTTCGCCGCTGAAGAAAGCTTTCCCAAGCCCCTGACTCTTTGTCTCCTTGACAACTCCGCCCGTACAGGCCAAAAAAGCATCCTTTCCGAGGTTCCAGCCCTCATCACCGCGAATGGGAATGGCGGATATGTCACCAAACAACGTAGGTGCCAGCGACACCTCTCCAGGCCCAGTGTACACAGATTCAGCCATCTCTCCTCCGGTGAACATTTTCTTCATGCTGAACTTTACCTTCCCCTGGAGGGTGATGGTTGGAGACATTTGGATCATGGCCCCAGGTTTGGACTTGATCACGACACCTTGAGGTAGCCGCACATTCAACATGGCATTCGTGTCACGGTTAGTGATGGAGTATGAGATACCATCCACCGTCGAATGCCAGCTTTGATCAAACGATGTCGATGTCGATGTCGATGCCGATGCCGATGGTACCGCCGGAGGAGCATGATGCTGCGGTTGTTGTTGCTGTTGCTGTTGCGGTGGGTACTGCTGTTGCTGTTGGTGATATTGATTCTGATATTGATTTTGGTATTGACCCTGGTCTTGGTATGGAACTGACACCGTTAGCTGTGTAGACTGAAAGCAACCAAACCGGATTCTCTAGTTACCATTAGAGCCATATTGTTGTGGAGGGTAATATTGGCCCCCCGGATTCTGGTTGTACGCCATTCTCTCTGGATATGTTGAACGTGCACACAGACAAAAACAATCAAACGTCCAGTTTCCTGGGCGTTGAACTCGGGTCAATCGAATGAGAAGCACCTGACAAAGAGACGACGAGCCTTGAAAGCCAAATACCGTGGATTTATGCTTACAGCAAGTATCCTACAATGGAAGAAGAACGCCTCCAGAGCTGAAGCGTAAGATGTCTGACTTGGTCAATTCCGCTTTGACCCTCGACCCATCGTTTTCGACTTCAGCTGATACGGTTCTTGTCTCGGCCCCCAACGATTGCTGTGCTGTCATTCGATGAGAGGCGCTTGGCCTTACGAAAAGCGAATCCTCCAGGAAGCCCGACTTGCCTGGCCAAGGCTCTTCTCGTGTTTGATCCGTGGGCTACATTAATAGCTCTTTGCGCCTAAGGATCCTTAATTCCACCGCCCCAGAAGTGTGGCGTGCCTACGAAATTTGCTTGGGACGATTGAGTCCGCAACTAGTCCAAGTCAGGCTGGTACATTGCCCGGATCCGTCCGCAATGTCGTTCTTATGGGAAGGGCTTCACCTACCAGGTACAGTAGGTACCTCGTACCTTTGGCGGTTGATTCAGCATATCGGATCCACACTCTGTGTCGGGGCACGCGTCGCCGGGAAATATACATATAGATGCGGTGGAATCTCGGTTATTCAGCTTTTTAAAACGGGTGACTGAGCGTTAGCGCTCAGCACGTCACAGATAAACCTCAGATCCAGCAGACTTCAGACTTGCAGACAGGCAAACATACAAACGCCATCCGCCACAGGGAAACTAAGTTTGTTCGCTGTTGCGGGTACGAGTGTCTGGAGTCTCACAGACCAACCGGCATCCTGAAGCAAAGCGAACATCCTAGGGCCAAGCACGTCGGTGCTTATGTTTGTAAGAGACATGCAGAATCCCGCCTGATCTAACACGATTCTCCCATGTGCCACGTTGCATACATACATACATAATGCCTCTCGCGGAGAATCTACGAGACGACGGAATGCAGGAGCCCCTTTCACTATTTCACGTGTCCATTTGGACCGCTTGCGGTGAAGGTGGACCTCAGCGCACGGTGGCGGGTGGTGAAGTAGTTGTAATCGGCGCAGCCGTTGTGCGAAGGGTTCCGACGGCATGTCCTTTCTGAGCACACGGATTGTTTTCCTTAATGGTTCAGACCAGTTGAGTATTTGCAGCCTTCCGTATCGGTTCGTGGCTACAGCAGGTCTCAGGACACGCCCTCGTCTGTCGTTACCAATCAAGCTGCGGCAAAGGGCTCGATGGCTTTGTTTCAATTCGACGACTGAACCACGTTGGCTGTCATTCTATCTCTCTTTCCTTTCAAATACAGTGCGAAGGGCCAAAGGATTAAGGCTGTCGACCTGGTCAGCATCGAAAGACCGTCCAGCTTTCGACATGGCCTACTCTAGGAAAGGGGGAAATCGCAGCCCTTTCAGCGACAGGAGTTCGATTTTACATTGGCAGGATTCATTGGGCTTTCGAACTGGGCCCTGGAGGCTGTGAGTGAGGTTCCCGAACAGTACGGACTGTATAAGGACCGCCTTGCGGCGCAGAGATTGTATTATTCTGGCACAGTGGCTCCGCAGTCTGGACCTCATAATGTTTTGTTCAATTACTTTCGGCGCCCTGTGCGTGCTTGCTCTCACAGTTGCAGCGAAGCCTCAGTCTGGCACATCAACCGCCATGTCAACCGGCACACCAACCGCCCAGGAGCCATGTGCCCAAGTGGGTGTATACCAGCGCCAATATCAGGCCGCAAATCCTGGAGGTAAGCGGCGCTCCTCAGTGTCGTGCATTGAATCTGTTAACAAGATCGAAAGCGACTAGCTTTACTCTGCCTGCAGGTGCGTTGCTTCAACTCGGCCATTCCTGTTCACATCTCACAGCTTCAAATAGATGTGGCATATGCTTGTCAACAATGAGTTCCTTTGGTGAAAGAAGATACACTTGCTGTGCTCACTGGACTTCAGGCTCGGGTACAGTGGCAAAGTACCCTGCACTGGGTGAAGGACCCGCCAGCACATTGGCCACTGCCTCCTGTCGACATCATCAGGGAAATTGACTTCGAATGGAAATTGGTGGATCTGTTGAATTCTGTTCACGATGGGCACTTCACCTTTCTGCCAGACGCCTATTTCGTCTTCACCTTCCTCAATCTACAGCCCATAATTTCTCTTTCGACTGATGGTAAACAGCTGCCAGAAATCTACCTCTATAACGACCTGGAGCCCGTAGCCCAAGGAGAAGGATGGGAGCCTTCTCCAATCGTCAAGATCAACGGGACGGAAGCTGTTTCCTGGCTAAGTGAGAGAGCTTTCAACGGGACCATGACTTTTCTGGATTTGGACGCATTGTACAATGGTCTATTCCACTCGATCAGCGCTTACTCGATCAGCGCGCCTCTTAACCAAACAGTTGGTTATTTCGCTCTCCCAGGCTTCAGTCGGTTCTGGGGATCATCGATCAACCTCGAATTCAAGAACGGGAGCAAGTCATCTATTCCAATAGAAGCATTGACGGCCCAGGATTTTTCAAACGTGATTGATGGCGAGAGCTTCTATCAAACTTTCTGTAATACCACGGTGAAGACCATGGCAGCGGCGAATGGGTCTTCGGCATCTACCTCCCAGCAGACTTCCACGACGACCCCCGACGCCACCACCCAGATCCCGCAATATCCTTCAGCCATCGCCATCAGTGACGATGGGTCGCTGGCCAGCTACTTTCTGGAAGATGAACCAAGTGTCGCTGTCTTGGCGGTCCTCGGAATGTCCGAGACTGCGCAACTCTCGACGCAGCAAACGCTGTCCTGGTTTCTGCAACGATGCCGGGAAACGAACAAGACGCGTCTCATTGTGGATGTCAGTCAGAACGGCGGCGGCACGATTGCGGTGGCATACGATATCTTCAAGCAACTGTTCCCGACTCTTGAGCCATATCTGGGGGCCCAATTACGGGCACATGAACAGGTAGGCAAATGAACTTTTCCAGGGACAGAGCGTTCGTTCTAATTTAAGTACCGGCAGGCCAACATTCTCGTGAATTACTTTACTCGCATAGCCCAGCAGGTCGAAAAGCAGCAACCCGGCAACGTCACCGCCCTTAAAGATGCCGCTGGATACCAAAGCTTTGATGTCTCGGTACTTTACAACGATGGTGGGGTGCTTTTTCAATCCTGGGAACAACCTTTCGGTCCGGTCCAGGTGCATGGTGGCAATTTCACGAACCAGTACCAACTCGACCTTTCAAATGCAGACTACGATGAAGCCACTGGCGGCATCGTTGTCACTGGCTATGCCAACAATTCAAACGTTGCGCCTCAGCCCTTCCTTCCCGAGAACATTATGGCTTTCAGTGATGGATTCTGTGGGTCGGCCTGCACAATCTTCATGCATCTACTGAAGTATCAGGGCAAGGTAAAGTCAATTGTTGCCGGCGGTCGACCCCAAACCGGGCCGCAGCAGGCTATCGGAGGCGTCAAAGGGAGTCAAGTTGAAGGTTTAAGCACCATTCTGGGACTTGTTCAATATTTTTACCAGACTGCTTCACCGGAAGAAATCAAAAAAGCGAACCAGACAGCACTGAAAGACCTGGCAGACTACGGCAATACGCTACTGCTCCGGGACACTCAGGGACTCGTTCAGGTCAACTTTCAGAATGCCATTGCTCAGTATGATCAGTCCCAGACGCCGCTCCAATTTGTCTACGAGGCTGCGGACTGCAGGCTGTAGTATCAGGTAGCTCACGCGTGGAATATTACAGCACTGTGGCAGACGGTAGCAGAGCAAGCATTCGGCCTGAACGGTCAAGAGAGATTCTCATTGTGCGTTCCCGGGAGCACGAATCATCCCAGCGGCTTGAGTGACAACCAGACATTGTACCAAGGGGGACAGATTGCCAATGTCACTGGGTATAACCCCGGAGAAGAAGACCTCCAGAGCAACTCACAGCAGAATGGTTCTGCGTCGATGATGACTGCCGTCAATCCGTCGAACATGGTCTTGGGGATGCTTTTGGCTGTCATGTCCCTGTCGTGATGATTTAGCTGGCGGGTTCCTTAGTCAATGGCGTCTTTAGACTTTTGGCGTCGTTGCTCTCTGCAGATGTCTTTTATTTTGTAGGATTTCGCGATGAAGTAGACGCAATTGACGATAACCATCCTCCAAGCCAGAGACTACGGTCCTAAAACCCGCACAGGGACATTCAACCCTAGTCTAGCTCCGGGTACGCGACGGTCGGTTTGTAAGGCCCAAGGTCCGCGCCATCGGGTCTTCGTGCATTTCCCAGCACGAAGGCGAGGCGTGCCCATATCAATCAACCTGGACCTCTCTTCAGGGCCGGAAATACAATCGAGGGATGGATGCAGGGGCTGACGACCCTCGTCAAACTAGTCTCCCCATCAAGGCCATGGTTCAAATATGGATTAGTTTCTCTCCTTCCATCGAGCTATTATCTTTGTCCTCTTGCTCCTCCTCTGGCCAGGATGGTCTTTTCGAAGTTATAAAAGCTCGGTCGCCTGGATTCGCAGCCATCATCTCGATATCGTCTCCTTCACAAAACGAGAGATGCGTAGCTTCGGCCGTTGCATGTGGATATCCATGCACTCAGCATCGTTTTACCACCGAAATACATTTTACTTGCTTTGGGGGGGGGGGGGGGGTTCGGATAAACACTTCCATCAACGCCTCTCATTCATATTTCTCTCAGAATCTCTCTCTCTCTCCGTTGTGCCGTCGATCGATCGATCGAAGATTGCTGCCCTGAATCTCGGCCGGACTTGGCTTTCAACACGCCCCATGCCCAGCTTAGCGAGGATGTGGACATTCATACTCGGTACAAGTTTCTGCGTTCTGTGGTAAGTACTATGCCTTGATGCGGTCACGGCTTTGTCAGCCTCTCAGGCCACGTCTTGGTTTTGGTTCCTTCGCTTGTTCGCACGAGACAATGCGCAAGCCTCGCGCGAGAACAATTTTTGGCTCTTCCCAGGCAAACACGAACAGGACCCAGGACCCAGGACCCAGGAACTCAGGTGCTGCCGTTGTTCCCACACAACGGGGGTCGTTCCCCTCCCTGGACCCAGGCATAACCTTGTACTCATTTTCAACAGTCATCATCATCATCATCTCATCATCATCATGCGAGCAATAGTCGATCCCGCAGGACCGGAGGCGCCCGCGGGGTTTAACAGCTCGACTATGCCCTGCTATGCCGCTATACCTCCATCAACACATAAGCCATTCTCCCACCTCAACACCTGCTCCCCGAAGCCTTCGTCTGTAATCTAGCCGAGAGCCAGGGCAGGTGAGGAGATTGCGGCACAATACCACTAGTAACGACAGCGGCGATCCTCCTCGCGCTGTGTGGGCGAACCCTTGAACGAATACCAGGTACATACTCCAGGCCTGAGCCACCAGAGCTTCTTGTGGAGGCGGGCTCACGTGTTGGGATGCGCTTTATAATCTGGATACAGATATATACATTTACCCTGCGGCAATACATATGTATCGAGTCAAAAACACACCAGCCTTCAACTCGACGTCGACTACTTCTGCTTGTTGGAGATTTCTATCGTCAGTGTCCTCGACCGTCCCAAAAAATCCCTCCACGTCTGACAACCCCGAAAAGCTGTCATGGCATCGCCGTCTACCGACACCACGAAGCGCACTAGCTTGGCTTGCAACCACTGTCGTCTCAAAAGACAGAAGGTACGGACATGAGTTTCCGTGGCGCTTCTCATCTCTCCCCCCCTTCTCTTTCTCTCTCTCTGTCTTGTCTATGCTGAAACTAACTTGTGAGGATCACCAGTGTGACGGCAACAAGTAAGTACACTGCAAGAACAGGCGGCGGGAGACTTGCTTGTTTGCCTTCATCTATGCGAGCTAGGGAGCCTTGGGGCGTTGCATTACTTGCGCAGCTGACGCTTCCGGGTTGATTGACTTGCTCTTCCAACAATTTCGTGGATATTTCGAAGTCTTGGAAACTGAGAGAGCGTTTGGTTGGGGAAAGTCACTAAACTCGAGGAAATTTGCAGGTCCGGATGTTCGCAATGCGCTGCCCTCAGGGTCTTTTGCACCTTCCCAGACGCGAAGAAAAGGTAAGCGGTGTTTCAATCGTCTCCATGACGACCACGGCGTACTCACGAAACAAAAAAATTGTTGTTTCAGCCTGGTCGATCTCACCTCCCAAAATGCTGACAACAACATCCCTGAAGGGGTCCGGTAAAGGGATACATCGACATCCTCGAAGGCCGCCTATATGAGCTCGAGTCGGCACTGCTCCAGGTCCTCCCGCTGGTCTCGAACGAACAACTCAACGAGATCACAGCGTCGATACCGCCCATCCCCAGTCGTCCGCATTTCAGAGCCCGGTTCAGCAGGGCAAGCGACGGGTCATCGCCACCGCAGGACCTTGCGGTGCCCAGCACTGCGCCATCGCCTTCAGAGATCGTATTCCACCAAGTCCCACAACAACACCAAGAGAACAATCGACCGCAGCAGCAGCAATCTCAGATGATCGCCACGGCAAATGATGAATTACCTCCGTGTTCGCTCCAGCGTGATCAGCAGTACCTGAAGCAGATGATGTCTGGTTCCTGGCTGCAGCACCGGCAGCAGCACCGGCAGCGCCACCACCACCACCAACATCTGCCTCTAGAACTAGGCCCCTTCGCCGACTCGTGGCCGCTCGCGGGGGGGGCGGTCGCGCGACAGGACCAGTGTCTCGTCTCTCCGGCAAGACACAGCTTTGTTAGCGGAGGACCTGGTTCCGAGTTCGACTTTATGCCTGACTATGACCGGAATGGCGCGAGGGAGACGGTCATGGTCTCGTCCCGGGGCTTCTAACGAAGTGGCAATGTTCAATAGCAATACTATCAATAACAAAGCACTTCCTTTTGTTGGTGGATTGATTTCGTCGATCTGGACATGGTGCCAGCACGCCCACGAGTCTTATTACTGTGGCCGTGCGCCCTGGAGTATATCACCTTAATGGCGGGACCTTCTTGACGAAAAATGCCGCGGACGGGATTATTGGCCAAGGCAAGCAATGCCTTTTCGTTCAATTCGGTTTGGTCGGGTCGCTTTGCTTTGCTTTGGCGCGTTATACTCAAGCGGACAAGTGGGCACCGAAGCACACATCATGATTGTGACAATAAATCCACACATCAGACTTAGAGAAAGAGAGGGGAAACAGAGAGATGTGTGGCTCATATCCACTCCATCTATTCCTTTGGAGTCTCCGGAATGGCTCTGCTTTTGCTGGTCTCGCGAGGTCCAATATACTGTCCTAGGTGCGAAGCGAGAGGCGCAAGAACCAGAGGCAGGAGAAGTAAAGAACAAGGAAGGAGGAATACGACCTGAAGAGTTAGAGCCTGTTCCGGATATCCATCTCCCGCTTCGCTCTCGTCTGCTCGAATAACCAGTAGCGCAGGAAAAACAACTGGGTAGGCCCGAGCAAGGAGCGGAAGACGACACTCGATGATTGACCGATGATGGATGGACGTGTTCCCTTTTGGGCTATACAAAGACCATATCTAGCCGAGTTTCTCCTGGCTTTCTTGGCCCATTGACTGATTGATCGATCGATTGACCGGGGTTATAAATTTCTCACATAAGGAAAACGGACGCGCGCCCCCCACGCCATGTGAAGCTTTCATTAGCTTTTCAGCCTTAGCGAGGCTGTTCTCAGTCAGATCTTCTTCGGCTCTGCTCTGCTTCCTGTTGTTCTTGATAACATAAAACTTCACCAGTCTCCGGGGTCATAGAGTCCGGAGGAACGAAACTCTGCCTCGTTTATTGCGTTCGCTCGTCCGCTCGTTCGTTTGTGGAATAGCAGCAGCACATAGGTCCCGTTCTGTCTTGCGAATTTCAGGTATGTTGTCGACCAGGATGACCGCTGAACCTGAGTTGCACAACAGCGAAAAGGCCGTCTTGGGAAGAGCTTTTGTTGACGTTGTTGGCGATTCCATCTTGGTGAACGTCAGTCTATCCCATATTACTACTATGTTGTTCAAGTTTTCGTCGCGACCCTCCCCTGGCAATGATGGCTTCGAAAATCGGACATATCAGTTCGCCCATCGTGTCCTTCTAGCCTTACCGCAGCCTGGAATTGGTGAGATCACAGCATTTGAGATCAAATCGCTCTTGCCAATTACTGACGGACGCAGCCTTCTATCGCCGAAGTGATCAGGCTGTGGGAACAGGAGTCTCTCCTCAATTTGCAATCATGTCATTCTGTCGAGCCGAAGAAGGCTGTCTGCTGATCTCCTGCCCGACACTCTCTGAACCGAGAACAAGCTGGATCTCGGGTACCACACCTCAGCCTTTGTTTCGGGCGTCAGCATGGGCCCCATCCTGTTCCGCATGAGGGCCGAGGGAGGGACGCTGCCGAATAATATGACGAATACCCAGAACCAATTTGGGCACTCCTTGACACCGAGATCGAACATATTGGGCGTCTGAAACACCTCAATAGTAACATCTGTTTCGTCTACACTCACCAATGAGCCGCAGCAGATCGAAACAGAAGCACGAATTTCTCGAGAAAAGACGCCGACGCTAAGTAAACATTCAGGGCCAATGGCGGTGTTGAAAAGATCAGTTCTTACTCAGCAGTCGGGGACCAAAATAAGCCACTTTGAGGGAGAAAGACCAATCCGCTTCCTGCCCAGATTTGGGGCATCTTTTTGAGCGGAGATGACGAACCTGATCATGCGCTTCCTGCATACCGCGATCTCTGCGAGAGGATACCCAGCATTGTACAGTGCGCAACTTGAGGAGTGTCAATGACATCTGCTGGAAGCGGAATGACAGGCGAGAAAAAGGTGCTTGGGCCGGATTTTCTGTGGGTAGGCTCGAGCGGTCGCACCAGCGACGCAACCGGCCATGTTTACGAAAAGGCGGTACGAAGCCATGTCCAGCGATGGTCGAAGACACGTCCAGTCTCGACAAGGCTGCGTGGGAGGGGTTTGATGGACAGAAAACGGAAAGTCGTCGCAAAGACTCGGTCCGCTGTTCCTTTGTCACCAAAGCAGGTAGACGAAATCGAGGGTTGTCCATCAAGTGCACCTCGAGCCACTCATTTTACTACAACGCCAGTGGCGCCAATATCTGGTCAAGAGACTCCAACCGAATCAGAAGGTCTGGATGCAATGCAGATGAGCAGCAGGGGCACGATTGAAGTTGATCCTTCGGCCATGAAGTGGCCTCAGCATCACCCTTCGTTCCGGTGTGATGAGATCGCCCACACCAGAGAGGTCCTCCCCGAAGCTGAGGGCGCCATTGTTCCAGCCACATCGGGAGATGATCCACAACGGCGGGACACTGTTCAGTTCCGCATACAGCAGACTGTGCGACTCTGGCAGTCCATCGCACCCACTCTGTCCGCGACCCTCGACTCAGACAGGCTCGAGAAAATGGTCCGCTGCCACCACATAACTTTCTCCACAGTCTGCTCAGTGAAAAAAGCCGCCACCACTCGAGAGTCGCAGGAAGAAGCACTAAGATTCGAACAGCTGATGAGGAAAGGTTGCAAAGCTTTGCAAGCGAACAAAGTCAAGGAGGCTTTCAAGCTGTTTGACGAGGCCTTCTCATACCTGAAGCCAATTTTGATCTTACAAAATATTCGAGGGCAGCCCATGTTGTGCCGCCTTATTGCCGAGTTCTCTGGACCACTCTTTGTGCCCCTGTGGCACCGGGTCTACCAGCATATCATTGGGCTTGCAGAAGTGTTGGTCAGTCCAGACAACCCCTTCGGACAAAGTGCGGATTTGTTTATCCGATCGCCACTCCCGTTGGCTGACGCGTCAGAAATGGTCCTTCGGTGTATCCTCGACGTGGTGCAGACACAACTCGGAGCACTGCATCCAGATGCCATGGATTGCCTGGAGTGCCTGGCTTGGTCTCTGTTTGAAAGGGGTCGTGAACAGGAAGCCCTGACCCGCTTCACAGAGCTGCTACAGAAGCTGGAAGCCGCCAGGGGCCCCATGTCTCCCGAGGCATGCGATGCCCTTCGCGGACTTGCTGAGACCCATGTGCGACTGGGTGACCTCGACGCCGCTGAGGACATGTTTGACGAGGTCCTTGGTTGGCGAAGCTTGGGGGGAGACAGGAAGAACCTACAGGTGACGGCAGTCAGGGTCAAGTGCTTACTTTCGCTGTCTCTGCTTGCCGAGCGAAGGCAGAATTCGTTTCGTGCTCGCTGGCTGTTGCATCAAGCAGCTCAAACAACATCCTTGGCATTCGGAAAAGACGGTCAGATGGCTGCAGAAGCTGGGGTCGACGCGAAGCCTCTGGGACCGGATCTACGAGAAGAAGTCAGGAGGTTGCTGGCCGCTGTGGAGTCGTGGTCGCTGGATTGATGAATGAAGAAGATGATTTGGAGACAAATGCAGAAGCTTAATGTTTCGTCCCCGCCAACGAGGACCATGAGGTTTGTACAGAGGTGGCCGTTTCTTTCCGCCCTTCTCTTTCCTGGCTCCATTCACCGTCCCTGTGGTACAAATTTGCTTGGTGTCATTTGCTGGACCCGAGTTGCGGGAAGTACAGCGAAGGGACAAGGCAAAGGATCGGAAACATCTCAAACCGACAACTCCACGTGTTATGATCGGGTCTCCAGTGCAGACAGGGATGGCTCAGGGTCCCTTGTGGGATGGGCCAGGGCTGTATGAAACTGTTGGGGGACGCAGCAGAATGTCAGTCTGCATGGTCACTGCAGCATGGTTGAGAGGCAAGCTGGCCACCTGGGCCATCACAAGAGGTAGGGAATGCAGGGCAGGGCAGGGCAGGGCAGGGCAGTGCAAGGTGCTGAATGCAGGTCGAGAGCTGTAGGTGCAGGTTATTACGAGTTCGTGTTGTTGGCGACACAACTCGACGGACAGGGAGAAAGGGGGCACAACGGGACACTGGGCACGGACGCAGGCGCGGGTACGGGCGCAGGCACAGAGGGGCACCACTAGACTGAGGGGATTGAAGACTGCATTGCGTCATGGGCAGCAGCGACATGGGACCTCAGCTCTGTTCACTCACTCCCATCACCTCACTACCCAGTACTTGTGCCCAGTACTTGTACCCAGCACTCATACCCAGCACTTGTACTTTTACATGTACCCAAGAACCTACCACCGCAACCACCCGCAACCACCCGCAACAACCGCAACAGATTTCTTTGCTCGCGTATCTTTTCCTAGCACAATTGTCTCGCTCTCGCTCTGGGTTGTTGAAGGAGTGCAGGATGATGACCGGGGGGAGGGGGACCGTGGCTAATGCTCCTCTCCCTCTCTCCCCCTCCTCTTTTCTTTTTCCGTGACTAATCACTAACACCAGCAACAAAAAGCATCTCGAGCTCACTCTGTAAACGACGACCCCCCAATCCCATTTTGCATCCCACGTCGCTTTTCCCCCACGCAGGTCAAGACCTGAGGATAAGCAAGAAAGAGGACAAAAAGGAAACCGCCTGAAAAGAGACTTGAGAGCCAGTTGTTCGACGATCAAGGAGCACATGTCTCAACACTCTTTTCACGTACTCGACGTCTATACGGCGTACACGATGGAGTGGCCTCGAAGAAGATACCAAGCTAGTTTAGCTTTGTGCAAGGTACATGTACAGAGCAGGCTAGAGAGCTGTTCAGCTATCTTCGTGCAGGATGCATAAGCGCTCCTTGCAAGGATTTTTGAATCCTTCCGCTTGTGCCCAAGAGTCCGATCAAGGTACACATTCACCGCCAATTTTCATGACTTTTGTGGCTCTCCCCACCCTTCTATTTCAACCCTTGAAACGCTGAAAGATCAGAAGAAATTTTGTTCCAGTCGAAATTTTGTTCACTCCAGAAATCTTTTTTGGGACCAGTGGGCCGTACGACCGACCGGGTCTGTTTCGCTCACGCCATTTCCGCCTTTTTTTTGTAGCCTTAGCCCCGATTCCCAACCATGTCCACCGTCGAATTGACATCCCGCAAAAGTAAATTCGTTCCTTTCGGAAATATTCATCTTGAATCATAATCGTTCATGGTGTTTGGTCAAGACACCCAATCATTAGTTCGTAATAAAAGTCTCGCAGAAATGAAAGCATGATAATTTCAATGTGACCTTGGCCGATCCAGCAATTTTTTCAAGTATACATGGCTGGTGGTCGACAAGCAGCCGTCAGTTGGCTGCATTGGTGGGGAATAGAGAATAGGAAACCCGGGTGTTGCGTCGAGGTCGGGAAGTTGCTGTATTGGCGCGTTTGCGGCCCGCTTGAGCCCTCGAGAGTTCGACACCAGGCATTGAGGACTTCCGCTCAGGCACGGGAACCTGAGACGCAGAAGCACCTCGGTCATGTCTGATTGTCGGAGACGGAGCAAAAGGTCCGAAGGATTCGATAAGGTGAGAATCCGCCGTGTTGCTGCAGTGCGAATCTTCTCGTATCGTATCCTGGCTCCCTTCTCGAAAGTGCTTGTCTGGGCCGGAACTAAAATCTTGAAGATCGAGCTTGAGGCTTTCCATCGAGTTCCCAAAGCTAGCCAGATGGGCGAGGTCGGACAGAGTAGTGCTCGAATTTGATGATCGGTGTGTGCCGAAAATCGAGGCGATGATGCTTTCCTGTGAGCTAGACTTGCTCATCGTGGAGACAGGGCTTCGCATGACCCGAGCACGAAAGGCGTCTGTCGAAGCAAGATTGTTCTCCGGCTGGTGGGAATCACTGACTGCCGCTTCATCCAAAGAGACGGTTGGGATTGGCTTCAGAGACTCAATTCCGAGCCCAAGCAGCGGGGATGACGGTTCCTGCTCGAGCGGCTGAGAAGGACCACTCTCATCTCGAGAAAGATTGCTGGGCATCTGCATCGTCAACGGAGTTGAAGCCGAGGAAGATGCTTCGTCGATAGACTGCTGCTCTACCACCAAATAATTCTCTCGAGGAATGCTCAGAGTACTTGGTCGACTAAGGATTGCAGCTGAGGCATTTGTGCCATTGTCATCTTCGAGGTCTGCGGCATGTTCCCACGAATAATCAATGGCATCCTCCCAGTCTCCAATATCGATAGGTTTCACACCAACGGAGAACCGATTCTTAGATTTTGGACTCGCTTCTCCTCCTGTGCGCTCCACAGCGGTTGTTTCTGTGGTTGACATCCTACACGGCGAAGTATGGGAAACAACATCGAAATGAATTTCGCCGGACGACTGGCTTCGCCGCTTGTGTTGTTTGGCAGAAGGCGAAGCGGAAGCGTGCGGAATCAATGGTTGGACAGAGGCATGAACTGTTTGTGGTGTTGCATTCTCATCTACACTCTCCTCTTCAACGACCTCCATCACTGCCCTTGGAGGCGATGGCAGCGGAGCGGTACGGAGAGGAAGTGCAATGTCGTCCCTGGTTGAAACAGCGTGGACAACTTGATCATCTGGCAAGTGTGGGAGCGGCTTAGCTAGGGCTCTAGCCTGACTGATAGGGCTCATCGCCGACAATCTCTTAGATATGTCGGAGGAAGGGGAGATATCCACAGCAGTCACGGATAGTCTCGTTGGGCGAGAGAAATTCTCCATCGAGCGAGATAATCGAAATTCGGGACTGTATGGCGGCATGAAAGTATCCTTCGGCGGCGGGCTCGGGCGTGTTGGGGTTGTTGGTAGGTAAGGAATGGCACTGGTGGTTGGCGAAGTTGGCTCGTCAAATCCAACGTGGATCTTGGATTCGTCACCGTTCACCGGAAGGTCTGTGACGGGTATCCCACGAATCTGGTCAACTGGTTGCTGATCGGCATGAACAGCATTGAATTCTGAAGTGAGGTCTGTCTTGCTAACTGAATCCAAACTCTGGAACTGGGCTTGATCGCCGTGAGTCAAATGTTGGAAGGCAAAGGGCCCTGATATACTCCGCTTTAACCCTGTATCTTGTTAGAGATGGGCAGCAGTGGACAGGCCAGGCAGAGGGGTCCTTACGCCTTGAGATCAGAGTGGGCTGGCGTTGGAGACTCTTTACTGGAGCCATCTCGCCAACCCTTGCTTCCGGGAGGACATTGGACCTGTCTTCTAGCTGCGAAGGCAGAAGATTGAGCTTGCTCCCTTGCCGTTTCAACATGCGAGTGCCCTTGGTCAGCAAGGTCTTCGCAGCGCTTTCCTGGCGTTCGGGCAGCGGTAGGCCGCCGTCGACAAAACTCTGGCGAGAAGAAGGCCTGGAGGCCATGTCGGTCGAAGTATCCGACAAAGAGCGAGTATAGGCAGAAAAAGAGGAAGTGACAGTGTTCGTCCGCGACCTCACTCGCGAATTGGGCGATATGTCAGGGTTTCCTAGCTCGGGACTCGAGTACTCTTTCATCAAATCGGGAAGTGCTTGTCTTGACGGCTCAGCGTTGTCCTTTGAAAACCAGTCACTGGGAACAGCATGCAGCTTGTCACTGCCTGGCTTGGAGTGCGCTTGGCCCCATGGGAAGCGGCCCATTTAGGCCTCGCCAAGTTCGATGCTTGACAGTTACTAAGAGACCAAGGACACAAATCTATAGTGTCTCATCCAAAGGTGGGCAGGAGCAGACTTGTGCCACCCTGATGTCGTGTCTGTGCTGGGAGGTCGTCGTGCTGAGTTCGTCGGAAAGATTGTTGGTAATCTAGGAGAAAGGAGGAACGCTTGGCAGGTGGCAGGGTCTATATGGCACAAGATCTGCCTCGGACTGATGTTTCATTCAGTCAGTCGGTATTGCCATCACGTGAAGTGTCCCAAATGACTCCTCAGGATCTTCGATCTTACCAACAATCAACATTTGAAGGCGGCGGGGTTTCAAGATACAGCCCCCACCACCAACGCGCACGTTCAAATATCCAAGATCACCCCCGATCAACTCGGAGAGCTCACAAACGCCTCAGGGAGTCTCCCTGTTGAGATGTCGGCCTTGTTTCTGTGCTGTAGTGGCAGAACGAAAAGCTGATGTGTGAGATGGGGAAACGCGTGAAGCCAGTGACTAGGGAGACGGTAATTTTATCAAAACAAATTTTAATGGCTCAAAGCTGTAGTGACCAAGCACGCAACGTGGAATAGCAGGAACACAAGCTGAGTGATAGACAGAGCTGAGAATGGAAGACAGACTTGATGAACAATGAGCGGGAGAAGAGATATTTGGGCCTGATCTTACCAATTGGCAGAGCCCCGATCAGAAAGAGAGGTGGAGTGAGCACCACGACCCTCGTCGTTCATGGGTCAAAGTCGTCAGTCATGCAGAAAGTAGCACCCGGAAGCAGGGGCAGCGAGTGGTCCAAACTGCCGGCGAGGCTTGATGGCTGGATAACGGGGTGAAAAGAGAATCTAAACCGCGGAAGGGATGGCTCGAGAACGTAATGCTTTCGACAAACGCGACTGAGACTGCCGGCTTGAAAAGCATCCCCATCTTCGCAAAGCACGAAGCAGGGGAATTGGGGAAAACGTTGCGTTATAGTGGAGGTGCGAAGGAGCAGGCGAGGAGATTTGATGGGGCCATGTTCTCGTCAGGAACAGGTGGACTCTGTCGTAACTTTTCAGCGGGTCGGATTCATTGCGTGGGCGGAAGCCACAACCCGGGACCTTCTGCTCGGAACCAGGGGGTTTTGTATTGAACCAGGGTGCTGGTAGTGCGCGCTGCTTGCGCATCGGCGTCATCCTCCGGCGCCGAGATGGGCTAGACCACTATCGTGTCATTTGTGGGACGCTATTTTTTCCCTGGCACCCCCTGGCTTTTCAAATGCCCGTTACCCGCAGCGCGCGTCCGGTGGCAGTTACCGCGGTCGAGGAGGAAGAGGAGGGACACGGAGTGTAACGGCCATGGTCCAGGAAGCAGACAGGAGTCTCCAACATGTCGAATCTCGTATTCAGGATGTGGATGGCGACATGTGGAAAATAAGATCCGAGAGTCCCCTGGACGCGTTCCCACCCAGCTACGAGCAGAGAAAGCCGAGTTGACGGGACACTGAAGAATTGAAGGGACCACCTCTGAGAGGCCTGACGAGAAGCTCCGGCGGTTCTCGGCGTGGTGACCTTGGTATGTTTGATCGACATTCGACCGAGTCAGACAGGGCGATTTCTGCAGCAGTCAGCAGTGGGCTTGACAACAATAGCTGCGTGCTGGGCTGGAGGCTTCCTGAAACGGGTCTTGGTCACGCTAAGCGACGAGGCAGACTGGGCAGAAAATCTCCTTTCCGAGAGGGCAGGAAAACGACACCAAGGGGGAGGCTTCGGCGAGAATGTGGGTAGAAGATTCTGTGCGAAGAGAAGAAAAACTTAGCGAGCCAAATCATGTCGGGGGTCACGGAACTCATCTGCACAGAAATAGTGGGAAGAAGATCCATCACAGACTGGGATAGAGCAAGAGAGATCTACTAGACGGCCTGTACCTCTTTGGGTTAGCTAGTGCACTAACACCAGATGGTCTGCCACTAGTGACGTTAGTGCAACTGGGGCTGCATCTTGTTTTCATGCATCACAGACGCCAAACCCAATTAGGAAGACACTTCAACATGTCCACGATCCTCCTCCGTGACGGCGTCTACAAGCCGGTCTCCTCCTGGGACTGCAACGTTGTTGTCGATATTGAGCACCAGCACCAGCACCAGCACCAGCACCAGCATCACCAAGTCAATGTCCAAAGCAATCGTGCTCGACCTAAGTCACCCTTTACCTCTGCCTTGGTGACACTAGACAATCGAATCTCCAAGTTTCTCATATGAGAACACAGATTTCCTCTTCCTGTGGTAACCAAGGGAGCCCCGTGAGACACGCGTACTGGGTATGCGTGATGGACGTCGAAAGCGCCGAATATCAATATCACGCTGTTGCACGAGAAGTCCCAAATCTCAGGACTGACCTCCTTGCGTTGATCGGAAATGTTTCTGCTGCAGTTCGGAAGATTGACGTTTCATCCGTACTGATTTTGATGAAAGCGCCGACTATGCTCTTACTTATGGCACATACGACTACTATGGAGTACACAGTCCTCCGTGTCCCCTAAGGGCACGGTCCTTGACGGAAGAAGGTTTTGCCCATCAATATACTTTTGGCCTGACCGATCGAGCAGAGGTGAAACTCCAATCTAGCAAGAGCCATGCTGTTCGTGGTCCTTTCGGTGTCGACATCTACAGAGACCATGCCGGAGATGGCACCTCGGAAGTCGATCATCCCTTTTTCGAAGGATTTGAATGGAGAACGAAAGGCCAATATTGAAAGAAGAGCAGTAGACGAGAACAGGGGCGAGATCCCCGTTCTTGCCTTGTGGGTGACCAACCCCCTGCTGTGAACAGCACGGTACTCGGTACATTTCTAGGTCACTTGGGCCTTGAGTGTGCTTCTCTCGATATGATTCCCTACCTACATAGGTACATAGATATGACTAGCGCGTACCTCGTAGATGAGCTGGTGGCTGAGAGCGCGGTCTCACTCAATATCAACACAAGCTGTTAAGCAAGAAGTGCATGAGTGCCTTTGTTCCCTCCAGAGAGTCGAACTTTGGATCGTCTATGCATGTGCTTCTCAAAATGAATGCAAACAGCCACCAGCAGCCCAGGGTATCACGACTTCAGGGCCCGAGGAGCTCTGTACTCCATCCAATGCTCCTCACGCATTCTATGGCTGGAGAGCATCAATCAATCGACCCAGCAATCAATCTACTTGACTCGTTATCTCCAAATCGAAGCGAGGGAAAGGATGGCGCAAGGCCAGATTGATGTCCTTGGCATGAATGGCGGCTGTGATGGCTTTGTGCGTTTCTTTTCTTTGGTGGAAGTGCAGCCACCGGGCGCTTGCAGCTTATCAGACACAGCCCATCATGATCATGGCGCTGGGCACTGGACGTGGCGGCGTACCGCTACTGGCGTGAGTAAAGTTCTTGTCAGCACATTTCCGGACCGTTTTAGACGGACGTCGACGTCGCACTTGCACTTCCACTCGCAATCGCACTCACACTTTGTCGGTTTCTAGGTTGTCGTCTCAGGAGACTAATTGTCAGCTTGGAAACACCGTCTGTCCTTTCAGCCAACCACAGAAATATCGCGTCTTTGTCCCCTGTTTGGAGTGGCTGCAATCGCACCGTTGGAAAAGGAAAAAACAACCGGCTCGCCTTGACTGCCCCTGTGGCCCCTCACTCCCTCCGGCCTCGCTTATCTCTCTCGCTTCCTCTGGCAAACAACAGCTTTTGCCACTCCGATCAGCTTGCTTGACGAGACTTGAAGAGGGAGCAGGTAGGGGGTGGGAACCGAAGAGGAGGAAACAGTCACCAGCTACTAATAGCATGGCATAGCTACATACATTTACTATCAACAGACAGGGCCGTGAGCATCGGTGAAGGTTGGGCTGAATCGATACTGCACAAGAATCCCACGCTCCTACCGCTCTGGAACCTTCCCGGCCCATTGGTGGCGTTAAGCAAAAGCATGGAGCCGACTCTCTACTCTGGCAACAAGGATGCTTACTAGGAAGACGAGCCCGTGGGGGACTTGTTACCTCGTTCAATAATAGCACGATCGTGCTTTTAGGCTGTATGAGGGCCTCTACGTGGGATATCACCATGAGGTGCTCGCATCCGCCAGCCTAAATCAGAGATCAAACTCACGATTGTCGCGTCCCGGCACGCACATGTGCGAGATGATACGCTCTTCTTCTGCTTCACGGGATGACACCACTCATTCATCATATCGAGTAAGTCAATCTAGGATGACTTCGAACTGGGTCTGGGCGGAATCTCTACATGGCCAATACCTGGGGTTTAGCACCTCAGCTCGAGGCTGAAGTTGAGCAGACATGGCAGAGCACGCTCTGGAATTGGCTTCAACGAATTGCGAATCCAGCGTAGTCAAAGGATCTGGACAGGAAGAGCACACGACTTCTCCTTCTCCATTGGCATCTGGGAGCGAGCCAACAAGAACCTTTCTCACTACGGCAGCAGCTCCACGAGGCGGAAGACTTGTTAGCTCCCTTCTGTACCTCTTAGGGCAATCCGCATATTGTAGCGCAAGAAGCTGCAGTTTTCCACATGGCAGCACCGCAGTACGGAGTGTTCTCAAACCTTGTCAGGCTGATGCACCGAGGACTAGCTAGACGGGGTCGTTGACTGCTGCAGGAATGGCGCAGGTTCCCCTGACAGATGCTTCAGGCACCCAGGCACTTTCGCATTTTAGCCTACCAATATCCAACCCGTTTGCCGCGAGTTCTCCACGCTCGAAGTCCGGACAGACCAGGATAGTACAGTAGTAGTTTGGGACCCTGGACGCTGGTTTACCTGCCTCCAGCTGGGTGCTTTATCAGGCGGTGAGTACAGAGCATTCATACACAGGCTTCTACCTTTTTGTTTCTCGTACAATTAGAAGTCAGATCTTTTGTCACATTTGCACAAGAAGAATCGTCGGGTCCCCTTAACAATGGATGTACGATGTTGAATATTTTGGTGGCTTCAATAATCCGTTCAGACTTCAGCCACATCTGCATTTATGCTACAGGCGAGACCCAACAACCTTGCAAACACGCAAACCCACTCACGGGCTTCGTCGACGAGCAGAGAACTTGCAACATGCAGGGCGTTCGAGGCTGGACACGAAAAGCAGGTGCCCTGCTCATCACTACAGGGTACAACACGCGACGTGGCTATTTCTCCTGGTAAGCCTATCCCCTCTACTCGGTACTCCAGGCGTAATGCTGATTGCCGTGGCTCTACATGCCGTGCGTGCTCAATGGTTCGCAATCGCTTTCAACAGCTCTGACTGTTAAGTACACTGGAGACACGCGTGAATACAAGGGTCAGGAACTCTTCCACGACGTACCTTGCGTCGAGATTTCCACATAATGCCCACAGTTTCTGTTTCTGATCTTCGCCTAGAGGGTTTCAGCTGTTCCCGCACACTATCGGTTTTTCCGTTACTGCATGTGCTGTTCATGGAATGCCGTCAGCCCTATGTCGTCCGTTACGGCTGAGGGGAAAGCCCCCATCGGGAATTTTTGCTTGAGAATTTTGCAATCCTTCCGTGCGTTGATCTTCTTTACCGAGACTTCAGCGGGCATCCACACTCGTCGAGCATCTGCCGTCAAGCGTCAAGCACCAAGCGGACAGCTCCACCCGTGGAGAAGACATTATTGGTGTTCCTGATTCTCTTGTCCAGCCAGGAACATGCCCCTCGGCATCATCAGCCATGCCTCGGACTCATTGAATAATTTTGACCACGGGTTCGCGGGCACCCAAAGGGGTTGTTTAGGTGCTTACTGTTTCACAGAATCTATAGGGAAGTGTATACCGGTAGGCTTCCTTGCATCCGTACAGCTTTACTGCTGTACTTCTAACAGTTTTCGACTTTGCGGGCGTGTACTCTACTCCTGTTCCTATTACAATTACAATTGACGTCCGACCTGGCATGCAGGCCCACGCACGCCCGTTTTGCCGTCAACGCACGGTTTGTTGCCCTGCTGCGTATCCAATCAAGGCCGAGAAATACATACATATGACAGCTGTCAAAATTCCCGTCTGCGTCCTCATTGCTGCAGTTTCACCCTGAAGACTGGGGCCGTTCTCATCGCGGTTGGCCAACCGGGGATATGGCTGTAAAAACGGGACCCATACTAACATCCCTTTCCCTCTTCTGCTGATCCCTACTGCATGATGATGTCTGCCTGTCCACAGTTACTTTTTTCTTTGCACCATTTGAAGGACCTCTCCAGCATCGGGGACCTTGCGAGAGCCCGATAATGCAGGCCTCCAGGTCGCCTTACCAGCTGTCTCACTCCCATGTAACTCTATTTGGATTAAGACATCGGACGGAAGGAAATCTCTGCGACAAAGTTGTTGGTCATTCAATGTCAGTTGAATGGCCAATAACTTGTTAGCGGAGCTTACAGCTCGTCTTGCCCCCAGGGAACAGGTATCCACGGAACAGATTGTCCAGTAGCAACTGCTGATCGGGGGCCAAAGAACTGGATCCATATTCAACATGTCTATCTCAAGGAAATCAGCATACAGCCGTGAAAGGAGATGATAACACAGTTCGCTTTTCCGAAGAGAAGGACAATGGCCCCTAAAATCGATGCTTTTTATGCAGGACAATTAACTAAACAGTGCCCTATTGCCAGCCTCAATGACCTTCCGCTCTCCTTCACTCATGCCTGGATTGACATCCCACATCTTCTTGCCCAGTCCCATGGCACGCTTCCCTGCATCTCTGATTTGGTCCCAAGCCACGGCTCCAGAAAAGCCAATCTCACCATCACCACCAGCACCTGGGAAGTCCGGAGGGGGGCTATATCCCAACGCACTCATCCGTTGTCTCTTTAAGAAATCGATGTTTGGTCTGGTGATTGCACACGCAGGAATGTACATCACGCTGCTATCGCCCTTTCCGTGATGCTCTCTGTCCACGGCGTGGATCTGGGGATTTTTCTCAGCCTCTCACGACAATGGCTTCGCCCCAAAAAAAAGGGGGTCTTTCAATTAGGACGGAAACTCACCAGGTCACAGTGCCAAGCGACATAATCTCCTGGTTCAACTTTGGGCATGCTCACCATGGTAGTCTCGAGCTTGAGGCCTGGGTGAGACAGCGGGTCGTATTCCTGACATGCGGCTGGCACAGAGTTTGGGAAAGTGGCATCCAGGTTCAGCTTTCCAGTCTGAAGGTTGATAAAAGGTCTCAATATCAGGTAAGATGTTGCATGTCGGATCAAGGGGCAGACTCTCAGGGTGCCTTCCCCTGGCCCCGTTGACGACATGGACAGCCAACCCTGGAACAGGCGAAACATGCTGCAAGCTCCTGCCCCATTGTAGAGGTCCATCTTGGCTTCGATGCGATGGCGTGCGTCAAAAGGGTCGTACTCTTCCCACTTGCCCTTTAGAATAGTCTGGTATACACGAGCATACTCGGGATCTTCCCAGCGCTCGAGACTTCCTCCATCTGTGTGGGGGCCCAGCGAGAACTTTGCGTCGCCCGGTTGTCGGATGCGAAAACGGTCTGCGTATGTCAAAGGGTAGGTTGTTGATATCTCTGAAGACGGGTCAGAGGAGTGCCAGAAGGACGCAAGGAAAGATTGCGCTTTCAGCATGTTTGGATGAGCGCGTGCTTGGACCTGGGAGGGAGTCCAGTACAGCTCGTATACGGCTGGGTCATCGGCTGGAAAGGCCCTGACCTTGGGCCGATTTGCAGCGATATATCCTTTGGCTTGTCGTTTGAGATCCAGCGCCTGGTCCCGGGGGAGGACGTTGCGTACCACTGCTGTCCCTCGATGGCGGATCGCGTCAAGCTTTGACTGAGGGACAGTACCGGCAACTATATCTCGGAATTCAACGCTGGGTATAACCTATGTCCAAACAGTCAGCCACTGGCAAATCACGAGAGTCCAACAGCAACATACGTTACTGCCTTCTGATCTGATCTCCCCAATCTCCCGCTCCAGACTCTTCAGCAGTCGTTGCCAGGACGCTGTTACAGCGTCTTCGTTACCTTTGATCAATGACTTTTTCAATGCGCTGAACCGTGGTGGCAGAGGATCAGGCTTCTTGCCAGACAGTGAGGGAAAGATGGAGCTGATGTCACCAGCCTCTTTGGTCAAGGTGGATGCGGCTCGGCGCAACGCTGTGGTGAGGTGGTTCTTCATGTTCGTCCTGAGTCGCTGCACCTTCACCTTGGGAGAATATCAGATGTCTGAAGGATTCAAATTCGCATTCACTTGTATTCAGTTCTATTGTCTGAATTTATCCTTCATCATACCGCGAGAGCAACCGGATACGCTTCCAGACCAGGACTAGCGTCAAAGAAGACGAGGGTTTTGTGGACGCCACCAGAGGCTGTATTGTGTTGTATCTCTCGGAGACAAAAGTCGCCGTTTGCGCTTGACCTGAAGATCATAACCTCGGGCAAACTGCTCCCGAGAGGGCACATCCCTCGTGCTTCCGTGAGGAGGGGGGCACTCGTGTGGGATAAGGCCACTCCAAATACGAGAACACAGTTCACTTTGGAGGGTCTGCTTTGCAAATGGCAACTGGCAATACAAATTGCAAGCCTGGACATACCGAGGCAGAAGACCGTGTCTGAGTGTATAAGGTTGGCGATTCTCCCTATACGTTTCTTTGCCTTTTTTCGCCTCGTGCTTTTGAAGACATCTCCAAAATGGCTCAGCAGATCCAAGGAAAGACAGCGATCGTCACCGGCGCGGGTTCTGGTAGCTACCATCCCAATGCAACTTACCCGCAGAGCAGGGCTAACCGGGGCGAACCTCAACAGGCATCAATCTCGAGTTTGCCCGTCTTCTTCTGCAACATGGCGCCAACGTGGTGTTTGCCGACCTTGGTCTCCGGCCAGAAGCCGAGGAACTGGTTCAGAAGTATCAATCAACCCCCAGCAAGGCCGTCTTCCAAAGAACAGACGTGACGTCGTGGCCAGACCTTGATGCCATGTTTGCAGTCGCCCAACAGCACTTTGGATCTATCGACATTGTGTGCCCCGGAGCAGGCGTCTTTGAACCTCACTGGAGCAATTTCTGGTATCCGCCGGGGACGGCCAAATCCAAGGATGACCCCGCAGGAGGGAGGTACCAGCTGTTGGACATCAATTTGACACATCCCGTCCGCGTCACGCAGTTGGCCATTTCTCACTTTCTGGCCGCAAAGCCGCCATGCAGTGCTGAAAATCCCAAATCGATTGTTCATATTGCGAGCATTGCAGGCGAGAGCGCGAGTCTGCCGTTCCCCCTGTATTACGTGAGCAAGCATGGTGTTCAAGCGTTGGTACGCAGCTTGGCGGACCTGGAACATCTGCATGGAATACGTGTCACTGGCGTGATGCCTGGAGTGGTCAAGACACCGCTGTGGACCGACCACCCGGAGAAGCTGAAGATTGTGAAGCAAGAAGGTGAAGGGGCAGATATATGGGTGACGCCAGAGGAAGTGGCCCAGGTGATGCTCGCCTTGGTCAAGGACCGCGAAGTCTCTAGCAGAACCGATGGGGAGCAGAAGGACATGATCCAAATCAAAGGAGGTACCTGTTTGGAAGTGCTGGCGAACGCCGTGAGGGATGTGCCTCTGTTTAACAACATCGGGCCATACGCCACGGCTGCGAAAGGGGCGACTGTGAGTGACGCCGAGAAGATATACAACGAGGTTCTGGGGGAGTTGAAGCCCGGGTGGGGGACATACTGAATGTTGAGCGAGTTTGGCTAGAATATGCATACGTATAGATGGATGTATAGTCGATAGATGTCACGATGTCTGAGTGTGAGTGTGGACGGAAGAATGGAAGAATGCAAAGCTCCGATGATTCTCCGGCTGCGACTGGAAGCGGAATATTTGACGCCATCCGCGGCCGTGATTGTCATATCTCGCTCTCCGCTCTGCGCTCTCCGGATTCATGTCCTGCCCAACGTTTCAATCCATTCACTTCCTCGTCTTTTCTCACCGCTCGCTTTGGTGATCCTGCCATTTACTGCTCCATCATCTGTTCGTATCTACTGTCATTGTCAAGTGCTCTCACGAGAGGGGAAGAGATATGAGCGCTTCCGATCCCACTGCCTAGACTGCGCCGCCCTTGACCTCCTCGCCATACATCATGTCTCTGCCCGTGCCTGCTTCCTCGAGCAGGTCGCAGTCTCGATTCCGACGGTAAGTTGCCCGCCCGGCAGCGATGGCAATGTGATTGTTCATATCCTGACCGACCCTTAGGCGGCCTGCCACCCCGACCCTGACCAAACGTGATCTCACAGGAACAGCCGGTCAAGCATCATGGATAAGCAGCGTCGTCAATCTCCTCAACACCATCGTTGGCGCCGGGGTCCTCGCCATGCCTCTCGCTATGTCACATATGGGGGTCGTGTTGGGAACAATCGTGATACTATGGGCTGGGGCCACCTCCGGGTTCGGCCTCTACCTGCAAACTCGCTGCGCCGCATACCTGGAAAGAGGATCCTCGAGTTTTTTTGCTCTGTCTCAGATCACATACCCAAATGCGGCGGTCATCTTTGACGCCGCTATTGCGATAAAATGCTTTGGAGTGGGAGTCAGTTATCTAATAATCATTGGCGACCTGATGCCGAGTGTCGTTCGAGGCTTTGCTCGTGAAGAGGACCTGGGCCAGTTCATGTTTGACCGTCATTTCTGGGTGACGGCGTTCATGCTGGTCGTCATTCCATTCTCTTTCCTCCGCCGGCTCGACTCGTTGAAATACACTTCTGTGATCGCATTGATCTCAATCGGTTACCTGGTCATCCTGGTCGTCTACCACTTTGCAGCACACGACACCTTACCCGATGGACGCTACCAGACTCAGCTACGAATATTCAAATGGGCAGGCCCCATCCCGGCGCTTTCTTCCTTCCCCGTCATCGTGTTCGCCTATACTTGTCATCAAAACATGTTCAGCATCCTCAACGAGATCAGCGACAATTCCCATTTTCGCACCAGCGCTGTGGTATTCGCATCCAACGGCACCGCTGCGTCCATTTACATTCTTGTTGCGATTACCGGCTATCTGTCATTTGGAAATGAGATTGGAGGAAATATTGTGGCGCAATATGCGCCCTCGGTGTCTACAACGATCGGTCAAGCCATGATCGTGGTCCTCGTCATGTTCTCCTACCCTCTTCAAGTTCACCCCTGCCGAGCTAGTGTTGACGCAGTTCTCAAATGGCGTCCTTCCGACAAATTGAAAGCGAAACTCCGCTCCACGCCCGCTACACCCAGCTCGCTCGACTCCAGCCCTCCACGCGACGTCCCTCTCTTACAACCTGGCAAAAAGCGGAACACGGAGATGAGCGAGGTTCGATTCGCTGCTATTACCACCGTGATCATCATCCTCAGCTATATTGTCGCCATGACCGTGTCCAGCCTCGAAGCTGTGCTGGCATATGTCGGTTCAACGGGAAGCACATCCATCTCTTTTATCCTTCCGGGCTTGTTCTACTATAAAATATCCTCGCCCAATTCGCCTTTGCATCAAAAACTCGTGAAAGAGGAAGACGACTACGACTGGCAAGGAGGCGATGATGAAAGCGACAAGTCTGATGATGACGCCGTTAATGATGAACAACAAAACCACGAAGGGCAAAATTTGCTGAGCAATTCGGGGATTTTGAGCATCAGCGGTATGAGCTTGTTGAAACGAACGAGGCATTTCCGCCGAAAGATGCTTCGCAAGCTGAGTCTCGCGTTGGCGATATACGGTATATGCGTCATGGTGGTTTGTTTGATCACGAACACCTTTTTCATTGTTGCGCACTGAGGAGTCTCAAAGAGGAGGCGACGGAGTGGGCGTTTGAGAGATTAGATTTGAAAAAGTGCTGTGTCCCGAGCGTCGCGACCAATACGAGGCGGATTGTTTGGCGCATCTCGACCGTACCTGCCCTGACGTACCGTTCGATATGACCTGCTCATTGACTAGGAAGAAACCTGGAGAGCGAGTGGCCGTCCACTATCACTGTCAGCTAACAATGGTCTCTCAAGTCTCTGCCCTTTGGGACAATTTCCAGGCTGCAGGTACTACTCCGACCTATAGTCGATTCCTCTATGAATGGGCGAGGGCAAGATGAGAACCAACGACGGAACAGACGGACATCCATCAGTTCTTCTCCGGGATGACCGGGGCTAGGGTCGCTCGATCAGCAGGAGGGATACGTGGGCGACTTGACTCATCTGAATCCAACCTGGAACACTCGAGGGCCCGTCAGGAAGTTTCAAGCAGCAAAGGGAGCTTGCTCGTATAACGATAAAACCAAAACCAAAAACCCATCGACACAGCTCTGCAACAACGACGTCCATGCAAGGGGAAAACTAATGACTTGTTGATCATGTCTTGATCTTGGCTAGAGAAACAGCTGCTTTTTGCGCGTCGGATGGATGAGTGAGAGCGACGGCGTCCAGGCAGTCGGGTGGATGTTTTTCATGTTTATATACATATATCCCATATACCTACCCATACAGTTATTATTTACTTGCAGACGACAAGGCCTCACCAACCTCAGAGGAATGAGCATATGCTTTAGACTTATACCGATACCTATGCTTCTGCTTCTGCTTATCCTCATTCCCATTCTCATCCCATTGCGTCTTCACCATTGAATGTTCATTACTTTGTCCAGCGCCTGAGACCCATACCATTGAATGTCGATCTAATTAAGTAAACGAAGCCCCATGATAGACCCGCATGCCCCCCATCTTACGTACGATATGAGGACCCAAGTCCAAGGGGCCGTGTTCATTCTCCACGGCTTGAAGGCCATACTCCGTACAACACGATCAATAGAAAAGGGACCTGGGTGGTCCCAGCACCCAGTAGGATACGCTAGCGACGTTCCTCCCGGTTAATTCGAAAAGCACCTGCTTTAACCCCCCCCCCCCCCCCAAAAACCCCACCCGGTTGTAACACCCGGCTGCACAACTCGACGACGCTCATTCACATTCGCAGATCGAATTGTGACCAGAACTTCCCCAATCCAGCGCATCCTGTACAGTGACAAGGACACGCGCGAGCTGCTCCATGCATCTTTTCACTAGAACTTAGTTATTGTTCTGAGTCGCGTTCAAGATCCTCAAAATCGAGAGGAACAAGTTGAGGATGTCGAGGTACAGGCTGATGGAAGCCGCGATCTCCTCCTCCACGTGATAGTGTCTCATGACCAACTGAGTGTCCACGAGGATGTAGCCACTAAAGACCAAGGCCGCAATCACGCCATAGACCAATTCCACCGTGGACCCGTGCGGGAAAAAGGCAGCCATGAAGCCGAAAATGATCAAGATCCACAAGGCGCCAAAGAGGTAGGGCATCCAGCTGGTGAAGTCGTACTTGCTCTGGCACGCAAAGAGGGTCAAGAAGACAAAGATGCCCAGCGTGAGGACGAGGGCTTCGAGCACGATGCGGCTTTCAAAGTAGGATGTGATGACACTGATACTGTATGCCTCGAGCGCGGTGAAGCCGGCCAGAAAGACCATGTTTGTCGGGTAGGACTTGCGTTTCCAAAATGTGAGGAGCATGAATCCAATGGCGCCGATCATGGACACCCACATCATCCACGAGTTGGACTGGATCCAGTTCCTGTAGCCGGTAGAGAAAAACGAAAGCAGGGACAGGGCGGCTGTGAGGAGGAGCTGGGTGGTCAGGATGGTATAGACTTTGCGGATAAAGGACATTCGGATGTCAATGGTAGCTTCGATGATGACGCCGCCGAACTGTTCAACGCGGTTAGCTTGCGCAACCACGTCTGGGGTGGAGAGGATGTGAGCGTACCTTGAAGTCGTCGGGGACATTGTCGTCCTCTGACCTAGGGGCCCCGAAGATGCCCTCCTCGTGGCTGGGTCCTGTAGCCTGGTAGTTAGGAGGCGCTTGAGTGTAGTTTTGCTCGTCGACCGAGTCGCGCTGAGGAGCGGGTTGGTATCTAGTCGAGGATGCCATCTTGCACGTTCGATGGGAGGTTACCGATAGACCTGGGAGAGGATATCTGGCGTACGCAGGAGGGAAAAAGAAGGAGAGGAAAGAAGTCGTCAAATAGTGGCGTGTTGTGTTAATGTCCGCAGTGGCTTCGCATCAGTCAGTTGAGATGCCTGCGGCCCCGGCGAATGTTCCAGTCACAGGAGCCAATGATGCATGCAGGGAATTAAGCCGGATACCAGCACGTGGGGAGTTCAGGAGTCCAAGAGTCCCACCCCAATGCCATCGAAATGCGGGTACACCAGAAGTGGGAGTGCCACTGCCGAATAGAGTAGCCGCACGTTGTTCTCAACAGATTCGAATGGAATTATCGCAATGGCGGTATTATGCTTGTAGTAGGAAACCAAAAAAAAAAAATGTGATCGTTTAAGAAAAGGCACCTGAAAAAAAAAAAAATAAACAACAACGAAGAAAACCCCCCAAGGAGACACAAAACACATTAGCCAAAAACTAAAAACATAACATGCGTGAACCGCGACTCGAACGCGGGCCTCGAGCATGGGAAGCTCGAATTCTACCCTTAAACTATTCACGCGAAATCTGGACAGTATCATACGAAAATTCGAGATTAAATCTATATATAATCCAACTAAGACCGTGCCTAAGTTGCCCCGATCCGGGTGCCAACTGGCCAACGAAGCTGGCTCGGGAGCTGCCTAGGAATGTGCCCCACGTAGCTGGGGTTTTGGCGACAGTTCTCCTCTGTTCCATCGTCTCTCGTTGCCTGAAGCTGTGAGATCAGAAATGGACTCCATTGTACGGTCTTCAGCTTGTGATGATTTTACTGTGCTTGTTGCCAGGCCAGGCAAGTCCGGACCCTTTACCAATACTAGCCCGTCCTTTTGGGGCCTCGGTCATTGAGCGTACTTGTCGACGCACTGATGGAACGCGACGTGTCAAGGCCCCAAGGCTGATCTACTTTTCCTATTGTTCTGTGCAAACCTGTCTATGTGCTTGATTCTTTGTTCAAACCGTCTGTGAGGCTTCAAAGCAAGGATTCTGGGGCCCTTATTCTTCCGTCTTCTCTGTCAAAAAGATCCCATACTTCTCCTTCAACTCCTTGAGCAAAGGTCCCGCCAGCTCCCACTTCAGCGGTGCCAGGATGCCCTTCTCTTTGATACTTCCATCCAACACCATCAAACAGGCCACCCCACAGGGTACACCCACGAGTTTCGCCATGGAACTGTACCCGTTGGGGTCCCCGTAATCACAAAGAGTGCTCGTCCTGGTCTCGAGGGTTCCATCTTTATGCTCAATCTCGAATTTATGCTGTAACATGACCATATCTCTCTCGCCCTTTTCGTACTGCATCTTTTCCTCGAGTGTGGCACAGAGTGTGTCAAGCGGATTTCCTCGGGGTGTGATGGGCTTATCTGAAAACAGGCCTAGCCATTTCATTCCGGATATGATGCGTTGTTTCTCGGGCGTGTCTTTGAAGGTGGTCTTGGAGCTGACCGCCCACGAAAGATCCGATTCCTTGCTGCTCGTCGCTCCGATGATCTTCTGCGTTGCTTCGGCCCAGGTTAGAGGCTTGTTGTCAGCGGATGGTTTGAGGAAAGATTGCTCTTCTTCTGAAAGGAAGCCAATGTCGACCAGAACCTTGACGAATTCGGGGAAACCTTGGTACCGCAGCGTACCGCGGATCACTGTCTGAGCTTCGGGGATATTGTATTTTTCTCGGTAGGGCGTGGAGTCTCGGTTCGGATATGCGACGAACGCAAATCCAGGGTAGATAAAGTACGGCTTCGCACTGCTCATGAGGTCGGGCCCAGCAATCTCTTTGATGGAGCCATCTTCGTAGAACTTGGCCGAGTTGCGGAGAGCTAGCAGGACCCCTCGACTCGACCAGGAGAATTTGTACCCCAAAGGATTACCACTGGCTTCTGGGGCCGGTAAGCCGCCACAATATGAGAGAAAAGACTTGATCTTGCCACCAGCTTTGTGGACCTCTTCAATGGTTTTGACGGCGTAGAGATGGTCTATGCCCGGATCTAGACCAATCTCGTTCATGACCGTAATGCCCGCTTCCTTGACCTTGTCTTCCAGTTCCAACATAGCAGGGGAGACGTAGCTGGTGGTCACGACGTTCTTCTTGTTTCGGATTGCGGATTTGATAATGGTTGCATGGAAGGTGTACGGGATCAGACTGATTGCAAGGTCGGTCTTGGCCATCTCACTGTCAAGTGCCTCTTCACTGGTGACATCGAGGGAGATGGGCCGTGTATTCTTGATGCCTTCGCATAGATTCTTTGCATGTTCAAGGGTGCGACAGGCTACAATACGTTAGTCAAGATTGGTCGGCCATGGATCCGCAACCACTGACCGACAGTGACCTCAACGCCAGCGTCGGCGAGAATCTGAACTGTGGGCTTTGTAACAAATCCAGCGCCGAGGAGGAGAGCCTTCTGGGAGGAATAGCCCAACTTGGACTGGATCGTGGTAATAAAGGAGGTCATATTGAGATGTCAGGGTGTGTTGAACCGGGGCTTGACAGTGTGTCGTGTGCGTGTGCGTGTGTGGTCCTGATGAAGGATTGAGTCAAACAACGCCCAAAGAGATTTCTCCAATTGAACCCAGAAAACTGCATCAACCCGCTCGCCGTGACGCCGATTGCGGAGTTGAGCGAAAGCCTACCCAGTACTGGGTAGTGACCCACCCACCCCCTCCATTATCTCCACGTGAAGATATCGCCTGCGCCCTGTCCAGCAGCTAGCCTCGCTTGCCTCGCTTCCATTTTGCCCGGGCCTCGATTCGTCCAAGCTGTTTCTTTGGCAACTCCAACTCCAATGTTCGTACCTAGGTAAACCGAGCTGGGATGCGAAGACGGTACGAATATAAAAGGGTCTATAATTACTCCGCTTCCTCCTTTCATGATTCTCCCCTTTCGCAAGGATACCTTCTCTTACACCTGGCAGAGACAGGCACACATTTCTCTGTTCCACCCTCCTAGTATCAATTGCTCTTTCACAGTTCTCCTATTCGTACCCAAAACATGGCTGTGCCTTTGCTTGTGAGGTTGCAGTCATATCTAGATCCTCTGCTCCTTCTGAGCATCTCCATTGCCTACTTTCCCCTAACCCTTCTCTCTCATCCGCTGCTGTTCGTCACATCGCCTTCAACCTTCCGCTCAAAATGGTTCGAAAATTTCTGGCGGATCATTGGCCCCAAGATGGCTGCTTCGGAGGCCCAAGTCAATCACATCGAAGAACTTCTCTCGCGCGCAAACAGGAAGGTCCTCGAACTAGGTCCAGGAGCAGGCGACCAAATGTATCACTACAAGCCTGCTCAGATTGAGGTGCTGTATTGCGCGGAACCAAACGCGTTCTTGCATGGAAAGCTCATTGAAAATGCGGAGAAACATGGGCTCGGCAAAAAAGCCGTCGCCCTCGAAGCCGGGGCTCAGCCAGGAAGCCTTCTACCTGCGCTGAAGAAGGCCGGTTTGATCCCCAGCACGACGTCCAGTCTCCCTGAAAACGGTGTATTTGACACCATTGTTGCCGTCAAGAGCCTCTGCTCAGCGCCACAGAAGCAACTCGCTGCCACAGTAGCTATCGTGCAGGCATTGCTCAAACCCGGCGGCGAATTCCTCTTCTTCGAGCACGTTGAGAACAATGGAGATTCAATCACAATGTCCTACGCCTGGTTGGTAGATTGGATCTGGCCTGTGTTTATGGGCGGATGTCGTTTGGACGGGAAGATTGATAGGGTCGTCTTGGGGATGGGTGGTTGGGATGAACGGAAGGTTACCACAACGGATGAATTCCAGGGTCACGAGGTACGAAAGCATTCGAGTACAATCCGAGCTTTTCCCTGTCGTCAACAATCATGGGGAAACTCAGTCAATACTGATATTTGAGCATTCTTAGGTCTTCCGATATGTCAAGGGAATCTGTCGCAAAGCTTGACGAGGTCGGCTCCTTACTAGCAGTGATTTAGGTATGCAAGAATACAGCAGCAAGGCACGTCTTGACCGAATCCAACCTCACAAGGAGGTAAGCCAGGTTAACGTGGTACGAATAATGAACTGAGGCCGTGGAGACATGGTTCTCGTGGGATGAAGCTGTGGCTGAAAATTGTGTTCATGACTGTAATCTAAAACCCATTCCTGTACGTCGCATATCTAGACTCGCCTCTTGTCTTTCAAGAGAAGGCTCCCACTCAGCCTCGAGCCTCAAAGTCACAGGACGTATCATGGTGAAAGGACCACCCACCTTCCACAAAGTAAATCCTAGGCCAATATTGTCTCTTTCAATGGCGGCTCGGCCTCATACTCAATCTCCACACGACCACGAGGCTTCTTCTGTGGCTTTGGTGGTTGCCTTGTATGTCGTTTCCGCTTCTTGCCCAATGCATCTTCGCCATCTTCGTCCTCGTCGCTGTCGTCGCTCTCATCCTCGTCCTCTCCAGACTCCTCACTGAAGTCTTCATCCTCTTCATCAGGACTCTCTCCGTCAAGCCAGTCGTCAAAGTCCTCCATCTCCTGCTCTATTTCATTTTCGCTCTCCTCCAGATCGGAAATGTACTCTACCTCTGCCTCCAGTTCTTCCTCATTCTCCTCCTCCTCCAGTTCTTCATCCAGCAGCTCCTCGCCCTTTTCCCTCCTCTCGAGTCCTCTCAGCACCTTTCTCCACAAACCCTCTTCGATGTTGAGCGGCCGATCACCGTACGCTCCACTCGTCAGCCGCTCCATAAGTTCCCGTTCAATCTCCCTCTCCACTTTCGCCGCACTCTCTGCTTTCCGCTCTCTCGTCTCCTCCCTCCGCCTCACCTTTGGCGCCAATCTAGGGACATTCTTCTCACCAATTCTCACTTCCTCCTTCGCGATATTCCTTTCGCGAATCCTCACTTGCGTCAACCTCGTAAGCCTCTGTTTGCATTTATGGATGTAGAATTTGGGCCAGTATTCCAATTTCTCGTCGAGGGCTAAAAGCGCCTTTTCGTAGTTGTTGGGGAGACGTATCTTTTCCCACCACTTTGAAGGCAAATGAGTGCGTTCTGGAGTTTTGATGAAGAGGCATAGAGCACCAGTCTGGGGATCTGGCCGGACGGTGGCATAGCGGGAATTAGCGAGCGGGCAGGACTGGCGGTTGCAGAAACCTGTGAGGTTGTACTCGTTGCGACAAAAAGTTTGATCTTTGCTGCTTAGTCTGTGGTTGTCCTCATTAGAAACGATGGCGCTTGAGTTTGGATATACGAGTAGTGTCGACCTACTTCAACTTGAACGAGCAGAATTGCTGGTTGATTACCTGCCACACGATCTCGTCTGACGACATGTTTGCGGATTCAGAGTGAGAGTATGGCGAAAAAGAGCGGCGGTGGGTGGCTGGTCTTTAGGGTCTTCAAGCACCAAAAGATTGAATCCCAAAATTTTCCAGTTCGACGCAAGGCAAACCTGCCAAGGGTTCCCTTATCACTTATCGGAGTTTGGCGTGTTTGTTGGATTTGGAGCATTTCGGATTTTGTATGTAGCATACCCAGTATAGGACAAACATTCAGAGGCCAGAATATCATCCTCTTATAGACATTACTAATCTATCATACGCGTTCCAGGCACGCCCTGGCAAGATGTCTAAACACGCCGGTTCGATTGATCCATTGAAAATGGAGCAACGGAGGGCATTGCTATCAAGGTCACTCGGCGACTCTCCAAACACCAGCCGGAGTCTCGAGGCAAACCGTACACTTTTGCATTCGAGTGAGCGCCTCGAGCCGAAGGCATTGCAAAATACCCATTCTGTTATATCCTCTCACAGATCGAGGGCGTTCACCTTGTCGTCGCTCTGCTGCATGGCATCTTGCGGAGACTATGGCTTTCCTTGTTGACATGTTTACTAGGTAGCAATAAAAGCCGGATCACGGTAAGGCTAAGTCAGCTCGAAATCAGAGGACTCCAAGACGCATGATATTGGGCAAACCCTTTTTAGAGGGATGTGGTAAGAATCAGCAGCAGTGGGCAGAACAGTGCGAGAGAGTCAGGCTGACGTTAGCAGCAGGGACATAGTTCTAGTCCTCAATCTCGGATTCTCGTTCCTCAAACCTCAGAAATGTGCTGTTTGCAGCGACCTCTGGCCCCAAGATAACCTGCCAAGCCTCATTGACCGCATGCAGTATACCGTCGTCAAAAGCAACGTCTTGAGGCTTGGGTGGAAATAGAATGACCTGTGAGTGTTTTCGTGGTGGAGGATAATCCGAAGTTGAAAATATGCCGGGCCCTACGGCTCGATAGGACAGCGACCAGAGGAGTGAATCTTTTGCACTGACAGTGTCAAGAAACCCTCTCACAGCAGCTTGAAGCCGATCTTTGGAGGACCCATCTTCAGAAACGACCGAAGCATAGATGAGACCTAGCCAGGCACAAGTCAGTAAAATCGCCTTCGTACCAAATGTTCGCAGCAGACATAGTTGGGAGGGTATCCAGATCAGGTTGTCAGAGGATAGTTATCAGCAAAGCACATAGTGCTCAGGCAATGTAGATAAGTATTCGATGTTGGATCATCATGGAAGAGAAATCAAAAGACCGCAAAGGGAAATACATACATTGACCCGCCGGACATTCCCCTGTATCCTCTGAGTGAATCTGTAGATAAATGGGATTCTGGTCGTTATGAGGGGTGCCATCGTCGACGAGAACTATTGCCACTGCAGGGATAGGTCCATTGTCTGATGTCGGAGGAAACATTGACCGTAATGGATCCGCAATGACATTGACGGACCTCCAAGTAGTGCAGAACGAGACCACTTCTTCCGTGGCACCTTTGACGGCTGGAATATCATCGCGGTTGCCGACGACATATCGAGCTCGGATTCGAGTGCCGTTGGAAAGTGTGCACTCGATGAGGGAGATATCCCCGCCATCTGTGCCTTGGGGAGCAGGCGTGTTACTAGTAGCATCGAGATCTTGTAAGCCATGCCCTAGGAGGTACACACCTCCACCCACAGCACCAGCACGACACGCCACCTGTGCGATTTCTGCGGTGCCGCCATATTTCGCAACGACGGCGCCAAATCCTTGACCAAAATGGCCCATAGACCTCATATGTCTCCTGATCCTGGCAAGAGCTTTGTCGAAGGGGAGCAAGTCGGCAGCTATAGGGGACAGTGCAAGTACCACCAGCGGAGCCTGCAGGGAGTCCGGGATTTTGAACTTTGTCGACAATGCGACCTTCAGTGATATGCTAGTGTTGCCTTTTTCCGAGCCCGTGGTCGATTCCTCCTCCTCTTGCATCACGTATCTCAAGAACTTCATCAACCCACGCTTGTCCTTCATTGAAAGTGACTCATCATTAAACACATCTTCACGAGTGCTCGGTATCTTGTGCAGTTGTCCGTCACCCAGTACCCACAAAGACCCAACGGCAAGAAATTCCAGTTGAGTATGTATCTGTGACGAGACCAGGCTAGGGAGAAACTCGGATTTGGCGTAGATGATTTGAGGGCTTAAGCTCAAGGTATACGACCGAGATGGTCCAAGTGATATGGGCGGCCCAGAACCGTCCTCGGCAAATCTCGAGATGGAAGCGTCTTTAAACACTCTGCTTGTGGCTGCGAGATCATCAGTGATGGAAAAATCTCAAGGCACAATTTGCACACATTGCCGCAAGTCTTCGACCCAAGCTTGGGCGTCTGCGAGACTCAAGCCGGCATCGTCACCTCCATAATAAGAATGTCGATCCACATGCAAAATCTTCTTGTCGGAGCGAGATAGAGCCCTAATGAGGAACGCTTTGTCAGTCAGTTAAAGGCTTGGCTGAGCAAAAGGAGAAGGAGACGTACAACGCAAGAAGTGACTGGGGAATGCTGGTTCCAGTTATGACAACATCCCAAACATCGTCGCTTAAGCTCTCCATTTTCACCACCGAGGAGTTGTAGGAAGAGATTGGGGCACGAAGGGCAAAAGAATTTCGCTTGATGAGATATTGACAAGTTTTGGAGGCAACCATCTGCAGGGCAACTTTGCCGAGGCCCAACGCGCCTGACGCGAAAACGCGCTCAAAACCACGCAAACAAAAAAGACCTGGGTAGCAAAGAGCAGAACAAGCAAACATCTGCTCGGTATGGAGCACAAAGATGCGGTCTGGTCCCAGGTAAGCCCCCAAAGGTCCTCCATATTACCCTGCATGTCAGGATCTATGTGGCTTTTCCGAGGGGTAGTCTGCGCCGTCGACTTCCCAGCATGGATGACTTTGTGGACGACCAACTCGACAAGATCATGACAATTCCGACAGTACACCACGTCGCCAGAGATGAAGTGCTTTACTCGACGTTTGCCGGTAGGTCGTTTCCACGCAAACTGCCCAGAGCCCAGATAAAATGCCTCGAGCGGATCTCAGACTTCGTCGTCGGGGCCGACGAGCACTGCTCGATACCGACTGTGCAGCGTGAGTGCATCCCACACTTCCTCCTCCTTAGGACCGGTGTGGAGATCATACATCCAACAAGGCCAAGACACCAAGGGCATGCAGTGTTGGACGATCGGATATGTCGGCACCAATTTCCCTTGCGACCAGGGCACCGAGAGACGAGTTCTCAGAAGCAGGGCAGGGAGATGACAGTCCGGCTTCGCCATAGAGAGCCAAGCCCATTGACAGCAAAGAAGACCGAGCGCACAGCGCTCCTTGTCATATATGCGACACGTGTTGAGAAGCCACCATCTTATCCTTCAAAATAACGCCAGATGCCAAACTAGGCCAGCACTTCCTCTCCACCTCACCCTTCGCATTTCAACCCGGGGGTCTCCAGACTCCCACACAGAGATCTCCCATCCTACTACGCTTATTGCCGACGCAGGCGTGGTGGGCGTGTTCAAGCAGCCCCGCCAGTAGTAACGGCTAGGGCGGGCTCGCTGCCACAGAGACCAGGTTGAAATAACTAGTGGACATCTGCCCATAGGCTGTCATTTGCGGTCATTAGTGGTCTCCCTAATCTAAAGCCCGGTCCTGCTGGCTCTGCCATTTCTTACTTACCGAGTTGAAACTCTATTGATGTGTCTTACTCTCCAGGAAGCGCCTCCTCCACATTGTGCCCCACGACTTGAGGAGCCCCATATTTTACCTAAGCACAAAAGGCGGTTTCTGTTCGTCTTCACGGTAAGACGATTCTTGATTCCAACGAAGAAACAGGTGTCTCTGCAAGTCGAAATATCCCAGTGAATCATACCTTGATCACTACGACAAGATCAACCGTCAAGCGGAACAAGCAACTGATTGTTGTCAAGTCGATCACTGCCGTTGCTCAAAAGCCTTTCAATCAAGCATCAACATCGAAGCCAACATGGGCAGCTACGCTGAGGAGCCAGAATTCAAAACAATCAGCGTCCAGAAACTTCACCCTACATTCGCAGCTGAGGTTGAGGGCGTCAATTTTCAAAATTTATCCGATGAACAATTCAACGAGATCCTCGCCGCAATGGCGAAGGTACCAATCCCCCTCTTTTCTTCAAGCCTTGTGACCCCCTCCCTAATCAGCATTTTGCCTGATTGAAGCGGCAGTGCTCTGCAAGTTAGGCGCTGACATGATCCCTTCATTGCCTTAGTATGGTGTTTGCATCTTCCGCAACACTGGGCTGGACGATGCCAGTCATATTGAATTCTCCAGACGTATAGGTGATCTGGACACTATGAAACGTTATATGGTCGATGGTCGCAGGCCAAGATACGGTTTCTACGAATTGTTCGACGCTGGAAATATCGATGATCAAGGTGGTGTCCTCGATCCTAACAGCCCAAGAGCGCACTATGGCAAGGTAAGCTCACCTGAAATTTCTTCTTGCCTGCTCACGGCTTATCGTATGTCCTAGGGAAACGCTCTCTTTCATGTCGACTCCTCTTTCAACCCCAGGCGAGCAAGTTTTTCTCTACTACGTGCGGTGGAAATTCCTCCTGCGGGCAATGGCGGTAACACTGACTTCGCCGACTCACGCACCGCTTGGGACGAGCTTGATCCAGAATTTCAAAAGGAACTCCTGGAGAAAGACTATATTGTTCATCACTCAATCGCCCAGTCTCGCAAACTAGGATCTCCAGAATTCTTTAAAGACCTCGATCCAACCAACAGCGGCGTTATGGCTCGGCATCGTCTCATTCAGGTCCACGAGCCCAGCGGTCGCAGAAATATCTACATTGCGGCACACTCCCATCACATAGAAGGCATTCCCAAGGAAGAATCCGACACGCTGATAAAGAAGCTTCTCGACCACGTCACCCAGAAGAAGTACACCATCAGCGTTGAGTGGAAGAATCCGTCAGATATGATTATCTGGGACAACAGGTGCACCCTCCACAGAGCCAACGGAGGAGCCTTTGAAGGCAAGTACAAGCGAGACCTGAGAAGGACGACGGTGCACGACGACAGCAGCACAGCCTGGGGATTGAACGAGGTAGCAGACACGGACAACTGGGTTGTCAATCACGAAGCCACTAGAGCAGCTGGACAAACAAAATAAATTCGCGCCGAAGTCTGAATAGTGCAGCAGAACCAAGGTGTGGACTTGAAAACAAAAGATTTAGAACCTTTGCTCTCATTAGTTGTTTGTGTGTATGGAAAGTGAAGAATAGCAATCACGTAGTCATATTTAGTCTGAGGGCATCTCTCGGTGCAGAGATACCTCTCTATACGGCTCATTAACATCATTCTTACACCCCTACCTACCGCGCTATTCAAGTTTTGATCATTCTGTTTGTCCCTGTTCATTCACGTCAGACTGGTAAGTCTGTTCAGCAGGGTTGTCCTTGTACAATGTGCCGTTCCTCATACAATAAGTCTACGCAATATTTAATGAAGAAACGGTTATTCTCAGACCGGAAGCTCCACCTCCTGTGATTCCAGATTCAGACTGCAAGATTCAGGTCACTGGCGGGACAAATGTATCCGACGACAATACGGAGAAAAGGGGTGAAAGCCTCGCGGACCCCTGTCACCGACTTGTCACCCTTAGCAGCTCCAGGGGACGCGCCTAGTGAAACGTTCCCCACGGTGGCAGTCTGATGCTTGTCACACCATTACTTAAATCGTCACTTTTCGTCACTATGGTTCTACCTCGTAAACGCAGAATATCTGCATGACACCTCTCTCTCTCTCTCTCTCTCTCTTTCTTTCTTTCTATATATATATATATACGAACCGCCAATAACCGATCCGATCCATTACTCCCATTTGAGTCATGGTGCAAACGGAACCGGTATTCTCTACTATATATATGTCATGCGCTGAGCTCACGTTGCTTCATGACAGCGATCAAGCCCATGTCATCAGCAATGAGAGCTTGAGCTCGCGCAGACAATCAGACAGGAACCTCCAAGCCAGCTAGCCCATCACGAAAGGGGAGAAGAGGAACATCTTCTCGACAGATCTCTAGATTCTCTCGACACATATACCTGCAGCAACAGGTCAAGTTCCTCGAACAAGTGTCACGATGGCAAGCAAGACAACCATCTTTGATCTGCATGTGGAGATACTCGACATCGTCCTCACCCATCTGGACTACGAGTCCATCGCTGCCTTCCGACAAACTTGTCCTCTGGCAGTGGCAATGGTGCCGCTGACCAAGATAATGCGACTCCGCCAGCAAATTAGAGCCTCGCTCCTCGAACAAGAACATGCTGACCACCAGCGCCGTCAAGAGGCATTTACGAACCAACGTCGCTGGGCAGTCGTTTTCCCGCAGTCCGTTCAGGGCACTGCAGCAAACACCACCAACGAATTCAACAACATTCACCGCAACCGAATCACCAGGGCAGAGCGGTTGAACTGTTACGCGTGCCTGAAGCATCTGCCGCGGGAGTGCTTCGTGAAGGGCCAAGTCACGGGGAGTCGGAGCCTGGGCCACAGAGACGGCCATAGACGGTTTTGCAAGGCGTGTGGAGTGAAGAAAGGGATCTGGGAGAAGGGGGCGATCATCAAAGATGGGGGATGTGCCTTGGTTGTATGCAAGGTGTGCAATTTGCTGGGGAGGGTGGATGCGGAAGGCAAGAAGATTGGGATCTGTTCGGTGTGTCTGGCTGCGTCCCAAGAGACTCCACTTGACGCGGAGAGACAGGTTACCTCCCACCCCAGTCCATCCCAGCCAGGCAGTCGAGCGACCCGATGTCTGCGATGCTGGGCTATTGATCACACTGCGGTGCCTGCTGGGTCGACGGAGTCTCGCGTCTGCCTGTCCTGTGAAGCTGCCTGTCGGGTTGGCAAAAACGGCACTTGACAAGGAGGGCGTGGGAGAGTGACGACAACAGACACATGAAGGGACATGTGTGTTCAGGGGCACGGCCGGATATCGGAACTGTTTTCGTCCTTGGATTCAGAGTTGTGTGACCTTCTAGGTGAGATTTTTCGGTGTGAGCCTCAAACAGCGCGAGATAGTGTCGGCAGTGTCTGATTGAAAAGAGGCAGCAACCATTCTGTGGTCTTGACTTTGCACTCTAGTCTCTAGTTTCCCTTTCTTTGGCCAGTGTTGTATCCCTACGGCATCGCAGTCTTCCAGGACCCTCCAGGACGTCCTGAAGGCTTTTCCTACTTTGGCCACATTGAAAGTCCTCATAGGCAAGTGTGATAATGTTGGCAAAGCCAAGTTGAATAAGAGACGACACAAGAGACCAAAGCGGAGGAAAACAGACTGCTGGTGCTGTTGCAAGGGAGCAGGGGACGGGGGGGAAGAAGACATATGTAGATTACCAGAGGAATTCATTCGCAGGCACTAGCTCATTTGTTGTACTACCTAGGTATGATAGCCACACGTCTAGTCCTGAGAACCTTCCTTCGCACTCCTCATCCTATCACAATCTAACCTGGTCTTGTTCCAGCATTTTGATGTGTGGATCACTCAATACCCGGTGATCAACCCGGTGCCATCAAGAGGATGACAAGCTCGTCTACGATATTTTTGGAAGGTCAAACTCGAGAAAATAAGATTGGAATCGCTCTTGGCTCGAAACGGAAATTGTAACTGAGGATAAGTTGTTGAAAATGTGGATGACAGAGAGTTGTATCTGCAAGCCTCGGAAAGACTTACTTGTGTTGCGCTAGGTTCTGCAACGAGAAGATGTGGGTTGCATGTGCACCCCCAGGCATCTTCATTGTGCGCCGTCCGCTCAGTCAGGAGAGTATCTCACGGCTCGGTGATTGCTTCAAGCTCGCACGGTCGAAGCCTAATTGAACGGTGAAGTCTGACTGCCTTGAGCGACAGCTGGCCAAAGGCGATCTGCGAGTAATTGGGAAGGGGTCGATAATTTGGGTTGTTCAGCGCTGTAACGAAATCAGCAGGCACGGGGCATTCAGGCAACCCTTCCCATGACAATGCTTTTAGGTATTCCCCGCTCTCATAGCTCTCCATTTTGGCAAGGCACTCCTGCAAGAAACTCTTGTATCTAAACCAATGCTGATTGACCTTCGCAAAACACTGTTGGCAGAAACCCGAGAAGCGAAGTTTGAAAGGCAGTTCGGCCGGAGCGCGTTTGATGAGGTGGCATCTGTGGCACTGAATGATCGACACCACTTTATCCCGGAGGCCAAGGTTGTGATATCTGTAAGGTTGGTCCGCAGCCGCACAATCGCCACACACCATAGATTCCAGTACGTCTTTGTAAACTTGCTGAGGTGCGCCAGAATATAGGTACGTACCGAACGGGTATGTGCGGCGGAGACCGTCGGTCGGAAATTCGGCCCACGGCTTCACAACACGACACTTGGAACAAGCAAAGTGGTGGCGACTGGGACATACAAGCCATTGGACCAACGTCTTGGAGAAGCCGCATACCGTGGCGTGTTCCTCCACCTCTTGTTTGAGGGTCATGCGGTTGTGTTGCGAATCTACCAGGCACAACCCCATATCCACATAGTAGCGGTTTTGGAATTCAGCTTCGATTTCAACCCAAGCCCTCGACATCTCGTCAATCAGCAGAGTCGCAGGGTCAGCGAAGCAACGCGACATCGCCCGCGATGTCGCACGAACACTGTTGAGGTCACAGTAGTCGAGATACCTACTGATCTCGAGCTGAAGCTCCGGAAGAAGAGATGACAGACGCTCCTGCTTTTGTGCATCATGCGCTGGATCTGGAAGATGCGCCATGTTGGGAATGACTTTGGCTAAACGCCGTTGATGGGTCAAACTCAGGAGAAAGGAGAGCAGAACTGTTTCAAGTGTTGAAGGTGAGCCAGAAATTGATGGGTAACTTTCTTACCTGAACGTATTCGGTCAACAGAAGAACTGTGTCTGGCACAGAAACCAAGGCAATGTAGACCGGTTCGTTGGAGCAGTTCAAATAGACGTGCCATGGTGCTAAAGCATTGCAACCGCTGCCTCTGCCGAAAGAACTGGGTGACAGGGATGAAAGGATAGGCTAAGGCAGTGGACATAAGAACCAACGAATGTGAATATCCCTTTGTCACCGTGGCTCAGACGCCTTTATGTGACCTATTTCCTCTGTGGCCAGTTGGATTTCAACTACCGTAGTATCCTTTTCTTCCCGTTGACCTTTTGTCTGTTTTTCATTGTTGACTCTTGCTCCCCTCAATCAGGCTTGTTAGACAATGAAGAGCAATCCTTCAATCATGGATGGCACGACTACGGCCATAGCCCAGGTACACTGAGCGTACGGTTCTTGCTCCCTCAGACTCATTGTGTCGTATCCACTGGCTCAAACGTCGTCCAAAGCAACACCCTCGCGAAGCATCCAATAGCTGTTCGGTCTTCAGGTTGATGGTGGATGGCGGGTTTTTTGAAGCTCTCGATAGGTGCAGAGGAAGCTAGTTATTGACAGCCTTAGTAGATTAATACGAGTTATGGAGTACGGGGTGCGAAGCACATGAAGGAACCAAGTGATGAATGGTGTGGCACTAGTGGGCGAATGTTGATGAGGCGAGAAGCAAAAGAGGCAAGACTTTGACACGTGACTATATCACGTGACTATTAGATCTCTTCGTTTACATAGCTGCAAGCTTACTGGATACTGCAAGCCACAAGCCGCAAGCCGAATCGGGCCTCTACTGACCAGGATCCAGACTTGACACGATCGATTGGCTTCACAATTCGTTCGCCAAAGTGTTCACCCTCTCTGACCGGGATTTCGATTCGGTTTGCGCCCTCTTCGCAGAGCACTTGATCCTCCCTTCATCTTCGGAGTGGCACACAAACGTCGACTGGCCGTGAACGTCCTGTGTAACCACGAACACCCTGTGCCCTACCGTGTACAATCTATTCATTCTGCCACTGCAGAGAAACTCGTTTCTCCGAGGCTGGTTCATTTATCCGGTGTTCTCCAGCGACGAGACGGATCCATATACTCCTACATGCAAGTTTCCTAGCCATCCCTCAGATGAACGATGGAGGTCGGAGATCCTACCAAACTGGTATTGCGAGCGGCTGTCGGATTCGGCTTGTAAAGAGGCTCGCGAAAGGGAGTCGCTGTCCAGACCTTCAGGTGGATTTCGCCCTTGCCCACGACATTCTTGCGTACAGCGACAGCCGCTTTTCGACGTGTTGAGCGTGTGATGGCTGATGATTTGACCCACCATCCTTCACGAACTGCATTCCAGAGATTGGCGGCGGTTCCACGCAGCCTTCTAGGTTGCCGATTTGTGGTTTTCCATCGTTCAGGCTATAGCGTCGGAAGATGGTAGCTTGGAAGACGGAAGCCATACTTCAGAACGGCCCTAGCGCAGCTGATGCATATTGAAAACCCATAAGGCCCCGCCTGGTGCCAAAACTGCTTGGTCGGATGGAGGTCGAAGTAGACTGGACATACTCCAGCTACCCGTGAGGCATCTGGTGCTAACAATCACTTCAGTATTCCTCGTTGGTGTTTGTCAAATTCTCGAAGAGTGTTCAGGTCGAACGACTCGGCGGGAGGCTTGTGGATGAAATCTCGAATAACGTGGAAAGGAGGCCAACAAGGTTTGACACGTCGTGGAGGCTCGCAGCAAAGATTTTGAGTCCTCATAGCTGGAGATTTTGGGATCGAGGTTGCGTCAGAACAGAGATCGATCTCAGAGCGACGGTGTCGAAAGCAATAGAGGATTTCAACGCCAGATGCGATTCGCTGCGGTTAACAAGCCGGCACCTTTTGGTCAGTCTGGCCTTTGACAATGCGAACCCAACTCATTCTGTCCGCAGCCTTCGACGAACATGCTTTGCGTGGTGCGCCAAGAACCAACGGTACATTCTCCCACTACTCCACTAACTACTGCGCTCCCCATCTCTGGTCCGCTCATGCGATATAACCAATCGACTCTGTACAGCCAAAGCCGATTCGTTGCAAATGAGGTCAGGGCAGAAGCCCAACGCAACTTGTGGCAGCAATCATTCCCATTCGGCTCTCTGCTCGACGGGGCACAACCCTCCATTACCGACACGGCCCATGCCTTCAGCTCACACTGATATGCACATCTAGACTACACTTCCACTCGCATCTTCTCAAGAACGACCGATGTGGGTGGGTTTGCTAGAGCTCAGGCACGTTTTGGTGTGGCCGATCGGTTTGAGAGAACTCATGGTAACTAAACGAAAGGCGGTTGTGAGTGATGAACTTAGTCAGCTTCAGCCGGGCTTATGCTGACTCTCTCGTGGATCATGGTTCTGCGACGGTAGTATATGAGTTTGCTCTTCCTCTTGTCGCATGTTTGCCAACCCCGGATGAGGTTGGTACCAGCCCTGAGAATAGGGGCTCTCGACAGATCCAGGCATTTGCTGCACTGGACCAGAGTTCCCAGCAGTCCATTGCCCATCGACCTGCATGGTTTGATATGAAGTGCGTTCTCGGAAATTTGGATGCGTTGAAGTGTGCTGACTTTCTATGCCCACTGGCACAAGGCCCGAACGGGTCGGAGGTAGTTGCTGTATCTGGCCTGTCATCCCCCTTTCAAAAGACGGGTACGTATTTGTTCGGTAGGGAGTCGGGAAGCCAGATGACAGTTCGTCAGTTTGGTCAGATGACATTGATCTCGTGGGATGATGTGCCCAGTTATAGGCGCCATTTGAAGCCGACGTCTGGTACGGATAGGTTTGTTCTTGGGACATCGTTGTCATCGCGGAAGGTAGCGAACCCGGCGTAAACGCAGACGAATATGGTGTGGGTACCGAGTGTCCAAAGAGATGTTGCTGCTGCTGATAGAACTGAGGATTCATCGAATTTACGTCGTAGTTCCGTGGTGAGTATGGAGACGGAACGAATATTTGTTGTTGTTGTTGTTGTTGTTGTTGTTGTTGTTGTTGTTGTTGTTGTTGTTGTTGTTGTTGTTGACGCCGGTGTTGATTAGGATCGTAACCATGCGCGAAGTCGAAGCCTGGATGAAATCAGCACTTGAAGACACAGCCAAAATCTTGCTCCTACCATGGACAGACACAGATCTGGATCCTGGGTGGAAACCAGGGAACCCGGGACTTTCGTTGGACAACGGAGGAGTGTCCAAAGGATCCTTCGCAAAGTTTATTTGTTCCATGGAGCTGCTCCTAAGAATGCCACCTGGAGAGGACGAAGAGACCGAAGCCTCTGCCTCGTTGACTAGGCCGTCCGCTGCTTTCACCCCCGAGCGTGGCCTTTTCGCGGTCGGAGGATTCTGTGGGTCAATCGGTGTGAAAACGCAGTCCTTTTTCATGCGAATGCAATTTTGGCATCGACCTGCTGGATCATTGAGCTCAGTGATGCAGCGGATCTTGCGCCGTCGACAATGGACTAGTACTTGGTCAGAAACTTGCACGCAGGGGGTTCGATCGAACACAGAGACTGACCACATGCGACTGCAGTGCGATGATATCCCAATTTGTTTCTCTTTTTATCGGCAGGCGACGAAGGAGGTCCTTCCGCCACCATGTCGCGAACATTGGGCGAGGAGTTACCACTCTGGATCAAACCAGGCATGCTGAACTGCTCAGCCTCAGATCCAATCTGGTCTTGCGCAGAACCACTTTCTGGGAAATCCCCAAAATTATATCCTCCCTCTTGCATCTCTTGCGCCGACAGATGAGCACTACCCGCGCAGAACCAAGACTAGGCAGTGATTCCTTCTGGTCTCTTGTCGTCCACCACAGTACTCGTCGGGCTGTTGAGCGGAGCAGTCAACCAACATCACTGGTACCGTGGGACATGAATCGACATCACAACAGAGTTGATTTGTCGCAAATCGATTGGTGGTTTCAGCGTGGATTTTGGCGACGGCTTGATCAGCCCTGCCAATGGAAGCCTCTAATGCAAGTCACCCGGATCCAAGTCTCGCGGATCCAAGGTCAGTCGCGTTGTACAAGTTTCGCCGCGGTACTATCTCCCAGTTCTCGAAGAATAGAGGTGTGGAAATGGTTTCCCGGCGTCGCTCTGAATGCTGAGGCTGACTGGATATTGCTTGGGGAGGTGATTTGGAGGTGGTCCTCAAGTTGTCGTTTTGGGGATCAGCGAAAAGCAATCATATCGAGAGTCGAAGACTCAAGACCACTCGTTTGATCGTGCAGGGAGTGGAGAGGGCTGTAAGCCGTTCCGTCGTCCAGATCAGAAGATGAAGAGAAGTTAAAAGGACTGTCAGATCCAACAAAGAGCGCTTGATGGGGAAAGACCGGGACTTCACACTAGACACCGACTACAGCAGACCGACCAGTGGTAGGGTATCGAACTGAGGTTCGCAAGGACTGGGTTCCCTCCTCATGGATCATCCGTAAAATATTGTCAGAAGAAAAAGCGTGAAACCGCAGAAAGACTCGGATATCTGCAACACACGAATCAACGAGAGAAACAAGCGCCTTCAACATGCATGACAGGATGGTATATGACTCTCATAAGTGTGCGGAAAAGGTATGGTTCACAATCTCGTATGGGCGGTTGGACCCCAGCTCGTCTCTCGGTCCCAACAGGCGATTAATGCCACGAGAGCCAAATAGTCCTCGGCGGAAGAAAAATACCGGTCCAGTCCCTTGCGCCATTGGCGTTGACGAAGTTGCTCGCAGAGGGTGCAGCTGGCTGATCATGGTGAGCAGCACGAGGTTCCTCCCGGGGCTGGCCCCGGCAAGATGCAAGAGAGAAAAAAACCCCCAAATTCTTACGCCAGAGCTTGGGTCCCTCTGGAGACTATGGGTTACTCAATGGTCAAGGTACTATCAGTCAGATCCACTCCGGAGAAAAGCCACATTTCGATTATCTACGTTCCAAAAGTCCAGAACGCCCGTAAAACGAGGCATTGGAGATCTGGAGATTTGACTGAGACCCCGGTGGTGCGGCTGACCATGTCCTAAGTTTGCCGGGCTCAAAGGTAAAGAGCGGTACCTGGTCAAAGCCGGTCAACGATGATGCCCCATCATTTAGCCTGCAAAGACGGTAGGGTACCTCTGCCTGCTGTGCCGAGACAAGGTGCTAGGAGGTTCGCTTTTGAGGAACGATCTACATCGACGATTCCACCAATGAAAAGGTTCCCGGGCAGGAGATCCTTGGAAAACGACAAATACGAATCGCTGCGCCCCTAGGGCACTCAATTGAACGACCAAGCCTGGAAGGTGCGCTATTGTCGACCACAGGCCCCAACGGTCCGACTTCTGGCCAGATCTTTGCTGCTAGCCACGAGTACTGCGTTATCGGTCGGAAGTGGAAAGCTAAACTATGTTTTCCCTTACGGAAAGGACCACGACAAAGCCCTGCGTGCACTCGACGCGGGATATTTCAGAAGCTTGACTCAGGCATTTTCACAGCAAGCTAGCCGGCTCAGACGGATGACTTCATGCAATGATCTTCAATGTCGCTTCGGCGTCGAGCGAACGCGCCTTGGAAAACTCTCCACTGAGCTGCGGTCACCAGTACCTAGCCCCGACAAACACTTGGCTGATCCTCGAGGCTAACGCCACTGGAAGCTGGTCGTGTGGCTTTCATGGGGGACCAAGGTGGTACGGATGACTCGGTTGAGAGGCCAGCATCCTCCACTCAAGTCATGATTTGAAGAGCGGCTATCAATGTGTGATGGCAAATGTGGAGGTTGAAGCAGTGTTGAACAAACTCTGTTCCACTCTACCCACTCTAACTCGATCCAAAGAACGCCCCCAGTGGGCGCGTGGCAGGTGGGACCCCTACTTGACGAGTTGATGCCCAAAACGACATTTCGTGTCTGCCTCGTCAGTCTAACTGAGACGAGACGGTTGCAGTTGCCCCAATGTCTCTATAGCGAGAATATACAGCGAACTCGAGCAGTGCTTGGGGGCGGGCGGCTAAAGATGCAGACAAAAGACCGGACAAGAAATGCCACGTTTGCATGAACCTGGGTGGTGTACCTAGGCGCATCAACAATATCCGCCCGAGGGCCGCAATTGATTAGCCACCCACGTCACCATCCAGACGGTACGTCCACTTTGTCAGCAAATTCTTAACCGAGAAAGTGGCGTGTGTGCGACTGCATGGACTCTGGAGCCATGGTTGTTGAACCTGGGTCTCGGATCCACTGGATGCATCAACTCGGTCAAAGCCTTGTGCTGGCCGAAATAGACGCATCCAGGCTAGTGAGAAAACTATGCAAGCGTCTAAAGGAGCCCTGTAAGTGGTTTCGATGCAGAAGGAGAAGGCAAGTCTGACAAGTCTCTTCCTTCACTGACCTCTTCGCTTAGCATGGCGATTATCACTGCCCACAGCGGCTTAAATCTTCCTTTTAGCCTGGACACCATCTGAATGCGGAGGTGTACGGAACAAAAGGCCAACCATTGCTCGTATCCGAGGGGCGAACGCCTTTGAGGTTACGACTACCATCAAGCAGTCAACAGCAGAAGGAGGGAAGCGAATCCAGACTTATGGATTCTGATGCAGCTCCCCATTGCCCGGGAAATGGTCTTCCAAGGACTTTCAGGGATTCTAGGCTGTGCGGAAATGCACTCCGATCTCCTGCCTATTGATGGAATGGTTGGAAGTGCCGACTACTGCCGCCTGGAGACCCCTTTGACCCCCTTCAGCCCCTTGTACCTTTTTGCATCCAAAAGGTTAGCGTCGCCTTTTTCCACGTGAACCGAGCACATTGTGGCGCTTAGCCCCAAGGCGAGTAACGTTCAAGGGCGGCAATGAGAGCATCGCCCACTCCGTGGCAGCTGCAGGTGTGATTATTCCCCAGACGCGAGGAGAGTGAACTCGGTCGCTAAAACAACGCGCTCGCTCAAAGGACGCCGAGTGCATCAAGGCGAGTAGTCGATCAATCGATTACCTTCACCTTGTTCCTCAGAGGATCATGCCTGTCGTGAGAGTTTGGACTACGTAGTGGGAAGTTTGAGAGCCGGATGCCTGAGAAATACATGCAAACTCTCTGCCAGTTTGATATGGTTTCTGTCGTCACTGTCTTCAAGAGGACACAGTCGGATTCTTCGGGCCCATGCTGATTCCAAAGGAAAACGCAGCAACTGAGAAACTCCAAACGCGTCTCTCCCAGTGCGGATGAGACACAGGCAGAGACCACCGGGGAATGGTCAGCAATTCTTTTTTCTCCCCTCCAAGAACTCCTGACAACCATGGCGCTGGCATCCTACCAAATGTTTTTTTAATCTACTAGGGCGCCAAAACCAGCACCGAATCGCACTACAATGGGCAATGCTGTTCTCCCATTGACTCGATTTTGCGAAAGCGGTCGATTTCGCATGGCCAAATCATGGCAAATGGTCGCTTCCAAATGCGCAAGACTCCAATTCTGGGAGGGGCATCAATGGCAGCTTTCCGAGATTGCTGGTCCCTTTCGGCAGCATTTCAACAGGGTTTTCGGCCGATGACCAACTACTCGTACGCAGGGAGAATGTCTCCCACATACCACTACCACCAGTACTACTAGATAACTCTGACTGCTTACTCGGTACATGCTTCGGAGTTCGGCAAAGTGACATGGCAGGGGTTGCAAGTTGGAGTGCAGTTTCGTTGTCGATCTTTGCATTCAGTACTGCCTCATTTTGCGAGAAACTAACCCCGGTGCAGTGATAACTTCAGCTTGGAAATCTGCAACAAAAGCGTCTTCTGGCACTCATCCATGCCCGAGTAGCGGCTCAAATTTAAGCTGAGAGAGATCATCCACTCATGCTGTCGGCAGAGGGCAAGGTGCTTCTCCGACGACTCTCTGTCTCTCTCCATTTCTCTCGCACTCTCTTTCTGACTGCTCGCTTAGGAAACTCCACGGACGCAAAGCGGAAGTCTGTTCGAGAAGCAATGTTATTTGACCATTCCTCTACCAGCATCAGACTTCTTGGTGCTCATGACCAGTTATTGCTATTATGTGTTTGTCTACTTTATCTATTGCCTGGTGGGCCATGCCTCCAGAATCTTCATCATCTATTTTTAAAAAGAGAGTTTAGTGGGCTGGTGGTGGCAGATTCACGCATCAGACCACCATTCCTACATACTAAGATTTCAGATGGCCTCCGCCTGTCCAAAACGGGGGAGAAGCGAGAGACTCGTTGATGCCCGACGTTCGGCTGCAGCAAGCCCTGGCACAAGGCACTGGAACCGTCGAACTCTACTTTGCTTTTCCGCCCCAACATCAACTCAGCCCGCAGATGGGCTTTGAAGAGGGCACAGCGACCCGGTGTTGTGCACTATCTGCCGCCGAACAATGCCTGCAGTCCCAACATGGTGTTTCAACAAGCGATCGACATGAAGGGATGCACGACGTTTGTCGCAGGTCAACAGGCCAGGTTATTCAAACATCGTTTTATTCGTACTTGCACACAGAGTACCGGGCTTGGCGCATGATCTCCTTGCTCTCTCCCGTCAAAAGTTTCGTTTTGTTTTGACCATTTTGGTGGTAATAGCTGAAAACACGTCGGAAACAGTTTTCAGGGCGGTTTGTCGCCGGGGGACTATGCCCGAGCAGGACGGGCGAACCGGTGAGCCGTTTCTGTTTTTAACAGTCGCCTCGACGCCGAAGTCCA